CCCCCCCCCCCCCCCCCGCTTAGAATTTAAAAATTTAAATATTTTTTGGAGCGGGGCAAGTTGATTTTGAAACCTTTTTGCCTGACTGGGCAAGTGCTTGAAAATATTTCATGTCAAATCCTGATATAAACATACATATTTGTTAAAAAACTCGAGCTATCACACCTTGGCTGTTGGTAACCCTACAGGGCTACCTGGTGCCTGAGGTTAACATCTGGCCCTGACTAGCTTTGTTAATTTTATATTTTGATTTTAGAGATTATCAGAGAAAACAAGCCACGATCAAATCTTTAAAGAAGAAGGCTTTGGACAAAAATCCAGATGAATTCTATTTCAAAATGGTCAACACAAGGTTAAAGGTCAGTATTGAGAAAAGCAAGCTTATGTTATTTGACTGATTAATCTCTTTCTAGCCATTTTGTATCTTGAAAATATTTTTTTACAATATTTGCTTAATATTTTTTTAAAAGATAAATATTTGAAGCAACTCAAATGAAAAGTTGAGAAAAAAGGATTAAGAGGTTTTTATTTTCTTTCTGGAAATTAATGTGAGAATGATAGTTGCCACTAATGAATATTTAACATGATAATTTGAATGAAACTTATTTACAATGATTGCAATATTTCCTGTCTATTTATAGCAGCTTTTTTTTTTAGAAGATTTCTGCAGTTCTTTCCCTCTCTGACATCAGTGATCATATTTTAAAGCCTACTTTCATAAGCATGTTTAGGAAGCAATAATAATAAACACAAATACATTGTTTCAACAGTAGAAAACTTCTTAGACTGAAAGACTCATATTTTTGTTACAACTAGTTTTGTATATTACCTGTAATGTCCAAAGTAGAATAAAAATACTAATTTCGTTTTTTTGTGGATAAAAAAAGAGGAAAAGTTAATTAAATGACATTAATCAGAAGTTTTAAATTTATGTATAAAATGTATTGGTTGTTTCTTGTATCATTAAGTTGATAATATCTTTTTGTTATGTAAAATAAAATTTTTCATGACCAGCATTACTTTCATCATTACTGTAGACGACTTCATTCACTGTTTTCTTCAAGATACTGTGATCAATAACTTTTGTAGTGCCACCTAGTGGATAACAACCCTGAATTATGTATATGGCAGGCAACAACAAACATTTGCTTTTTTCAGCTTGTCAACCTTTCTGCTAAGTGAAATCATTGTATGTTATGTAAATAGTATGTATAAGCCATGTTGACCATTTAACACAAGACAGATATAAGCTGGTATCTGCCAGATAATATTCTGATGCCTCCACATTAACAGGGCAGTTCAAAGATTTTATTTAACCTCATTCCTAGTTATGCATCCATTTGTATTCCATTATGCGGCTTTGAACCAAGCTTGAATTGTACAGAGATATGAACACTGTTAGTCAAAAGTAAATAGATTGACTGGTAGCCTAAATTAAAGATGTATAGCTTAAACACTGGCAAAAGTGATTTAGTAAAAAATAAAACAATGCTAGTAATTTTAAATTTAATGAAGAATTCTGTGAGTCAAACACTTGTTTATTTGCCCCATTGATAACAACTGTGACATGCCAAAGTGTGTATTTATTTATGACCTGTAGGTATGTTACATACATGTCAAAATGGAATATTTACCAACACTTCTGTAATCTATATTTTTTCTCATTTATCTCTAAATGACAATTTATTTTCAGTAATTGATAAAGCAGCCATGAAGTAACAAAGACATTGTGACAACAAGTAAATGTTAAAGTTGACAAAACCCAATAATAGTCATCCGGTAAATGAAAGACAGTTATTGAGGATGACAGTGTTGATAAATTGCCTGGAAATCAGAGGCTACAATCAGTACTAATAGCTATCAGCATGAACTGCCGAGCTTTTCTCCTGATGCTCTGCAGTCTGAATCTGTTATGACAAGTTGACACAACATTTTTGCAAATTGGATTCATCTGAAAGACAAGGAAATCTTCCCGATGCTTCTTGTATTTTAGAGAAAGGTTAATGTAAAGATCACAGTTATCTTGCAAAAAAGCTTTCAAATACTTTCCTCTTAAATGGACATTTGACAATTTTCATGTATTTTTTAAGTCCTGCAAAAATATGAGAAATTGATAAATTGGTTCCTAACAATTCGATTAAGATGTCTTTCTCACTAGAGATTTTTTATTCCATCTATTTGGAAGAATATATTTAAAATATATCCAAGTTATATTTAGAACATATTGAAAAAGAATGTTAATAAAATGCTTTCATTTGCTCTGAATGTGGCACTTAACAAATGTTAATTGAGACAAAATAAATGGACTTTTCTTCAATTTCCAACTCACCACTCTTGATATTTGAATGCATCAATAACCAAGTAAATTTCATCAAATTTTTAAGGCCCATTAAACTAATTAGGGCTTATCTACTTTTTCAAAAGTCCCACCAAGGTGTCAGAAATGAGTGCTCAGAAAATTGTTTTGTGTAGATTAAAGCAATCATTATGAAACCCCTTGGGGGTCTTCTGGGGCTTCATGATGAATTATTTCGCATACTCATATTGTCACCTTTTAATCTTGCCGATTATATCTAAGGGAATCAAAATATACTGCTGTAGTCACTGAGGGATTTTGATCATTTTGGTAATTTTAATCATCTTTATTGGTGGTAGCATATATTTGTGAAAAGTTTTGACAAGTGATGATGGATAGAAAGTCCAGTGAAAATGCATAGCTGAGGATGATGTTTAGAAATGGTTAGGCATTAGTAGGCAGTCCTGTGTCAGATGAAACTTGACTGTCATTTTTGCAGTTTATTTATTTTTAGTTTGTTGAAACCGAGAAATGGTAGTCTTTTGAAATTTGTACAGAAAAGTATGAAAATCAAATCCTCAAATTAGTGTTATTGCTTATTAAACAAACAGTGCTTTGATAATCACTACATTTCAAATGACAAACTTATAAAGAAATGAAACTTGAAAAAGCAAAGAAATTTCAGTGTATGGTTACTTCCTACAGTTTTAGGGTATGTGGCCAATAGAGTTGACAAGGTCTTTAGCCATCTGTTTCTCCAGTGTGTTATAAAAAACAGCTTCGATTTCCCTGTGGTTTGCTGCAATTGTTGACTGTAATGTGATCCCTGTTCACCTTCCCTCCAGCTGTCATTACGATTTTAAGCCAGCTTTCACTACTAGATTTACATGTCTTTTTTAGCATATCATTTGCAACTCTTGGGAAATTAAGAAATTAATCTGTGAAGCAGAGTTGTCCCATTGTGGTGTGAGTGATTTTACCCCATCTTAACTATCTGCATCTCGGTGATGTAAGTGGTTGGTAAAATGTCAATATTGGAGGAATTTGACTCCAAAAGTGTTATGGAAGAAAAATGATCATAATAAATTCTGAATATTTTTGGTTGTATTTTTGCTGTAAGAAAATATGGTTTCATGGATTGGAAAAGTAGCCATTGTTTTTTAAAAAGTAGTTTTTTTTTTCGTTAATGAAAATTATCAAACACAAGTGGAAATATTTTCATACCGTTAGGTTATGGCCAACCTGGTTGAAGGCCTTCATCAGACTGATGTGAGTAGATGTTGAAACTCACTGACTGCTAGGTGGTAGTGTGGCCAGCACCCTCTTAAAAAAGTCAGGTAGATCGACCCCCCGTCCCTATTCATGGGTGACCTTCGCCTAGGTTGGCCATAAGCTAATAGTTTGTGTTTGATAATGCTAATGAACATTTTTGCTAGTTTTTTTTTTTTTTTTGAATTGTCTTTTCTTTTATTTGAGATTTATAATAACTTTTAATTCATCTAGTCTTGCGAGTGAGGGGATGATGTTATAAACTTTTGAAAGCTTACTTAATTGTCTTCCATGGAAATGATAGATCACCTGTTACTGTTTTTTTTTTTAACTTACAATGCCATTCAATATTTAAGAAATTAAAGCAATGTCTCATTGTGGGTATTGAATGTACCTGGATATTTTATTGGATTTTTAAAATTTGTAATTCAATTAGGATATTTAAGAGCTATTTGATGATTTACTTTCAGGAAGGTGTGCACCAAAATGATGACTCTCCCCCAGCATATAGTGAAGAACAGTTGAAATTGATGCAATCCCAAGATCTAAAATATATCAATTACAAGCGAAGCACTGAATTGAAGGTAAAAGAATATTTTGCAGTAACCTCTGAACACCTGTTCTTGGCACTGATTGTTTCTTGTGACAAAGTTTCTTTTAATGAACATGTGTGTTGCACATCAAATGAAACTTAAAAACCTTTTCTTTATAATTCTTATCTTATTAAGTGTATCAATATCTGCCGCTGTGGGTGTTTAAAGACGCTCACTCAAAGACGTTCATTCGCCATGTCCCAGACTGAGGTCATTGCAACCTAGTCTAGTTAGTTGCGAATAAAATGTTTATTTTCCCCTTGCCCCTTATTTATTTGGCATTAAAAAGGGAGTGAAGAATAATTAAAACTGATATTTGAATTAATTTCTAATAATTTTTGACATGAATTGATATATATCTATTACTTAACATTTTGGGCCTCATGAAACACCTGCTCGTTTACACGTGCCAGGCTTTCTCCCATAATTTTCAGTGTATTTTGTTGCACTGTTTTGTTATTCCATCCTCTAAATGGAGCCTTCTGCTAACTTTTGAGTTAATTTTTTCTTTTTTCTCCTTTGTTGCAAGGGCCTAAAAAATAAAACTACTAAACCAGTTAATGAAACCTCAACACATGTTGAGTTTTTTTTTTGACTAAATTCAAATGACATCACATGACCCAAGTGACCTATTTATAGTTATGGTTTCTAAACTTTGCTGTGGGACAAATCTTTTCATTCAAGTCCCATCGTAGGTTTATCAGTCATTTGTGAGACAAACGGTATAAGTAGAAACATGGCTTATTGTGACATTAAATTAGCTGGCTCATTCTGAACCTTTTTTAAAGTTGGCATAACTCAAAAAAGTATAATACACGGCTCATCAGATGATCACTTAAGTGCAGCTTTAATTTGTATCATGGATAACAACAGGGTGAATGAGACTTTAGAGATGTTAATGGTTGACTGTCTTATTTTTTTTAAAGAATAATCACAAGGACAAACCAAAGTCAAAAAATGTTTGCATGTGAATTGTGCAGTTTTCTTTAAATCTTATGAATTAAAAATTTTATTTGTTTGACTTCTGTTGTATATTTATTTATGTTGTTGCTTTATTTAATTATAGAAAATAGAAAAGCTAAAAGGAAGTTTGCATTTACTTGAAGGTGAAGAAAAACCAAAAAATAAGCATACATTTTTTGTAGACTCAAAGAAAGAAGGTAAGTGCATATACATTTTAATATATTTGTATGCATTTAAAAAAAACATACAATTGCTAAAATGAAAAGTGAACAGTAAATAAGAAAAATTCAGACGTACATTTTAATGGTATAATTTGTAATTAAGAATGGAAATTCTTGTTAAATTTGTTGATCATTCAATACAAAAAAATTAGACATTTCAATGCTATAGTTTATAATTAAGAATGGAAATTCTTGTTTAATTTGTTGATCATTTAATACTTTTGTCAGATTTTTTCTCTGTGATGATAATGATGAGAGAAAAAAAGAATGGATAAAGATTGATTTTGACACTTGGGCCTGTTAAATCCTACTTATGAATTTAAACTTGCGACTTCAGCAAAATCGTTTGATGTAGCCAAACGTTTCAACACTCACCCCAGTTTACTTGGGAGAACATACAACCGCCCAACCTTGGACATGTTGAAAACTCAAACATATCAGAGTGGTCTTGACCAAGATACAGTTCAGGTAATGACAGTGTACTTGACAATTCAGTTTTTTGCCTCAACAATTTATTTTTCACTAACTGCTTGAGTCTGGATTTTATTTTTAAAAAAATGTATTTTTGTATTTCCTATCAGTGGTTCATTACAAAAGCCTTGCTTATGATGATCAAACCTGATGAATTTTTTAATTCCTCGTCATCAAGTCTGATGATCAGTCAGAAGTAGTCATTGCTCCAATTGAGAATACTATAACCTGATTTGTTGACTTTTAAAATTGTCCACAAGAGACAAGAGAGTTGAGATCAAATTATCTTTCAATTGTATAGGAATTTGCAGAGGAACGAAAGAAAAAATACAAGGAACTTTCCAAAAGGATAGAAAGAGAAAGACACCTTCATGTAATAGCACAGAAGATGGAAATGAAGAAACTGTTAATGGTACATTCTTATAGATAGCTTTTACGAGTGTTTTTGCAATCATTTCACTTTTGCTAATCAGATGTCTTGTTCCAAATATATGTATGGTAATTGATTGAATTTGAATAACTTTGTGATGATTTGACTAAATTTTGTAAAATTAAATGCTCATAACCTTGATTTACCTTAAGAGTTTTTTCAAAGCAAAATCTTAGGTTAATGTTATTTTCATATTACACAAAAAGAAAATATTACATATTCCAGGACAAAAAAGCCAGGAAAAAGAAGGTTGCTGATGAGACAAAGGAAATGGCTGCTGTGTACAAATGGATGCCACAGAGAAAGAGGTGACCACAAGGTGACGAGGAAGGCATGGAATCTGAAGCTTATTAAATTGTTTTTTTCCCTAAGAACAATAAGTTTAAAGAAAAAAAAACTGGACAGCTTGAAATGTTTATTACTATTAAAGGGAATGGACAGCAATTGGGCCCATGATGTTGAGCTAAGCTGGAGAGTGATTGGTTGGTTCAACAGTGGAAAATGAATGTAACTTAATCAATTGAAAAAAATTATTTTGCATAAAATGTGTTATGACAACCCTTATGCTGATGACTGTAAACTGGCTACCCCATCACATCTCTGACACAATGAGTCATTTACCAAGGTATTATTTATTAATAAATTATTGCCTTATACAGAGCAACAAAGAAAAATGTGACTTTTAATTCACTGTTTTTTTTAATCGCTGTGTCAAAATTCTTGATTAAATCACTTTAATTCAAGGTCATTTAATGATAGACTGTAAGATGAATTTAAGGTATGGCAGGGAGGAAAACAAGTACACAAAATTACAATATTAGCACCTGTTCTCACTATCTTTGCTCCTATTTTTATAGTCCACACATTGCCAGAATACAGTACCAAGACAGCACTTCTTCAAAACTGTGTTCATTTAAGTGTAATGTGCAATTAAGGGGGGAAAAAGAAATTCTTCTACCCAGACAACCAGGTGGATTGAAGAAATATCCTGTCACACATCTTGGAATGGTCATGTAGGCTAGGTACTGTGTACCTGTCGTTTTTGTTTGCATCAACCAATCAAAATATCTGGCTTGATCACACCACAAAACTGCAATATAATTCACGTTAGCGGGAACTTTGCCTACAGTCTGGGTTAGGCAGATAGGGTAACATGTTGATAGTCATGAATGTTAAATTGTAAGGCAGGCTGAGAAGGGCTCACTTAATGTTTCAATGAAACCTGCTTTTTTACCAACTTTGAATCAAAAGAAACACCTGTTTATTAAGCAGTGCATACTCACATGATTTTGTAAAAGAAAAAAATTGAAATATTAAAATGATGTATTTTAAAACATAATTATGCTGAGAACTGTGAAAAGTCATGCAAACTGGACTCCAGTCCACTTCCTGTTTAGCTTTTGATGAGCAAGATTTTTTTTAGTCACAACTGCCAACATTTTATGACACTGTCACAATAGCTCAACTTGTCTTTTGTGGAATACTTGGTTGAACTCTCACTGCTGTTGTCAGTTGTTCTAAAGATTGAATAATACCATTTCATAACAGGAAATTAGACAAAACAACACTGGTCTTTATTGGTAGATACAGTTCTTTTGATCCAATTTGTTTTTCCAGTGAAGTCGGTTCTAAAATTAGCCCATCTTTTACAATTAATTGCATATAAATCTTTCTATGCTGACACTAGGCACAGAATTAAAGCATGAAATATGGCTTGTGTGTGACTGTCACTAATGGTTTTGGTTCAGTTTGTTTAAGGAGACCACAGGTATTTATCGTCATCAGACAAGCATTAGTCCAGAAAAGGTGGCCCTATGTCGTACAGGATGTAACAGAAATGTTGCTGGGGTGGATGGGTGCTCATTCCTTCCACCCTCCCCCTAAGTTAATTACAATAGTTTTAGGCTGGGTGCATTCGTTTCTGACCAATTCAGACCAAAAGAGGAAACGACATATTAACCCAATTTTTGAAGTCTACATTGTTTTTTTATGTAAAAATGAAAATTAAAGTACGAAAAAAACTTAAAAGCATTACACTTACAAATTTCATCAAAATTTGCAGAAAAACACAATCAGTGCAACTACCACAATTTATTTGCAAAGACCATCATGCTTTAATCACATTAATTACATGACACATATCATTCTGAACTTTCTAAAATAACTTCCATCCAAGACTTTTGGTAGTCTACAATTTGTCAGTGATATCAAGCAAAAAACTTCCCCTTAGCCTCAGATGAAAATTGTTGCTGATGAGAAGAGTACAAATGTAAACTCTACACAGAGATTTTGTAAGCTGTGTTGCTATTTGAACTGGTAACAGAAAATTGAACAGATCAAATAATGCAAAACGCCCTAACTGGGAACGTCAAATACTGCACAAATTACTTAAACAAAGCACATCTGTTGACAATTCATTAAAAAAAGTGCCAAAATTTAAACTGGCACAAACCAACAAAAGTTCTCGAGTAGCTTCATATTTTGATGCATTTTTTTATACAGCCATCATGTTTTTATTTACAGCGTGGTGATAGAACCTAAATGATGTACAGCTCTCATTACCAAGTTTTAAAAGTTGGCTTTAAATGAATCATTGAAAAAAAAAAAAAAAGCAAAATTTATGTTAAGCAAAAGTTTATTTTAATTCCATGCCTCCTCCATTTTTACAGGCTGGTGCAATAACAGTAAAAACATTGGATTTACATCAATATTCTGGTTATGTATAGTCTCATATCTAAAATATTCTTGTGTCGCATACAGTTATCAGCTACTGCTTCCGTCACTGGCAGACTTTGCCTTCTGCTGCATGGATTTTAATGCCTTTTCTCTCAGCTGCCTCTCAAGTTCATCCATGTTGTTAGGGTCATCTTTCTTAGCCTATTATCAAAATAATAAACATCATAATTACAAACAGAAATACACAAACTTATCTTAGCCATTGAGTTTTTAAAAAACAAACTGGATGAAATATTAAAATTGTACATTTCATGAACCTGCAAGTTCCATACCTTTGATTGTTGGAGTGTCTTCAGAGCCTTCTCTCTCAATTTTTTCTCCAGGTCCTCTAAGCTATTTTCCTCTCCACTCCCTGAACCCTAATAAAAGAAGATACATGTATAAAGTTGTACAAAATATACATATTTCACAATTCAATTAGCATTAAAAAAACTTAATTATATCTCTATTGCTTCACGAGAACCCATGAATATTCTTTCAACCGTTGTAGATAGAATTAAGATGTTACCTCTCCATCTTTTCCCTTCTTATGCTTGTGCTTCTTATGCTTTTTGTGCTTCTTGTGTTTTTTGTCCTTTTTCTTCTTTTTCTTTTTAGTTCCAGCTTCATTGTCAGAGGCCTAAAAATATTATACCAATCATTTATCTGTACCTCAAACAAAAAGATTCCCATTTTTTTCTCATTTGTTGTTACAATACAAACCAAATATAATTGATTGAAATTACTATACTTACATCAGATGGACTTGCTGATGCAGCTTTCTCCTTCAAGACTTTTTTCTTTGGCGATTGCTCTACATCTGGTGACAAATCCCGTTTCTTTGCTGGGGGAGATGAGGGCTCCACCTTTCCAGACCTCTTTACAGTTCTATAGTCTCCACCAGCTTCCTCAGCCTCCCGACTTCTTAAAGGGCTGTGTGTCCTTTTTGGTTTTTCTTGTCTTGGCGGAGAAGCAGAGACGGAGCGAGGTCTTTCTGGTCTACTTTTATGTGGTGGTGATGGGGAAACACTCTCTGGTCTTGGTTTGGTAATTTTTGGTTTTGGTGGTGGTGAACCCGATCCGGATGATGAAGCAGATGGTGAACGATTTCTTCGGGCAGGTGGTGGTGGTGACCTAGATGGTGACTTTCTCTTTCTTGCAGGCAAATTTTTCACAGTTTTTCTCAGAGGGGATCTTGCATGTGAAGGCTGACGCTTCTTTGGTGAAGGTGCAGGTCTTTTCCTTACAGGTGATGGTGACTCTGATGACATACGAGTAACCGTAAGTGGAGAGGATGCTTTTTTCCTTGGTGGGCTTGCAGAAGAGGAGCGGTGTCTTCTAGGTGGTGGTGATGTAGAAGAGGAATGATGCCTTTTAGTTGGTGAAGAGACAGCGGGAGCTGGTCTCCTTCTAGGAGAATCAGATGGTGACGGTCTTCTCCTGGGTGGTGGTGAAGCAGATTTGCTAGGTTCACGTCTTGGTCTTGATCTGACTGGGGATCTCTCAGGTGAACGTCTTCTTGGTGAAGGAGATCTGGTAAGGTGAAACAAAATTCAATGCATTTTTTTTGGTTCGTTTCAAATTAGGAAAGTCATTTGTTACAGTGTCAAAGTTATTTTTCAAGACAATTCATTAGTAAGGTTTTATAATAAATGTGACCTTGATTTGTTTATCTCAAACAACCAATATCCTGCATTGTTTGTTTACTTAGTACAGATGATGGTGTGAATGTTTGTGATAATTTGGGATGGAGGAGATATTAACAAGACTTGTCAGCTGCTGCTTTAAATTCATTTTCTTTTTTGCTTTTTAATTTTCTCAGAATAAGTTAATCTGTCATATTAACATATTATCTGTACCTCCTTCTTGGGGGTGAGCGCCTTGGAACAGCTCTGCGAGGAGGAGAACGCCAACGGTCTGGTGAGTAGTAACTGTAAAAGAAAAATTGATTCCAAGCAAAATATATTTGAAGGTTCATACACACGCAACTTAATGCACACTTAATATACACTAATATGCACTACACAAAACTTAGTCTCAATGAAAAAATGATGAACTTTGAGAAATTCGAGTTTGTATAAGCCCTACTTATTTACAGAGTGTATAAGTTACAGTAATTAGAGAAAATAAAGATGGGCATCTTTACCGTCTCCTAGGCGATGGTCTGCGCCTTGGTGAAGGAGAGGACCTTCTCCTCCATCGATCACGAGGGGATGGGGAACTCCTACGTCTTCTTGTACCATCACTGGGTTTGTCCCTGTCTCTACGATCTAGTTAAAAGAACATAAAAAAGCTTGATACCCAACAAATTGTCTAGCAATTTTTGGTTAAATAGGTAAAACATGCACGAAAAATTCTTTACCACACAATGTATAATGAGAGCATCAAGCAAATCTCTAAAAATTACTTTTTTCACTTTTTGCAGCAGGTTTTGCGTCCTCTTCATCTGATGAACTGTCAGACTTTGCCAAATCTTCATGTGTCCTGTAATGTCTTCTTTTCTGCACAGATTTCTGTTTATCTGGAGATGCATCTGAATAATTTTCATCTGCTTTCTAAAAAAAAAAAAAGAAAAAAAAAATGAATAAATAAAAATTAGATTGCCATGAGCTTAGATGAAATATTTATTTACACACATGAAGTAAATGGAAAATAATTTCAGTAAGTATACCCACCTTTTCCTTACGTTCTGGTGAAGAATCACTTTCATCCCTGACCATCTTTTTCTTAGCTGGGGGTGATGGTGAGCTAGAGCTGCTGCTTGAGGAACGTGGTTTCCTTGCAAAATAAATATGGAAATGTCAGACATTTAATAATTTTTTCAGAGATCTCCATATAACCAATTTTAGCACAAGTTATGAAGAAATGGTAAACATATATTACCAAACATTCAATAATGCATCTTTTTGTGACAACTCACTTTTCCATAGGTGCTTTCTTTACTGGAGGAGGACTGGCTGAAGAAGATGATCTGCTAGCTGCCGCTTTTCTCACAGGACTTTCAGATGAATCGGACCTTTTCCTTGTCTTTGGTCCCCTAACTGGGCTGCCCGTGGATGAGCGTCGTCTTCTCGGTGATGGTCGCCTCCTTGGTGACCTTTATTTCAAAATTCCCAATTATATAACATGTATGTTCGACAAAGTGGACAACCTTTAACAGTGTAACCACGAAGAGTGACAAAAGAATACAGCAATATAAAAACTTTGAATCTTGAAAGCCAGCCCCAAAGTTCCACATTAAATAAAGGGCCAAAATTATTGAAAGAAATGCCCAAACAAGAAAAATAATCCAATAACACTGGCTTTTGAACTTTATTTAAGTTTTATTTAATTATTCCTGAATAGTGACTGTCCATGAAAAAATATTGTTTTAAACATTGAACATCAAAGTTCTGAACAGGCCAAATGAATTTATTAAAAAATAAGTCACAATAACAAGCCCTACCGACTACGTCTCCTAGGTGATATGCTACGTCTTCTTGGAGATATGCTGCGCCTCCTAGGTGATCTTCTCCTTGGAGATGGACTTCTTCTAGGTCTTCTACGGGGTGGAGAACGTCTCCTTGGTGATGGTGACCTCCTCCTTGGTGATGGTGACCTTCTTCTAGGGGACCTCCTTCTTTCCCTTGATCTACTTCTTTTGTCTCTGGACCGACTTCTTTTGTCTCTGGACCGACTTCTTTTGTCCCTTGACCGACTTCTTTTCTCCCTTGATTTGCTTCTTTTATCTCTTGACCTGGATCTTGCCTTGTTCTTTTTGGGTGAGGGTGATCTGCTTTCAGATCTATTTGATTTTTCTTTTGATTCCCTCCTAAAAGAAATAAAATACAGTTTTTACCTGTACATGTCTTATGAAAATATGTCAGGTCAACATCAAAATCTAGCTAATGCTAAGGGACATCAGAATTTTCTAGCAATTGAAGCTTAAAGAGAAATTATGAAAACAGGCTAAACAAGGTGTGTAGTGAGTAAAAGGCACCCTTGATCCATAAATTCCAGCAAATGATAAGAAGTTGAAACAAAGGAATCTTACTTTGTTTCCAAAGGTGCTTTGTCCATTTCTTTATCTTTTCCCTTTTCTTCAGTGTTTTCTTTTTCTTCCACTGATGCATTCCCATTCACAGGCTTCACATCTTCATCTTCCTTTCCTTGACTGAAAATAGCACCAAGAAGCATTCTAATACAAATTCAATTCTCATTTTTTCTTCAATATAATAATACTAATACTACTACTAATAATAATAAACCATTATAAAACCTTGAGCAATTACCTTACAAGATGCCTGAACATTACAAAATTTACATACTTGAAAACTTGTCTCGAACATTACTAGCCTACAACTGCTAGGGCAGAGTAAATTTCCAAAATTCATAAATTGAATTATTAAAATCTTACCTGTCCTCTACTGTCTTATTTTTTATTTCAATATCTGACTCCTCAGTTCCAGACTGCTTTTCCTTGTCTTTCTTTGGTTCTGGAGTTGGTGTTCTTGATCTGGATGGACGTAACCTTGGGGACTTGGATGGGCTTCTGTCTCCACGACGCCTGCGTCTTCTAGAAAGTTATTCACAAAAGCAATTAATAAAAACAATATGCACACTGTAAAGGCAGAGAAGAATTTCAAAAGCAAAACTTGTCAAGTACACCAATCCACACATAAGTCTTTCATTTTGTACAGTTATTTTGAAGCAGAAGAAGACTACCCCTTCCAGAACATCCTTAAAATCTACAAAAGATCAAACTTCAGGTTTAAGACAAATCCACAAAAAAAAAAAAAAAAAAAAGCCATACAATATCACATTTCCATAAATACCTTTTGTCTCTTTCTTTGTCTTTGTCCTGGTCTCTCTTCTCACTGTCTTTACGCTCCTTGGCCAATGCTTCCTTGATCTCCTTTTCCCTCTTCTCCAGATTGGCACGAATGTGTTCTTGCTCAGCCTTATACATGGGCAATAAATAAAGCTTTTTACCAAACTTATCCAATAATCAAAGTTAGGTGACACATGTAACAGATGAAAAAAATAACTCATGAAACAGCAAATCATAGGAAATCTGGAAAATTGTTGTACTTAAAGTAAAGAGAATGCCAGTCAAATAAAAAAAAAAGTACCTGTCGTTTTTTTATTTCTTCTTTCTTTTGCTCTAAGAACACAGTAGGTATTCCACTGATGTTGTCTTGAGCACTTAGTAAGAGGTCCCACAACTCACTGATAAATGTGCGAGCATTTTTGGCATTGAGAAATCCTGTGAGGTTTATCTGCATCTCTTTTCCATCTGGATTCTGTAAAATTTTAGATGGGAAGAAAACCATATGAGACCCAGTTTCTTTTCGTAACAAACCCAATATAGCCTTTCATTAAATTTATTACATTATAAATTGTTTATAAATTCTTCTGTGTTCTCCACTGTGGTTAAATAAAACCAATTTCTTCCACGGAGAAGGCAATGCGGGAATCCAAACCTCAGATGAAGAACACAGACATTTTCGCCTAGTTGACAGAGGGTTGTTGAGGGATCTCACTTCAGAGAACAGACTGACATTGGCACCAATCAGCCACTGGGAAACCTCTCACACCCAAACTACTTAAACGTACTACGTTACCAGTACTCTTTCACTACTCTGTCTCATCATAATTGGCACTGTTCAGCAATCGAGAGGGATTCTTCAGTACACCTTCAGAATAATTTGGGAATGGGAGAAATACGAACAAAAATCAGTGGAAGTCTCAGCATACGTCATGCTGTATGCTTGGAAAGGAAAAAAAAAAAAGCTATCTTGAAAAATGTTTATAGGATGCATAAAGTTTACCTTTAAGATAAGGAATAAATGAAAAGTTCTACCTTTAACAGTGCCAATTACAAAAAGAAGACAACTCCTTAAGTACCTGGTTTCCTCGTGTAAGTCACCGCCATTCTCGTGCTGTCATATTTACTTATAACAAAATTGAACCGTGCTAGCGAATCAGCGATCATTCAGTTCCTGACTTGAAGTCCCTGTGATTCATTGGGTCGGTAATTTAAAGAGCTTATCTATTGTGTGAGAGGAAAACGTGAAGTATAAATACACAGACTTCAGTCCCTTTGCTATTAAGATCAATTACCAAAAAGAAAAAAATTAAAAGGTTTTACCCTGTCGCAACTAAAATAGGGGGGCTCAGTATTTGGTAAAAATATATACTGACCTACAAATGAATGCGATAGCAAAAGGATAATCAAAAAGGAGTGTACTTCTCACATTTACAATCAGGGCAAGTTTACAGCAAGATTTGCTAGAAGCAGTTCTCTGATTTCATCTATTCCTATAACCAATTTTAAATTTTGAATAACAAATGCTAGCACTGGTTAGCATACAGATTTTTCTTTTTACTGTACCTTTTCCTCTAACTGATTATAAATGAATTCAACAATAACGTCATCTTCAACTCCTAAAAGATCCGTTACTCTTTGGGCTATCCAAGGCTTTATTGTGTCCAAGTTTATCTTAGACATATCCACCTAAAAATAAATATATCATATTAAAAGCAAAATTAAAGTTTAAGTGTCTTAGCAATTGACATAACATGTCAGCATCAATGGTTTCAGAAGAGATATGTATGTGAAGTTAACGTAAGATTGTGCTTCCCAAGTAACTGTACTTACTGGGGTATCACAAGCATTTTTTTCACTAAAATGTACTTTTCATCACTTTTTTTTTCTCCAAATGGTTCTCATTTGACTAAAACAAAGCCATTTAAGGCCAGTTTGAACTTTGGGCTAAATTGAGTGTGAGTGCTACCCCAGAGTTATTGAAAAATATAAATGACCAATTGGAAAGATATATTCATTATCAAATTTGACCTTCTTAAGCAAGATGTTTCTATATATAATAAACTGTCTATAATAAAAAAGGAGACTTGTTTAAATGACAAACCTTTTTGTCTATAGACTCAGAAAACCTCATAGTTTTCATTAGTTTTTTCTTTTTGTCTGCAAAGCGATTATCCTGCTCTGCACTGGTACCCTGAAAATGGTAATATTAATGCAATTACTACATATAATTTTACTTCAAATTATCTTTCATTTTTATGGAAGAAGTGTGTGTTTAATTCCCATGCACTTTACTGGTAAAGTATTACTTAGCATAAGAAGGGTCCAGTGCAACTTTCAAGTCAAACAAAAATCCAGATTATGCTATTGCAAGCTTGAATAAACAATATTGCTGTTGTCTGCAGTATTGGACTCTGACCATGGTTTCTGTGATTTCTGTTATGAGCGGAGAAAACTGATGCTTGAGATTAAGCCATGAAGTTCAGGTGAAGACTTCAGAGGCTAGAAACTGTTGATGGCAAGACTGGAAATGTCAGTAATTGGTTGAGATGATTTCACATTACGATATTGTGATCATTTGCCCATCTATGACAAAACTCATAGGTTAGAGTTAAAATAAACACTGAGCGCTTCTGAAACAGAGGCGTTTCGGGAAAACAATTCAAGACTTCTTTTTCTATTTCAGACTCGAGTACACTACTGTAAAGAAGGAGTTCTTAAAAAGGAGTGCTTGATGTTGATCATTTCGCCTTTTTGGACCAAGATGTATCCGCCATTTTAATATTTTGCACCACGTGTAGCAGTTTCAGCAACATTTGGAGCGCCATTAACTTCACATGAAAGTAACAATAGGGGAAGATTGCATTAATGGATCTTTTATGAAACGCGGAGTTTGCACCCTTCAAAATCAGCGACTAACCTTGAAAAAGCCTGCATCAGTCATTTTGAAGGCCTTGACTTTCTTCCTCTCTCCTACTCTCGTTTTTCTCTCGAACTTAGATCACATGATTATGGATTAACGAGAACTGCCGAAATCTGAAATAAAGTCGTAATTCCGAATGCTTTTACTTAGAACATAAAACACGTAAACTCTACATTATGATTTAATATTCTTGACTTGGAAAGGAATACATAGGAAAACTGCTTAAACCAAACCAAAAAAATTGGCCAATTTTACGTCATTTGATAAAAAGATCACATGACTAGCAGCTGATCCATTTGCTATTGGGTCCGCAAAGCGGGTTCACTCGAAGGTAAACAACGAAGATGTCATGCTGCAGCTAACGTGAAAAGCTCATTTTACAGTTGTTATTTGCATTCATATGTGAGCGAGACACAAAATGAGGTATGTTACCTTGTCCTTTCATTAAGTGCCATTCATATTGACGCATGTGTTTCTGTTTTTGTACAGTTATCACTTTACAACCGGGACACAACAGTCAACATACCCATTGGATTGGATTGTTTTTTTGTTTGGAAACCATACGTTTGGACTAAAAATAGCACCCGACCTTCATTTTACTTTTTTGGATTGACATCGCGTTATGAGTAATTTGGTTATGGGACAAAAATAATAACTCTTCACTGCAAATTATACAGACGCCATCATTCTTGTTTCAAACTGACATGCAATCTGGGGGAAAAGTTGTGTGTGTGTGTGTGTGTGTGGGGGGGGGGGGGGGGTAGCTTGAACACTTTTTTTAAAAATCTAAATGTTGGACAGTGTCACATTTAAATGTATCTAAATAGAAGTAAGTATATAGATGTATAAATACAGCTGTAAATGATGTTCCTTGGCGCTGTGGTTTTCAGTTTGATGGTACTTGGCTTTTGTTTAAAGTTACTTACTAGTATAAGGCAAGCGTAGATTCCTAGTAATCCATATAAACCATGTCCCTAGTTTTTTTTTAAAGACTAAAATAAAGTCAACATTACATATCATAAAATCAAATTCCTTATCAGCAAAAAATAGCTTTAAAACTGCATCATCTTTAAATTTCTGGTCCTCGTAACTCGAAAGCATCGCGTATTGCGAATAGAGGCAACAATGTACTGTATTATATGGGGTGAGTTATGGAATCGAGATGCTTGCGCTTGGGCACAATACGCGATGCTTTCGAGGTAAGGGCCCTGGTAGGCAATTGACCTTTTTATCCATCACCCCTGTCAGTGAAAGTTCGCTTAATGACTATTATTTAATTAGCACTTCACATGCATTATATACAATTATCACTCCAGTGTGTGGCCGTAGCTGTGCATGCAATTGCATTCTTTTCAAATGAGTTATCAGAAATGTCCAAGGGTTATATATAGAACAGAAATAAAGCAGAAATTATACAATGATGTCCCCTTGTATATCTTTAAATTATAGTATTTGAAACTAAATGGTGGCATTTGGTCAGTTTTTTTTTTTTTTTTTGCAAAAATTTAACTTTCAATGTATCTTTAAGAAAATTGAAGAGAACATGGCAGACACATGTAAGCAGAAAAAGATGTCTTTTACTAAAACTAAATAGTTGTTAAATTTGCCATCTATAGCACATTCCAAGTGAAAGGAATTAGACATGTATAAAATTTTCAATGAATTTTTTTTTTTCAGAAACAATTAATGCATGTATGTACGTGCATACACTCACACACGGAACCACATGTTAGCAATAAAGAATGGCAATAGCTCTGCTTGGTTTTTGTAGTTAACATTGACCTTGTTAGCATTAAACCTCTTGTCTTTGACATCTTATCTATATATAGCACCTTATATCTTCTTGACCCATTGGAGTTCCAGATATGAAGATATAATATTGGTCAAGTTAATAGTTATCGCTATGTGCTCTAGTTTCAAAGTGCAATAAAATTGGAATTAGATTGCATTTTCTTTTCAAGTGCAATTTATATTCTTTTATGATTGGATATTAAAACATTTTTGAGGATATATTTTTTTTTGCAATAGAAGTGAAAAACCAATGTCATTATGATATAATAGACCTTTTTCTAACACAATTTTTTTTGACGTTGATATTTTCCTTGTTTGCAAAATATTACAAAAATGTTCAACTGTTTCTCGTCATATTTTTTCTCTTTCCATGCCCAGTCATTGAACCACAGGCAAGTGTTATTTCCTAATACACACTGTGGGTTTGCACTTGGTGCAGTTGAGTCAACAGGTGTATAGATAACGATGAAGTTGTCTAGCGGTCAAAGATTTCTATTTTAGATTGTAAAGAATTTATCTGTATTCGAATTTTAGTTTTTTCCTCCCACCAATGAAGTAACATTCACCTTTTACGGCTTTAACAATTTTTTCAAATCCTTTATTTTTCTTTGTTTAGCTTTAAGTGAATATGCCTTGTCAATGTGGTCATTAATGTAATTGACAGTGTCAGTTCATAAGTAACAGAAGTTGATTTGACCTTCTGCGGTAGACTTCACCAAGTTCAATGATTAATTTAGGATATAGCAGTGCTTTAGTTCACAGCCTGCATTTTTCTAGTGAGTTGGCAATTTTCCAAGTTGGCCAAAAGGTATTTAAAGAGATGCTCATTACAATGAAAAGTTAGGTCTACAAACTGTCTACAGTGTATCAGTAATGTGAAAAGGTGAAGATCTTCATACTGTCTACAGTGTGTCAGTAACGTAAAAAGGTGATTTGAGCATTTTAAATATAATACTTAGCTTTTAAGCAGAGAGTTATATTTAATACTTGATCAAAGAAATTCATCAAATACATTTTAGATTTGGGATAAGAGAAATTTTAGCCGTAGGATCAGTACATTGTTGCTTTGAATATTGCATACATTTTTATGGAAAAAAAAACTGAAAAAGAATTCCATAAATGTTTTTTAAAACTATTTTCATTCATTGATTATTTGGAAAATGTTTTTTTGGTAAATTTTCCGACCTTAAATGTTTAGAGTTGGTGCCTGTAAATGCTGTCCAACAATTCGCAGGTTATTGCGTTTCTAATAATTGTGCACGTAATTGGTTGGCCTCAGTTGTTTGGGTTTCTAAAAATGTACCGTAAACATAGTTACGTATCACATGTTCTAAATCCTGAATAACACTGTACTGCATTATAAATCACAAAGGAGCTGTTGTGTTGTAAAATATAATAATGTTTTCATCTAGGTTGTGAGGCTATACAAATGGAGACACACTAATTGGAGGGCTAGTTGCAACTTGTTATCTTTTCACGGAGCTTAAAAACAGTAACGGAAATGGTTACTAAAGGGAAAGGAGATGCACCCAAGATTGTGGAGCCAGAGCAGGAACCTCTGAAATCTGAAGATAAAGAACAGCCTGCAAAAGGATCCTGCCACTTGGAGTTTATTCCCCCTGATGGGGGGTGGGGCTGGGTGGTATGCTTGGCCTCTTGTTGGACAAATGGGACAATATTTGGAATTCTCAACAATTTTGGTATTCTTTTTCCTAAGATGCTAGAGGCATACGCAAAGGATGACCCACATGCAACTTTTAGAACATGTAAGTTTCAACATTTGTAGATCTTTTGAATAATTGTCTATAATTTTCAGATGAAATGAAATGAAATGTATAATATACACATACATTTTCTCTATCTCTGCAAATTAAGGGGTCCGTTGTTGAGCAAATTTGGTTTAACTAATGATAGCATTATTTACTGGTATTCACACTGACTATACTGTGGCCAGCACTGGCCAATAATTGCACTTTACGAGAGGCTAACTTGGTGTTGGTCTCATTTCTGACATTCTGGTGGAACAATTCTCACTGGACACGGAACAGAAATGTGAACAAAATCAGCCAGAGAAAATGTGAATATCTGGTGAAAAAAATCTCACTGTGGCCCTGGTAGAGGATAGTCAACGATGGATTGCGTGTAGGTATGTGTGTGTGTATCTGTGTATGTATGTGTGCATGCATACTTGCATGTGTGTGTGTGTGTGTGTGTGTGTGTGTGTGTGTGTGTGTGTGTGTGTGTGTGTGTGTGTGTGTGTGTGTGTGTGATTCTCAGAAGACATACAATAAGTAGAATGGTAGTTTTGACCATCATGGAATTTAGAATGGTAGTTTTGACCATCATGGAATTATTTCTTAAAGATATGATTTTCAAAGCTTAAACTCAAAACAGGATACATCAGTTAAAACACTGATGTGGACAACACGCTTGTCTGGATTAAATTTTTAACCAGCCCTGTGTTCACCAAATAAGAGAAAGCTGTGACCAAAGAAGAATCTCAGCTTAACCTATCAAAAATGTTGGCTTTTGTATGTGGAAGAAACTGTTTTTCTGCTAGATAACTTTTGATATTTTAAAGCTGCATGTACTGAGTGGCTGACTTAGCACTCGACTCAGAGCAAACTGGAGTTTGAAAAATACTAATTAGTTAAGGGTTTAATGTGTTGTTGACATCCATAATTGTAAGTTGTATTTGAAGCAAAATGTACTTATGAGCAGTTTTGGAGTTCTTTTACTTGTTGTAAATATCATATTTTGTCATTGATATTTTAACATCTTAGCAGAGTAAACAACTCTACACAAGCTGCATTTTGACCTTTAGAGCTACTGAAGGGTGCATGAACCAGTTCCAAACACTTTTAAAAATAGAACTTGCACTTCTTCCTCTTTTTCGAAGCAAGCTCAGATTTCCACCTCTATTAGTATATATATCAAGCCGCAGGATTTTTATGTCAGCCATCAGTTACTTTTTCAGTTGTAAACACTAAAGGAATGTCCTTTATGCACTTGTGCTTTTGCATCTCTTATGATAACAATGTTTGAAAATAAAAAAACTCATGCCATAAATTCTGTGAATTCTGTGAACCTCAAAATAACCGATTGTCAGGCATACTTTTCATACTAAAAAATGAAGGTAAGAAAGACATGTCAGTTATTTTTTTTAAATAGAATTTTTTTTAGACATGGTGTGTGTGTGTGTGTGTGTGTGTGTGAGAGAGAGAGAGAGAGAGAGAGAGAGGGAGAGTTGTGTGTTATCAGTGAAGAACACAAAGATGTTTGAATCACAAATACACATTTTCCGTCAAAATTTCCCAAGGTTATTTGTAAAACTGATGTATAATCAACATTTCTCTTTTTTTTTTTAGCTTGGATTGGATCTCTTTGTGTTGGAATGACGTTCTTTATGTCAATGATTGCAAGCATTTTGACAGATCGTCTGGGAATACGTGTCACAGCATGTGCGGGTGCCCTTATTGCGACTGCAGGCATCCTGGCCAGTTCATTTATAGAACAACTAGAACTGATGTATCTGACATATGGTATACTATTGGGTACAGGCTGTTCTTTGGTCTATACTCCGTCCCTGGTAATATTAGGACATTACTTCAAAAAGCGTTTAGGTCTGGTCAACGGAATAGTGACCTTAGGAAGTGCTATATTTACCATAGTTTTGCCATATGTGCTCAAGCATGCCTTACACACAATCGGCTTCAAACACACTGTCCATATTTTGGTTGCCTTGGTTGCCTTATTATTTCTTTGTGCCATCAGCTGGAAACCCCTCATCGTTCACCCCTCAAAGTCCCAACACAGTGGAGTGGAACAATTTCTGTCAACAGCAACCATCACTGAAAATATGAGTGACTGTATGCGCTGGACACGCAGATTTCTCAATGTAAAGATTTGGCGACAGAAGGGCTATGTTATCTGGGTGATTGCAGTTCCTGTCTGCCTATTTGGATATTTTATTCCATTTGCCTATTTGGTAAGTTGCCTATTTGATTTGAATGAAGGACACTAGGTTTCCATTTTTATGAAAAGAAAAAAAAAGACAGTGATTAAAATAGTCTTTGAAATGAGTTTTTTATCCAAAAAAGTAAGCTACACTAAAAAGATTCTCTGGGAGATGGTGTCACAGATGCATACACTTAACATTTTTAAGTCAAGGATACACAGCAGTACAGTAACCAAGTGGCTACTTAAGTAGGAGGCTAAATGGATGTACAGGTGCTTGTAATGTATAAAGTGATGTGAAAACAGTCCACTGCTCCAAAACAGTTGCACAAACATGTTCACACATAATGATTTGTTGACCGTGGTTAACAAGTGTTCATACTAATAGACATGTTACATCAAATTTGATTACCTTGATGGGAAGCCAGGTCTATTACTGGATACTTTTTATAAACATTAGTTGCAGTAGCCCAAAAGGACTTTTTAATAAGTGCAGTGCAGATTCAGCACTTGCCAAATTGCCAGTGCTAATGCATTCCTGCTTTTAGACTTTTATTAACAGACCTGAGATGACTTATGCACTAATTATTTATTTTAACATTAATTTAGGAGTACTTATCCATGTTCAACATGATAATTAAAAAAAGGGGGGGGGGATACTGATAAAAAGATGAGCTTAGTGTTATGATGATTTGAATCAACTTCTATAATCTTTGGAACTTGCTGCTGTCAGTTATAAGCTCTAGGTCTTTCTTTTACAAAGTAGATGCAGGGACATTAAAAAAAACTGAAACCTCTCATTTATATATTTTAGGTAAAACATGTGAAAGATGTCCTTGGAGAAAGTGCCAACTCTGAAATTCTCATCATGTGCTTGGGTGGCACTTCTGGTGTAAGCCGCTTGGTTTCAGGCAAGCTAGCAGACGTGAAGTGGGTAAATCGCATCCGTCTCCAGCAAGCAGCATTCGTTGTCCTAGGCATCTGTACCCTGTGCATTCCTTTTGCTACACATTTTGCAGTCTTTGTGGTAATTGTCCTGATAATGGGGCTGTGTGATGGATGTTTTGTTTGTCTTCTTGGACCCATTGCCTTTGACTTAGTAGGTTCAAAGGGAGCATCACAAGCTGTAGGCTTTCTGCTAGGGCTAATGTCAGTCCCCATGATGATTGGACCACCAATAGGAGGTGAGAGCTATGTGAAATGGAGTGTTTGGAATGTGTGATTGACATGATTTAATGTAAATGTATGCCCTTTAAAGATCTAGAATTAGTGATCAAAAGTAAAAGGAAGGTAATTTTTTGAAATTGTTATAAAATACAGAGATGTGGATATTAATCACTGAGAAAGCCAATAAAACGTTTCATGCATGCACACACCCACAAAATTGCATTGGGGGATTCTGCTTATGTAACTTCTGATCAGTTGTATGTTATTTTTTTCTTAGGGATGCTGAAAGATCATTTTGGATCATACAACAGTTCATTTTGGTATGCTGGAATTCCTCCAATAATTGGAGCAGCCATCATGTTCCTTATCCCTAAACATAAGCAGGTAATATTACAAAAATGAGCTTACATCAGATATTTAACATTAGAAATGGCACTCTGGTTCTTTTGGCTGCTTGAAGTGATCTTGCAGTTGAAAAATAACATATTTGTGTTTCATGGTGTAACATGTTTAATGCAGATGTACATATACCTTAATGAGAGCAATTCTTAGCCTTAGTAATTTGAGTTTTCTTAACAGGACAAGCATATCTTTTGAGTAGACGGATGTCTCAATTTATGATGCTCACATCAACGTGTGCATGAAATACTGAATTATTCTAGTACAATTGTGCTTGGATGAGAGGGTGTCTCTCATTTAATAGCAGAGCAATGGACCAGGGGTGTCCCAGTATCTCATGTAATTTCTGCTTTCCTTTGCATGTTTTATTTGATAGCTAATCTGAGGAACACTTCCCATCTCTTTCTCAGAGCCCCTACAGTGCCTTCAATTTTCATTTTCAATGAAAAATTGTAGTTTGTTATCACATTTACATTATTTATTTAACTCCTCCAGCAATTTCCTGCTGTGTTTGAGTTGGAAGAGTTTGCAGCCATGGCAACTGAGAGTTATGATGATGAAGAGGAGTGGGCAGGTACGTTTATGCAAAATGCTTTGCGGATTTTGAAAAATATTTTTTTCAAAAGCATCTATTATAATGCATAATCATGGTTTCTCAGATACAGATACTCCAACATTTGCATGGTGCACAAGAACAGTTTTTTAAATTTTAATGGATCATTTCTAGCATTTGTCAGATACCTACATGTACTGTAAGTGCACGTATATTTTGCTTTCTAAAAATAAAACAGAAGCATTCTAGCATATTTTCAATTACAGCTAACGAGGACTACCTGAAGTATTACATCCACTCAGATGGAATTTGGCAGATGCATCATGGGAAGCCATGGAAAGGATCCCCACAAGAGGAAGACCTAGAAAAAGCCAAGAAGCAGTTTACAACCAAGAATGGCTTCCTTGCTGTTCCTTCTGTAATCCCTGGGTTACCTCAAAATACAGAGAGTCTAACACATGGTATACATTTATGAGACTGATTTCAGACCAAGTGTTAATTGATATATTTACAGTTTTGATTTTTAGTTCAGGGGGCATGTGTGTAGACCGCGTACAGTGTATGTAAGGCAGACATTTAACAGTGCATGGGATGAGAGGTTATAGACGCACCTTAGAGGCATATTTTTTTAAGTTTAAGTAATTTTATCTCTAGTTTCAATGGTAAAAACTTGCCCAGTTAATTTCTTAACATTTTTTTTAACAGAAGAAGACAATATCAACAAACCTGGTGGTCAAGGCCCTCAGTTAACCATCAGTAAAGTAGAAACTGATGGCACTCCTACAGCAACTGTTCCCAAGACCAGTGGTGAGAGTGACGCGCAAAGGAAAAGGCACCACAGTGACGGGGCTCAGCACAACAAGAAACCAAATGGAAGCATTAAACGTTGGTCACTGCAACAGCCAGATAACATCCAGGAGGATACTATTGGTACGGGAGAAGTAGTTATTGCAAAGGAATCTGTTTTATAGTTTGTTCATGGGGTGATATTTAGTGTACCGTATCTCAGCAGATCAAAGAACTGATGCTGATATGTTCGAAGGCATGATAATTGTATTTTGTCATATGGAATACACTGAAAGATCACACAAGATTTAGAGTGACCACATCAGCAGGAAACACATGTATACAGGTACACGAGGGCAGTTAACACATTTGGGAAAACTGTTGTAAGCTTGTGCAGTTGATCAAGGAATACTTCCTGAAATGAAAGTTACATTTTGTAGAAATACAAAATTGAACAATTGAGCATGCACTTACAAATTGATGTTTAAGCATTGCCCTTCTTTGAATAGGGATTGCTATATTTAGAAAAATATTTATGAGTTGATGTCAACAGAGCTTTTTGGTAGGCTCAATAGTTGCAATGCAGGCTTGACAAAAATGAATCTTCAACAAAATTTGAGAATTGCGAGAGGGGAAGTTGTCCTCGCAATGCATTTTGAGCAAAGCTGAATAAATCTTGCCTGCTGCACATGTCAGCAAGCATTGCCCTAACTTACTAGCCTAATATTTGCATCTAAATAATCTACCTCGCTCTAACTGGAATAAGGCAGTTTACAGTGATTCAGTATATGGTAATTAGTCTTTCCTAACTCAATAATTTGGTCAGTCAATTTCACAGAATGCCATAAGATAAATATCTGCCTTTACTGTTTGTGGATTCACTACTATGTGCAGATTCACTTAAAAAATTCACTCATTTTAAGGAATGTTTTTGAGATATTGATAAACATACAGTTTTTTCCATGTTCTTGAATGGCAAATTTTTATGTTAAATTTTAAAGGGCATTAATAAGTGATTATAGGCATTTTCCATATTTTATTCCATACTTTATTTTTTTAATAATATTATATAGGATTGTTGAATTATGTCCCATAAATAAGTAAATATATTAAAACTGTTATGATGTTAATGTGATGTTACATACACATTTGATAGCACGTGTGAGAATCATTAATTTTGTTTGACTTTGAATTGTATTTCTTTCCCTCAGTAGTTTGAATTCGTGTTGTTCGCTTTTCATTTAATAAGCTGTTGTTTAAATTGTTTTATGTTACTATTTTATTACTCAGATCCATGAAATATTTTCATGCACTTTTACATTTATTACAATTGTTTATCCAGTATTCATTATACTTTCTTCATATTATTTACTGAGCTTTGTGCCATATTAATATTTAATGATTGCTTAATGCATGTGATGAGTGTTAAGTGCATTTGGCCATTCTTAAACATTTCACAGTAGATTTGTATAGTTATTATACAGGATACATTGAAATAGTGTTTCAAACTTTTATCTTTACTCGTGATAGAGTAGTATTGGCAAATCCATTTAATTTCATTGGGCATTATATTGATATTTCCTCTTTGTCCTTTTTATGGGGTAAAGATCAATAATAAAAACTTCTATTTGCACACCAGTAGGTATTCTTTGTTACATGATCATAATTTTAATACTGATTGATTGGTTGAGAGGCAGTCATGTGTACTCAATATTTAACCATATTGTTCAAGCTTCGGGTCAAACATTGCGAAGAGGTGAACTTGTCCAAAGTCGATAATTATAAAGAAGAACCAAAGCTTATCATCTTCTGGAACCATAAAATTGCAAATATACTACAAAATTGCAAATTAGAGGATCTACCCCATTTAAATTATAAGGATTTCTTTCTTCCTTTGGAGGATCACATATTGGGTCGTCCATATTTAACCCAATTTCATAAGTCTGCAGACTGTACACAGGAGGGTACTAACCTGTGAATGCTTTTGAAAAACAACNTGACCATCCAAATTGCTTTCAAAGGTCATTCTCTGAATTGGTGATGGGGGTGGGGAATCTACTTTTTGTAGGCTTGTGAAAATGAAGATAAAAATGGATGGCTTCTAAGCAAGTTGGAGTTGAAGTCCAACTTGCATATAAATGTATCATGCAAATTTGACAAGAAGATATGGATAAGAAGACTTTGAGCAGTACATTTTTTGTCTTTAATTTTTTGCCATACTAAAGTATTGTCACTATACAACCTGTACCTATACAAAAATCCAAAGAAAGTCAAGTCTATCAGGTATTTTTTTTTTAATTACTGGTATAAAACTAGGATAATTGTCATTAAAATCTGGGAGTCGGGGGGGGGTGATGCTTTGAATATTGGCAATTCAAACAAAGCCACGCTGGCACTTCCAAAATTAAGTTATTTTTGCAATGATAACAAATGACAGAATAAATGAAATCGCATTCAGAGCAAGTCTAAGTATTTAAATAAGTCTTATTTATTGTGTAAATCTACCATAAGATAATTCCACATGATTTACAGTAATGTCTATTTCTGAGAACAAACAAATATGAAAATTGAAGAAACGTTACTTAGATTGCAGGTACAAAATTATTACAAGATAACATATGAGCAAATTGGAAAACGGCATACTTCCAAGCACTTCTGTTATTCATTTGATTTCACAATAACCCTACATTCGATGATAATAATAATTTAATTACATAAATTTGTGTAAGTATAGGCTCAGAATATATCCTCAATATGCCTGCAGCTGGTAGTAAATACAGTAATCGGAGTAATGTGAAGCCAGCTACACTACAAATATCTCCTGACATTTCCATACCCACCATTTTCCTTTTTAAAAATCTGATTGAAAAAGAAAATCTTTTCATATTTACCCTTTTTCACTTTTACTGAGTTAGTGCTGATAGTTACCAGGTAGTCCAAATAAATAAATTTCTCAATCATTTAAAAACTTGGAGCTTTTCATAAAATTTACACAATATTTATAGTTTGTAACCGTGTACTGAACTGATGTTACTGAATCTAACAATGGGCTTCCAATATGTTAACTACATGTTAAAAAAATTATCTTATATTGGAAGAAGATACGCGTTTTGTTCTAAGGTGGGCCTGCAGCAGCAACCAACTGATTAACAGGTATTACTACAGATACAAAAATCTCAATTAATCCTAGCAAAGGACTGAATCCCTTCATATCTTAAATGTTGTTTTTACGTGATCCTTTTCAATTGGTCTGTATATTTAAATCAACAAACATAAATCTAGATGGATATAGCACAGTATTATACACTCCAATCTTATATAGGTATATGGAAATATTTAATAGTTAGTTATGTACAGCTTTGGACTATCACTACTACTACTAGTGTTGTGTATAAGATTACTGCAACCTACATTTCCTAATATCACTAAAATAGTCCAGACTTTTTGAAAAACTTCCTCACTATACACAACATATCATTATCAAAAAGGAATGGAGACCTCTGTTAGATAAACCAAATCAGCCAAAAACTAAAGCATTTCTATCAGACATCATACATAAAATACTTAATGTTTGTTTTTTTTTTTTTTTTGTCTCACAAAGTGAGACAGTTGAAGCATCCACTTTAAGCCAATTTAACTTATTTATGAAAATAAACATCGATAGAAAAGAACTGCAAAAATAACTTGATTCACACAAAAGAATCAGCTCCCTTTTCTTGGTTACATGATTTCCTATCATTTGTTTGGTAACAGTCATATTGTAATGGAGTTAAATATGTGTTTGGCCAGACTGCAGACCAGCCTTCATTTGAGCAAACAGCATCACCATAACAAATGTCTTGAGGTTCAACCAAGCTGGAAGCTACTGTGCCCAAATTTTGATCATCATATTCATTGTCTTTAGTATGTGTGTGTGTGTGTGTGTGTGTGTGTATGTGTGTGTACGCATGCCCTAAACTAAGTACTTCCTATAATACACATGTATATCAATGTCCTTATATTTCACAAATTCAATAAGCCTTTTGAGATTAAAAAATGTCAATCATAGAAAAAATTTTTCTTATAATACACGTGTATAATCTATACATCCCCAGGTCCAACGTCCTTCATGGCTTCCACATGTGTAATGGTGCCATCAGAATTTGAATACAAGCCTGATGCTTTGTCTTCCCCTGGTAACTGTTCTCTGATCCCTGCTGGTGCACTTGTTCCCTCATGGCCTGCAATGAAGATGACAAGATTACACTCAGTGATGGCTTTATATGGATGGTACACAGGTGAATGCCCACCTTCAATTTCTGATCAATTTCACTTGTGTGCCAGGCAGCTGTTTTCTAGAATGTTTTTTTTATTCCTTATGTAGAAGGTAGCATGGTTATCAATCAGGCATGGGACATCTAAGAGTGCATTCCCATAGATTTAGATCAATCCATCGAGATCGACCTAACTCCCTGGGGGTTCACGCTAAATTGATGTCAGCCGAGTGCGCACGGTAGTTAACTACCCCCTTACAGCTTTTAGTAGGCAGGACAGACGCTTAAGCCGGCTAAGCTGACAGTAATCTAGTGAGACTCCCCACTGGGATAGATTGATCTAAAATCTGTGGGAATGGGGTCTACGGCTGTATTCCCAGAGCTTTTAGATCGATCGATCTATCCCTGCGGGGAGTCTCACTAGATTACTGTCAGACAATCCAGCTTAAATGTCCGTCCCGCCTACTTCAAGCTGTAAGTGGGTAATTAACTTTCGTGTCCGCTCGGCTGACAGCTATTTAGCGTGAACCCCCATGGAGTTAGGTCAATCTAAAGTAGATCGTTCTAATCTCTGGAAATGGGGTCTAAGAGTGCATTCAGAAAAGATGATCTGTGGCCTAAATGGTCCACTGATTAAATATGGCTGGCCTCACCAAAAAGCAAGCCACCGTAATCCCCTGATGGTCTCCATGCCTTCACACGCCCCATTAAATGGATTAAATCTCGGAGAGTTTGCAAATGTCTAAATCTATCTACCATGTATTTGTATTTTTGTCTGAGAAAATGGAAGAATGATTAGACATCCATATGATAAAAGTAGTGATAAAAGGCCACCAACAGGCACTACACCTGACGGATACTTCTGGAAATCAAGTCAGTGGCTGCATCCAATATACCACTTCTTATGCAAAAAGTATTTTAACACAGATGAGCAGAGTTAAATCCAACATTATCCAATGGAAACAATATGCTCTTTTATCTCATGTAAAAGTGTGAGTGTGAGCTAGAATTTTTATTCATTTCCCCAGTCTCCATATGGAGTTTTGTATATGGCCAATAGTAACATATTTTGTGCAAAGTAAAATACCCTTTCTGGAGTTATATGAAAAGAGTTAACCAGACATCTTCAATGAAAATGGACATTTAAAAAAGATCAGAATTATCAGGCTGGCATGAATAATTCAAACTGCACTAGTAATGAAAATACCACTTGTATAAGACATATATTTTTCTTGTTTTTATATAACTTTTATAAATACAAGTATCTATCCATGTTGTCCACAATTAAATCAATGATACATGGCAACAGGATATACTGCATCATCAGCATTTCTTAAATAAGCCATTAAGCTAATAAAACCATGTTAATATGAAAGTCTATAGCAAAGAACATGAAAGTATGCCAAATGCTACCTTAAATTCAATTGAATATCTACAATGCAGCTACTTCATAATTATTCATTAATGATAACAACAATCTGTGAGGGGAAAAAAAGGCACTACTATAATGAATTGTTACAGATAACAATAGTGCCTTTAGTACGGAGGCGCATTCTCAGTTTTACTTCATATCAACAATATCTAAATCCAAACAAATTGCCTGCTGAGTTGTGTAATCACATCCATGCATCAATTTTCTGTAAAGCTAGACAAACATGCAGCTTACAAAACTAAATCCATCTTATTACTTTGTGGAAATCCTGCTTAAGCAAGTGCCACGCTGCCAATTTTTGTTCAATTTTAATAAGCATCTTTTGACATGAATATAATTATTTTCAAGGAGCTGCTTTGCCAGATTTTTAAGAGTTATTTCTGCAAAATACTCTATATATTGATACTTTTTAGGGTACAATGATATCTTTACACAGGTCATTCATTCAAAAAAGACAGCAATGCTGTCAAATGGACATATGTATGAAGAAATTGATAGCTGATACGAGCAGTGGCATTAAAACTAAAAGCGATGAACAACCAATTTAAAGACGACAGTGCACCAAATGTTTTTGTCAAGTTGGATGCAATATTAGATAATTCTGAGCAGTTTAATCGCCATCAATTGTTACTACATACTGCTGTCATTGTGGACAATAGAAACCCTATCTAGCATAAGGCTTCATATCCATGGGACTTCAAATATGCATATTAAAAATGCCAATGCATGAGAAATTCACAAAAGACTTTAAGAAAAAAAAACAGATCTATCAAGTCTTCTTATATTACTTAAAATGTATTTGGGTCCTAAAAAACTTGTAATTTTGAGAAAATAAGTTACATAGTTTTTCTTTAATGGTGACAAAAGAGGCAAGTACTGGTTTATGCTTGGACACAGAGAATCTGTCCATAAAAAGAGTGACAGAAGGCAAACATGCAAAACACAACAGAAGGGCTTTTTTTTAATCAGTACAAGTACTAGATAGAGGGTTCCTACCATTAAATCTAGTCAATTTTACTCTTTCCCCTTCAGAATATGGTCTCTATCTGCAATAATAGCTTTAGAACCACAGCAAAGATTTAACCATTGTTGTTTCAGATTATTCACATGAAAGCCAATCTTGAGAAAATGTTTAAGGCAGTGTTCAGTATTCTCTATGGGAAAGTGAGTGTGACAAGTTGTTGCATCTCGTGTTACTTTGTAGAATAGACCTTTGAAGGATTTAATACAGTTTACTTTCTGACAAGGCATTTCTTATTACATTTGGCATTTTGTTTAAGATCTCCTGCAGCATTCAATCAGACACATGAATTCCACTAGTGCTGTAACAAAACACTGTTATCTATACAAGTGCCACAAACAAAAAAATGATGAATATTTCTGTACGTTTTATGAAAAATGAATGGCTTCATTTATGCTATTACTCAGAATTCAGAAAAAATATTGTTCGTAAAAGATAAATAAATAAATAAAAAATTTAAATGGATAAATAAATAATAACATGAGCAGAAAGTAATTAGTACATAAATACTGTGAAAAAACATAAAATTCCTTTTGACAAGAAAATCAATTTTTTCTTTTTCTAAGGCACTGTATTGTATTTCTGATACCATTTCAGGATTCCACACTTAATATTTTCCTTGTGAACTGATTCATTATGGAGTAATAGCACATAAAAACAACCATGAAAGCATCACAGTCACAACCAACACATAAACATGCCTCCTGTAAATACAAAAAAAAAAAAAAAAAAAAAAAAAAAAAAAAAAAAAAAAAAAAAAAAAAAAAAAAAAAAAAAAAAAAAAAAAAAAATGGGGGAAAAATGTACATCTTACATGCTCCATCAAGCATGTTAAATCATAATGCTGACTATAATAATACATATTTTTTAGATGCTGCATTACACAGACAAAAATTCACATGTGACTGGCAGAGTGTGTGCAGAAGAGACTACACCAATCTACTTACCCTACAGAATCACACTACAAAAGATCATGGTGATGTAGGTGTAGGAAGAGTTTGATAGGAATGCAGAGAACCACCTGAAAACAGGAGATATACTTAATGGGAACTTGGTACAGAAGATAGCAACCAAAAAGAGAATGCTCAATTTATTCTAGAATAGAGATTCAAGATGTTTGTCACTTAAATTTGACAAGAGATTATGTGCTCACACTGGCCATGGCTAAGGTGAAATTTATTTAATTTTTTTCATTTTGATTCATTTCATTCATGTATTATAAGGATTTATGAATGTGCATAATGATAATAATTTGCCTTATTTCCAGTTGGTATGGTAGAGTGTGATCCAAGAAAAAAAAATGATAAAAAGGGTGAGTGTTCAATGATGAACACAACTGTTATCATCTATTTCTGAAACATCCAATTTGTGAGGAAATGTTTTCAGAGAAAAAAAAACTAATCAAATGTTGTCAATTAATTTAAAGGGAAGGGTCAGAGTAATGGGAAACTGCAAAACATATCAATATATCCACTGTCCAACAAACCAATGAATGGCAGTAAATGCAACTAAGCTGCTTAAACATGAAAATACTACAGCACTACGGTATGTCCTTTTAGTGCTTGCTATTTTTAAAGTCCCACCAGCAGGCATAAAAAGTGTGCTTGAATTATCCCTCTACCCATAAGTGTGGTTATGGTAATAGGAGTGAAAGTAAAAAAGATAGAAATGATAACCATGAGAAAGAATGAACTAAAAAAAAAAAAAAAAAAGAAAATGTTAATCATCTGACTTCAATTGCCAGCAGCATGTGCTATATATAGCCCAGGTTTTCAAGCAAGGTTTTCAATTTATATCTAACCTGAAAAAAAATTGCACTGCCTTCATCAGGCAAATGTGAATCCTTCTCACTACTCATGTGCATCATTTGAGAATCAAACTGACATTTAAAGATTCATTTTCCCAAGCAATAACCCAAGCAATATTGTTTCAAAAGAGACTACAAGACAGCAATGTATTACCCAACTCAATGAAACATTTAAGGGAATAAAACAAACATTTAATGTAGACATTTTCCTGTGCTTGGATCCTTTAATTTATGGTATCCATAAGTCTGACAATAAATGTTCATATCAAGTCCTATGCAAACACACCTGTATCCCTTTCCTGTGAGAGCAATCAACATGAATGCTTCATGTGACACACCAATCTATTTCTTTCTAGATATACAGGCCGATTGCATGATATTGATTACATATCTTTCAAATATCCGTAGTGATTATAATCATAGCTCTGCGGCGATTTTCAATTAAAAGCCAGTGCCAGGGTATTGCATGGTTGCAAAGTTGATGGACATCTTTATAAAGGCCATTAAAATAAGAACAGCAGAGCCTCACCTTGTAATTAATCTGCTACAGAAATAAAACAGATCTACTGTTACATGATTACTATCTAAAGGCTGCATAATATCAATCATGTTAAGTCAACAAAATATAAATTCATAATTTAAAAGTTAACTTAACAAATTTTGTGAAAAAATTTAAAATATTTTCATTAAAAAATTCTGCCTTTACCTCTTATTGGTGGAAGTCTGTTATTGGGCATCGGGTTTTCTGAAGAAAGGGCACTTGGTGGTACTACGTAGTCATTCTGATTGGAATAATTCTTTTGAGGCTGAAATCATAATGAGCAAATATAAATTCCAAGAATTTATACCACAATGGATGAAGAAGTAACATTCAACATTACACTCAAGCCACTGCAATTAGTGATCCTCGTTAAGCAATACATACTCCTGTTTGTTTGAATTCTAATGCTAATAGTATGGTTAAAATACCGATAGAAAAAAAAAAAAAAAAAAAAAAAAAAAAATAGAAAGAAAAGATCCAAATGAATGATGTCATGATGCACTGAAAAAAAGACCCAATAATCTCACTTGTTCGTGGCTAAACTTGACAGCTGCTACCTGTGCATGTGAATCCACAGTGCTTCCATAGCTTTCATGCCTCACATTGACAGCATTCCTTTCTTTAGGAGATTGGTTGTGATACATGTCAGATGGCTGTGACATTTGGACTGGTGTCTCATCTGGCACCACAAAGCCCCTTCTGTCTAGTAAGCTGCAATCAATTTCATGAAAAAAAAAAGTCCGATTTCAAAAACATGTGGCTTCTCACAATGACATTTTAACCTGTGGCCAGTTTTTTTTTCTTTCTTTCAAACGTCTTATTTTTAATATACAGCATCAAATCTCTCAGTTTCCCAATGCAATAATCACTGACATTTAAAAATGACAGACAAACGAATAGCAATAAAAGGAAATTCCAGTCGGTCTTCAATAGGTCTTCCTCCACCAATAATTCTAACAGACGCCAGGGCTTATTACTAACCTGGGGTATTCTGGGCCACATATGATTTCGCAGCAATTCCCTATACAGGAACCCTGACTGAAAGGGTTGAAATTATCTTGAGCCCTTTTTGATGAAAATGATCCCTTGATCTGAAAGAAAAAAGTGTAGGCTAACAATATTATCATTTGCTATATTTTGATCAATGCCAAGAATTTGCACATTTAGAAAAGAACTATCAATGAAACCAACCCTCCCAAGTATTTTAACTACACTTAGAAAAAAATTATGTCAAGTTCTCCATATTTTCCTCCATGCAAGATAAAGAATGAAATTACACTTACAACCTAAAATATTCTGATAACAAAAGTATAATTCATATAACAGACATTTACAAAATCAAATCAAACCAATCAAATATAAACAAATCAAATGAAATAGGAAGATAAACATCATGTGAAATGCATTTACAACGATTCATGCTTATTAAAACTTTAGTGAACAAAGGCTACACTTATACTTACATCTTCATTAGTTGTTTGATTAGATGACACGAGATAAGTATGAAAACCTGCCAAGCCAAGAATGGACCACACAGAGAAAAAACAAACTACTGCTTCTATAATGGTGGGACCAAGTTAAGGAGAGGTAAAATGTACTTAAATGTGATTAACTACAAATAAAAACATAAATCTAAAAGAACTTGTGATTCTTCCACACAAAAAGGATGAAAATCAAAAAGAAAAAAAAAACAACAACAACATCCAAAGCAGAAATCCTGTAGGTATTGATTTAGGAAAGGCAGCAAAGATGAAAACTAATGCTCTCCCTGCTGCCATCAAGACCACTCAATTGCTTGTGCTGCTACCAGCAAAAGCAGGCTGCTAGCATTCTCTAATAAAGAATTACATGTACATCAACTATGTAAAAAAAAAAAAAAAAAAATGGGAGGAGTGGACCATGTGTTTAAAATTGTCCTAAATTTGGTAAAATCCATCTGCCAGACTATTAGACATTGTTTTCACCAGCTTTGGATTGAATTCACATTCTGCATTCATGATAAAGGTCAAATCAGTCAAACTTGTCGTCCTTTTCATTTATTGTAATCCTGCCCTGACATACCACTGACTGTGATATTATTTCCATGATTTCAAATCAATGTGTTAAGATATGTTTAAACAAAAAGACAGAAAAAGCACAGAGATATAGGCATTTTATTGAACTCACGTCTTCATTAGTGGACTGCCCTGTGGCTGTCAGATATGTATGGTATCCCCCAAGTCCAATGAGGGACCAAATAGAAAAGAAGCATATGAGGGCCTCCACAATAGTGACCTATGTTAAGGCACAAACAGACATACAAGACATTTCCAACAATTTGAACAGATTTTGAACATCCCTGACATTTTCTAAGTTCCACCCCCTTAATGCATTTTGCCCCTAAATGTGTTTCCTCCAATTACAATAACACTGAGCAAGGTTTTATTAATGAATGAACTGCTAAACACATTGCAAGGATATCTAACTGGGGAGTCCCGTAGAGCAATAAGAAACTGACCAGTTTGTTGAGTTCCTGAAAAAGAGAACAAACAATGATTCATGGTAATGAAATAAATGAGTTTGTATTGTTTAAACAAAGGGAAAGCAGATGAATCTGCCTTATCTCAATATCTCAGATATTTCAAATGCAACAAATAACAGTTTCATATAGTAAAATTGAGATTATTTGGGATTTATATTTTCAAACTATATAAAGTGCATCTTATTTGCAAAGAACAACTGGTTGGTGAAGTAATTATCACAATCATTTGACATGACAGTATTTCTTGTAAGGTGTCACCAGATAATTCATCTTAGCTACAAAACAGTACTTACATGTACTGATCAATATATTTATCTGAAAATTACTCTGAAAGACAAAACCATGTTTTATACTTACTTAATACTAAGTGTGTTACCACCACAGCAAATATGAAGAGACAGAGGACAGACAATGACATGATGAAGAGATAAAAATATCTGTAGTTACGCTTCCCAACACAATTCCCCACCCACGGGCAATGGTGGTCGAAACGTTCTGAAATGGAGACAAAAACAAACCTCAACAAAAACATGAATGTTGTGTTAAGAAAGAAAAATAACTGTGAGACATCCTAATATGAGCAGAATAGTCACTTATATCAATTACTTTTATAGCTTCTTCAATCAACGGCTAAGATTATCAAAAACATGGGAGCTTATTGATTATAAAGCGTATGAACCTCTTTACAGAGGCGCTGCTGAAAGGGTATTCAGAAATGTGCATTTACAAAGATTAATCACAAAAATTCATTTTATATGATCTTTAAAGATCATATTCACATCAATTTACCACAATATACACAATAAAAAAATAATTGCTTATTTCTGATTTATCACTTAGACTTTCACTCTTTAAGTCCTAAGACTTAACTTCATGTCAGTTGAATACAGTTTCTAGTAATGCTTTACCCTACCACAGCCTAACCCCTGTCTAGTTTGAATATTTCACAAAGAAGCCAGATCCTGTATTACTTAATGAGCTATATATATATATATATATATATATATATATATATATATATATATATATATATATATATATATATATATATATATATATATATATATATAGGAGTATATTCAGGTCAATGACTTACTACACAATTAACAGCAACTTATACCTTCTCTGCTGTTATTACATTTACTACACACATTTAACTATTTTGTGGAAGCATATGTCCCTTACATTGGAGATTTTATGAAATCAGATCTAAAAAAAGAAGAAATTACAGGAAGTGCACAAAAGGAAAGTGAGAAAATATACCTTTTAGAAGCTTCTGCAACAACTGTATCAAATGTATCATGGATAAAGTTCAATATTTAATAAAAATTCACTTGAATTGAGCTGTGGCACCTAATACTGATGGCTTATTTAAATCCATTTTTCCCACTTTTTTTTGTGCTTAATATCGGATCAATAATCAAACTGGGTGCACTGTAAAATGAAAGTTATTGTCTTTTTTACTTACCTACACAATTATCACAGACACTACAATGTGATGCCCTGGGAGGCCTAAAGATTTTGCAGGTATAACAAAACTTCAGCTTAACCATCTGCCCTTTAATAATCACTTCTCTGACTCTTGGTGGAGGTCTATAATTTGGCTGGCATGAACTTGGAACCTCTGCAACATTGAAGACAGAAACATAGCTGATCCCATGAGTTGAAAATCTTAAAGACATATAACAGATGATATGCAACACATTTAATTAATATTGCTATGACCAGGTTAAATTTTCTTCAATCAATGTTTTCATCTTTCAGCATCATCCCTCATTCTATTCTCCTCTCCCCAACACAGTTTAATTTTTCTGACCTCATAGGCATGTGTTCACAGACTTTAACTTGACTGCTAATAATATGACTTGGAAAGTAACATGAACAACTGGCTCATAATAAATTTCAGTTGACAAAGCTTAAAAAGCAACCCTCTCCACTGTGAGGAAAACAAATGTCATAGCAATTCTACAATGGGTGTTGAGCCTTACTTTCAAGAAATTACGTAAACGAGCCTAGAAATTCATGGTAAACTTCTTTTGGTCTACAGTTTGGTTAGATTTATCTTCACCTCTAGAACCTTTGTAAAACAGATCCAAGGGTAGTAGGAACTTACCTATTTGTCTCTCCAGATCTGCGGCCTCATCAGGTGTTGACCTGGGGATCACCCCAGGGTCACTGAAGCTTGTGCGGAAAAGCGTGGATAAAACAAAGATGAACAACAGCCCTGCAGCCAAAGGGACAACAAACCCAAATGAAGGATACGTCTCGACAAAATATCTGCAACTTGAAAGAGAAAAAAAAAACAACTAAATATCCTTTCTGTGTCAATTAAAAAATAACTGTCATCACTTAAGAAATCTTGAATAGATCTATCTATCTATCTATCTATATATATATTAGTAATAAAAAACAAAACACCAAAACATCATTTAGGGACTAATTCATAAGAATTACTCTTGTTCTTCCATAAAATATTGGCATCAATAAATGCAATTTCCTGGCCTGGCCCAATACAAGGGTGATTCATAAAGATTTAATTCAGTCTTAGTGCTACAAGGTCCCCAGAGTGCTGCCCTAGACGTACATTTTTTCAGTTAGTGTACTAGAAAGCCCTGCTTACTAATTGGTTAGCACATCCCTTTCTATTTGTGCCATTACAACCTGACAAGAAAAGAGAGGAATGAAAAGGAAAAAGGAAACAAGATCTATTAAAACAGTAATCTTAGTTATTGATCATGATGCAGTCTTTTCCAAAGAAACCTCAAATTTCAGTAATCAGGTTTTTTTTTTATAAATCAGGTTATTTTGTGTACTCTTACAGAGTCAATAAACAATTCATTTCATTTCTCTTGTTATGGCATTGGCCACAAATACATGACTTCCTTGGAAATGGAAGGATGAGGACGACATACTAGTAATTTTACATGAGGTACCGTTATTTTCCTTCAAAATTCTATTAAAACTTTTCCACACACACACACACACACACACACACACATTCAATTTGCAGTATTCTTTTGATAAATTGATCCAGTATGGTAAAGGAATGCAACAGAGTAACATAATTCAGACAAAAACCTTTTTTTCAAAATGGTTTTGTATCTCACAGTGGAGGGATGAATAATCCTTTAATGTTATGATCTTTCCTCATATATTTTCTCCAAATGAATCATTTCTACAAAAGAATATTGCAAAGCAAAGGTCAAAACTTATTGCAAAGATCATTGTTAAGACATATTATTTGCTTCAGTTTTAAACACATTTCATCAATCTTACTTTCAATGGTATAAATATCTTCAAAATATCATGAAAGCCACTCTACCATTCTAAGAAATATGTACCAAAATATGAAACCCTAATATAAAAATTGCCACCCTGTGATAAATGCAAGGAAATAAAATTAAGGTATCAAACAAATTCTTCAATACTTTAGCTCCTAAGTCATCAGTCATATGGTGACCCAAGCCTGGTGTGAATCATACTATTACACAGAGCAAGTACACATAATACTGCAGCACGTTCTTGTATTGATTTGCAATTTAACAACATCCAGAAGTGTAAGAAGCAATATTTCAAGCTGTACAAGTAATTCAGCATTTTCTTAAAAACCTGAAATTTTTTTTAACCTTCCACATTCCTGAATTAACAAGAAATTATAATTTTGAATTGTATTTAAAAATCTGTTTTTATATGCAAAATTATTAAGTATTAAAATTTTATTCATTTCATGATATATATTTATAATTTTTTGACATCTTAAAGGTTTCACAACCTGGTAAAAAATCTAGTAGTGTGCTACATTCTTTAAAGCAGTAGTAGAAATATGCATTTAAGTAAATTTCATATTGGTGAGTAACATATAAAGCACAGGCACAATTACTGATCTAAAAGAAACAGTTGAACTTGCTAATTGGTATGTGCACAGAAACCCAACCTTTCATTTCCAGCAGACTACTACATAATCACGTCTATCATTACTATACATATTTCAATCAATGTCATTCCTTATTTTAACACTGCGTAACATCACCATATAACACAACTGTCTGTAGAAAGATAAAATGGCTGGAGCTCACAGGTACCAAAATCCTAACTGTTTACCCAGGTATAATTTTGATTTTTACCAATTTGGAAAATACATTCTTGGTAATGGGTTTCAGAGTGTATGTATGATTTAATCAATAACTGATCTATTTGGTGTCTATATTATACATTATCTACATAATACCCTGTGCTAATGTGAGACAAATTGCATCTAAGTAGATAAACAGAAATACCTGTGGTATCCTAAAATAAAAATATATCATCAGATGTTAGTAAGCATGTACAACACACCTCCACCTGCACTGAAAGTACAGGAGAGAGGCCTTAATTACAACCTAGTTAGCCTGGCATAATGGTGTAACTGTTTCTACATATTGTGCATGTGTATACATTATTTATACACACAAATTAATGCATTAACATTCAAATGTTATTTCTGCAATGCTTTTTTGTAAATAGTTTCACGATATTCATCAAAGTTTGATTTTAAATCATTATGACTTCAAAGGGCTAAATACTTTCTTTACCAGAGCTTCAAGGTGACCTCACAGGATAAAAAAAAAAGCTACATACAAAATGGTATTTGCAATGGACTAATGCACTGCTCATTCTGTATCAATACAGATGCTGCTTGAAAATGGTATACATAATAATATATTTGTCCTAACATTTTAACCCTTTCAAATAGACAGTTGCACATCTCATCTGCAATGCATATGAAACAATAGTAAGGCATTTACACAGATATCTTAGATATTACAATATTATGAATTTTTATTCATTATATAGATGCATCAAGATAAACCTTTAAGAAGTAAATCAAAATTGATATGTTTAATGTGCTCAGTAGTGATCATGTAGGAAAGTTGTGCAATAATATGTAACATCTTGCTTGTCATCTGTTATCCCATAATGAAAACATGTATCTTCTCAAACATAATGGACGTCCTTGCACATTTTAAATATCTATTAAAACTTTGTTTAAGTATAATTTCAATTGGTACTTGATATCAAATTTCTATATGACTTTCACTTTCTAATGAATTTTTATTGTTGCTTATTTAAAGTAGTTATGTATAGTGCTTGAGTACTGCATATTTATCAAGCTAGTATCAACCCCTTTGTAAATGTAAATCTAATCCAAAGAATATATACGTTATGCTTATGGTGCATGAAGTGATCAAAAGGACCATTCCCAGACCCTATCATACTAACTGTGGATCGATCTATCTCCAAGGGGATTTTCGCTAAATTGCAATTAACTTAAACAGCTTAGATGTCTGTAACGCTTACTGAAGCTGCTAGGGGGTAATTAATTATTGCTTAGCAGCTTCAGTAGGCTACCAGACATCTAAGCTGCTTAAACTGAAAGCAATTTAGCAAGAAACCCCTTGGAGATGGATAGATCCTGTTAGATCGATCTACTATTAGGTATGGGAACCCAGTCAAAGTCAGCTGGGGACACTTTTTCAATCATGAATATTCCCATCAAATAAAATTGATATATTCCCAAATAATCTCTACCAAACATGGCCTTGAGAACAACTTTTCTTTCTGAGATCAATGTTTGAGGCAGTTATTGGCTTTATACAACCCTTATAATGTACTCATCCCACACACATAAAACATTTAAATCCACCAATGGTCAGACTAATGTAGATTTAAGATAAGAAAACTGACTGTATACCAAATGATGCTGAACCATTCTAATGACCTATATGTAAGTTTTATCTCCAGCCCTGGGACTTCGATAACAGCAAATTACAATTACGAATCAAAGATAGTTTGTTTCTAAAACAAAATTGAGTAAAACAGATGGTGCAGGGTTTAACTGCAGCTTAGTGGCAGCTCTTACTTCCCTTTCTTAATAAGATGCCATGACTGACAGAAGAGGTAAAGATAAAACCACAGATCAGTTTCAAGACCATTTTTTTGTTTTAATGTAGTTGATGAACATTTGTTATTTTTAATCTTCTGATATTACATTCAGGCCAACAAGCAAGAATATAACTAATCTACTGTCAAGGAAATTTATGACAATTTATTTTTGCATTTTCATTCAGTGTCTGATTGTCAGCTTTCTGGAAGTGACCTTTGAAATTAGGAATGTTATATAATTCATACATGAGCTTAGAGAGCATCAAAATATACGATAAATAAATGTCCATTGGAAAACCAGAGCATGTGATCAGATACCATTGAAAACAGTAAGAGAATTAATTTTCTCACAAATGTCAAACATCTCACAAATTTCATTTTTTAAAAGATTTATCATTTTTAGTTATTCACATAAACATACTTTCTAACATGCCTATAATGTGCTTCTCATATCTTCAACATCCTGTTTCCAAAGTTACTATCAAAACTTAGCATAAGGAAAAGTACCAACCAACTTCAGAGAGTAATAACTAATACAGGATATGTTGTGTATTTGAACAATCAAACCATTTAGTGTTCATCAACCTTGCACCACTTCATGATGAATGAATTCAAGGATAAATCATGCAAACCACGTCAACACGCAGTAAACAATGCTCACTTTCCCTAAAGTTAATTATATGAGGCACAAGCTATCATTATGAAAATATTAATCAAAACTGATGTTTCAATAATGTATCACCAATTTCAACTATTGTAGAAATGAGAAGGTGACTTTCACTGGCCAAGGATCAAACCATCTTCCTCAGTATACAGGAAGAACACTCTACTCTATTGGTTGTGTTGCTAGAGAGAGCAATCAGAAGATATAGGAGATTTCAAATCTGATGATGGCTAGACACTTCGTGCAAAGCATAAGGAACATGATATTGGATGCATCTGCATGAGGAGGATGATAAAGGTATAAGATTAACGTCAAAACTCACACTGATATTCTCATGAGAAAGTTGATAGGAAAAAGACTAATCTACTCTTGCCAATATGCCAGGTCGAAGAAACAAATTTAAATGCAGTGGAAACTTCTAGCCATAGTATTTGCATTTTTCAATTTATTATTATTTTTTCAGTGGCTTACTTGAAATTTACCTGCTTGTACCACTGTGCAGATTTAAAGAGATTTTTTAAACACCCCTCTTTGTCATAATATCATAATAAAAGCTGAAAAATGGTGCACCTTTTTTAAACTGCACTTTGACTGAGAAAGTTAAATAATAATGATGGGCTGTTTAGTAGCTTTGATACAAGAGGTGGTGCTTTGTGCAAGAAAATATCATAATAAAATGTACAAAAGGGCTACCACCGACTCTGCTTCAATTTCTGGTTCAAATTCATTATAATGTGATATTATAGAGTCATTCTGTCTCTATTGTTTTTTTTTTAGATTCACGAACCAATCAACTGAGCATAAATTCAATGATGACTCAGGAAAGCAATTACCAAAATAAACACGATAAGAAGTTTTTGTGTGAAAATAAGTAGGTAGATTTAAATTTTCAATAACCTGACTGATATTTGATAATAGTTAGATAGCATGCTTAAGTAGAAAAAGAAGAAATCAGCTTTGCTAAGTCCAGAGTATGACAAAAAGAACCAAATGACAAAGAAAATAACTTCAAATTCAAGTCAACTGCCATAACAATAAACTCAGTAGCCTTGAATGTATACATTGTTCATCTAAATAAAATTATTCAATCTAATTAAATATGATGTAACCTTGTATTGCAACTTGTATGAATGCATGATCTGATCTTATAAAATTTTGATCTAAATTGCTTAACCAGTGATTTACTTACACAAACCTTCCTTAATTACATAGTACTTCCCAACTATGAATTTAATCATTCATTACTTTAAGAATATATAATCAATGTTATATTCATGAATTCCACTATTATAAGATACACAGTATTATTTATCTTAGATTCCTAAGATGAAGCTTGAATAAATATGTTCTATTTAGAAAGCTGAAAATATTCCCTTTTTTATTTCTGATACTGCTCTTCACTGAATTCAGGGCAAACAAAAGAGAAACCATTTCAAACTAACTCTTCAAAATAAATCATCAGCCAAGCAGATTCATATACTTCTTCCCATTTCATTCAACTTAAGCACTACATTAACTAGAAATAAAATATAGAAAAAATCATTTAAAAATATGGATTTGAAGTTCATAACACATTGTTTACTTACTCAAATATAAAGAACAACAGACATGTCCCAATGATCAGAATGCATGTGAAATAAAATATCCCTGCTTGTCTGGCCATCATGATCCTCCCGTCACAGCAAAATTTGTTCCTCCCTGGGAACACCTCCCATTTCCGTGCCGTATGTGACATCTTCACTATTTCTTCGACTGACAGTTTAGTGGGAGAATCAGTAGCAACAGGCGAGTACTCAGCATCTGTCATCTCACGGACATTGCAAAATCATCAACATCAGATCATCCTAAATATGCCGGTTTCACGTCTAGATCTGAAAAAGTAAATGATCTTCCTTAAAGGAACGTAAAAAGATATCATATAAAAATCAATAAAGAAAGTTAAAAACGACTTTAAACAGTGATAATATGAGAAAATTTACCTCGCTGAATTGTTTGTCCACAAACTAAAGGAAATCTAACGCATGCGTTGCACCCTTTTCCGGCATGTGAGCGGCACCTGGCGGAAAGAAATGGTAAATCACTAAAGACGGAAATGAATGAGTGTTCATTAAGTAAAGGAATAGGCAACAATAAAAACAGTCTTTTATGCTAGTCGAAAAAGGCGTTTACAAAGATAAAATGATGCATTGAATGAAAAATGTTGGGGTGGTTGCTGATTATTTTTGATATTTTGCTAGCTTGTCTTGTGTGTCATGGCCGCGCCAAGTTGAGTGTTGCTGTTGCATCCCGTATGTCAGTGGCAACAGCGAATGTTTTTAATATTTAAAAAAACTTAGAAAAATCTCTTTTGCAGAGTTGGGTGTGTGTGAACATGTGCATGTGTGTCACTGTGTGGATGCATGGACAGGAGTCACCATATATTAGTATCTAGCCAGTGATTTGTTGGTAGATAATTTCAGAAATAAAGATAAAAATGGTACATGAAATATGATTAGTGAAAGAAATGAGCAAATGAAATGGCACTACCCATTTCTACATTTAGTGTGTAGTGTGTGTTACTGAACCACTGGCGTAACTGCCAGGCAAGTGAAGTTCTATGCAAAAGCTTTCCTTGAAATATAATACTAAGAGAAATTTATTTGTTTCATTAATTTTTTTCATTTTATTTTATTTTATTTTTTTGTTTTGTAGCTTGCATCCACAAAAATACATGGCTACCTGTAATGATATTGAAACTCAGCTGCAGCATTGCTTGCTGAACACTGGACTTCCAACTCTGAATGTTGACATAGATGATCCAAACCCTGGTATGATACATATATGATATAAGAAATACATAGTCTAGCGACATAATAAATATCCTTAGCATGTAGGTGAATAAGGTATTTTTTATAGCCAATAGTTTAAGGACAATTTTGGATAAAGTACAATGTACAAGAGTTTTTAAGTAACCAAATGAAAAGATCTACGCATTTTTGAACTATTATTGGCTATTCATAATTATTTTTACTTCTTTTGCAGTGGCCTTTATACCCCACACCAAGAGAACTGTATGTTATATTGTATGTGGGTTGTTAATAAATGACCAGAATGAAGTCCTCATGATGCAGGAAGCAAAGGAGTCCTGTCGGGGGAAATGGTATCTACCTGCAGGAAGGCTGGAGACAAATGAAACACTGAAGGTAACATTTCTGTTTTAAGTCATTATGATAATGATTATTTTTCTGTAAGAAGTTGTTATCCAAATGAAACTAAATCATCAGTTTCCCAGGACATATTAAAATGAAACCTGGTTTTAAAAATGAATCAAAGGATGGATTTAAAATCTCCCAATTTGAATTTGTTCAAAATACTTTTTTCAGGAAGGAGCTAAAAGGGAAGTGTTGGAGGAGACTGGTCTGGAATTTGAACCCCAAACACTTTTGTCAGTTGAAACACAATGCGGTACCTGGTATAGGTTTACTTTTACTGGAAAAGTAACAGGTAAATAATGAAAATATTTTGCTGATGACACAATTTTCAATTTTCAATGTGGGAAGAACTACTTGACCTATCAAAATAAATTTTTATAGTTTCTCATGCACAAAACAATATATCCATTTTTTGTAGGTGGGAAATTAAAAACCCTGAAAGAGCAAGATGCTGAATCACTTCAAGCAAAATGGTACTCTGTGGAAAGCATTAAAGAAGAACTACCTCTCAGGTATCAGTGCACTCACCTGCATTAAAGGGATAATAACTCTTCGTATGAGATCTATATTTAACAATAGAAACATTGTAAACAACTCAATGAAATATAACATATTCTGTTTTACCACAAAAACGGCAGTTATAGCTATTATTCTGATATCTGAGCTTGTCATCGGACCACATGACCTCCTTAGATGGCTATAATTTGTTATAATCTCTTAAGAGATTATTACATAAAAACAAACTTTTAAGAAAAAAAACAGGGACTAACTTTGAATGTAGAAATGGATTCATTAACCATTGGTAAATATAGGAAGATTGGTGTTTACTCCAGGAAAATTTTTTTTTGGCCAAAACGATCAGTTATTATCTCTTTAAGTTTCTGGTTCTAAAGATGTTCATCCAAAATATAAATTTCCTGTCTATTTAAATTGCATAGGAAGAAGGCCCATTTTGTTGAGCAAATTTTTTCCTTAAATATTCAGAATTCTTGGTGAAAGACGATGCATATGTATACCCTATTGTTCATATTTAAATTTTAAATTTCAGGTTGAAGGATATTCTCTATTTAATAGAGATAGGACAAAGATACCATAATTTGGATGATAAAGGAAGGCCTCCTCCTTGCATGCCTCTCATAACACCACACCAAAAATGTTTACTTCGTCTTTTCATTGTTGCTGTATGCAGGTATGATCCATTGGACTTTTATTCTTTTCATTGCAAAATATATTATAAGGAAATAAAATATTTTATACATATTTTCATGATTTGTTTCAACATATACAATATAGTGAGAAGAATTAACCCTTAATTTTAAACAGAAATGCTGTCCATTCACCAAATCCTTTTCTACACTTTTTACACAACTATAAACAAACAATGAAATAATCGTGGATTTCTTTTAAGTGACAGGGAGAAAGTTCTAGTCTGCAGTAAGGATTTCCCTCATTTACCAGTAGTAGTAATATATGGGCGAAAAGACAATCTCAAGTATGCAGTTTCAAGATGTTTACAGGTTTGTACCACACTATCAGGTATACATCATGGAAACTTGTGTTAATCAAAATGATTACAATTACACAATTTCATTCACATATAGACCATGTGATAAAGACAAATGAATTTTAAAGAATTGATAACTTTAAAACCCTTTCTTGTTTAAAGTTTCAACCATGCAATCAAAAAGTTTGGAAAGAAAATGAGAGTTATGTCTTCTTTCACAGGTTGCTCTAAACGCTGGACAAAATACCCCAGACATCAAAGTTTGTGGTGTATTGTCAGTTGAACATTCGGGTGATTTGGAAGCAGTAAATGATGGTATATGTCTAACAGTGTTATATCAAATGAAAGCAGAACCCATGACTTGGAAAGACTACAAGTGGCATTCCATTGAGAACAGCGATTTGAGAATACAGCTCAGGAACAAGATGAGAGAAGGCTCAACTGTGCCTTTATTGATGCATTAAAATGAATTTGTTAGAATATGTGTCTCCATTCCAAATAAGGACTAATGGCCCTTGAGTTCATAGCCAGGGTACACAGGAATTGAATTTATTTTATCTATGAAGCTTACTATACCATCATATCTTCAAAGCTATGTTAATGTATGCACAACATGAGCACAGCCAGAGACGTGATTGATAATAATAAATTTGATTTAAAGACTAATGCAGTGTTCTAAGAACACTTCACTTTGAAAGTCAAACAGTAAGGTGCATTAAACATCTTAAATTTTTGAGGTATTGATAATCAAAATGTCAATGGGAGTTTGTGAAATTGTATTGGCTGGGTAATTTAAGTGTATAATATTTGTAGTGATTAATGCATACATAGCAGTTTTTAAAAACATTATTCTGCAGGTTATGTAACTATTGAAACTACACTAGCTGGTCTAGGTACTTTGTAATAAAATTTTATAAAAATGTTTAAAATATTTATTTCTTGCTTTAAAGTATTGAGATACACTGAAAACAATTATCAAAATTTAAAAATGTACACAAATTATGCATATATCTGATAAGAGTGCATGTGAATATGCAACTTGATTTTATTTGTATGCTTTTTCTTCTTTAATTGATCAGCTACCTGCTCCGAGACCTGTCTCTGCGTTTAAATTTGTCTCTTTCTTTAAAATCCTCATCTGAACTTTCACTATACTTTGCTCTGCTTTTGTCTTTCTTTTTGTACGTTTTGTCCCTACGTTTTTCACTCTCTCTGTCTCTTCTGTCTCTGTCCTCATTTCTGTATCTATCTCTTCTATCCCTGTCCCGATCTTTGTCTTTTTCTCTTCTTTCTCTGTCATCATCCCTGTCTCTTTCTCTTGTATCTCTGTCCCATTCTCTCTCCTTTTGCCGTCTATGATCTCTTTGCCTGTCTTTCCTATATGAGGGACTTGTTGACCTTTTTCTTTCACTTTTCTAAGAAATTGATAAGTATTATATCAAAGTATTGTAGCATATACATCAGTCAGCTTTTTAAAATCAGTGGATTTTTTAATTTTTCTGATTTCTCATAAAAGTTGCAGGTTGAGTCTTTAAATTCTTTTACTTATAAAAATCCCCACCCAAAAGGAATATAAGACAGTTTTACAATATTCTGGAGATATGTAATTTGTGAAAGCAATTACCTTTCCTTGTTTTCTATCTCTCTCCCTGGATCTAGACCTGCGATCTTTGTCCTTTTTGTGCTTCTTATTTTTCTTCGAGTCTTCAACTTCTTCATCAGAATATACAAAATCATACCTGCTATGACACATTAAGGATTTCACATTAAATATATACCAAACCAGAGAAGATTGCCATATTTTTAAAATACTTGCTACAGATTTTTATCAAAATACAATTGCACCAGATCACACCACTTAGAACAAGAAAATGCAAGAAATGACGATGCTTTTATTGAGTGATTAGAAAACAAGTGCACACAGGTAAAGCCTTATAAAGGTAACAAGTACTTTTGTTTTTCAAACAAAAATTTTGGCTCTATCTTTTAAAAGGATACTTGTCTTTTCTTTCTTGGTTTTTCAACACGTATGTTGGTGGACTTTTTTGACGGGTTTCATTAACATGTTCAACTCCTTTTCCTGATAAAAAACAAAATACAATTTCTTTACGATATAATTTATCTCAAAGCAATGCTTGATTCATTTCAAAAAACAATGTACAATTTCTTAAAGCAACACTAGGTTTATTTACTTGAACAATCATTTTGGGGAATACTGAACATACATAGAGAAGCATTATATCTGTGCTACTCCTTACTCAAAAAAATTAAATCATGCCTTACATGTTTCATAATTTTAATAATTAACAAAGTTACAATTTTTTAATTGTTAAAACGTTCAATGCTGTCATTTTCAATTATGTATGCCCTTGTTATTTGTGTAAATGTCATACCTTTTCCTCTCCACTTAATCTTAGCTACAGACTGGCTGAAGTCAACATGTATCCTTCGATCATCAATCAATACATTGTCCATCTTAAAATATGCATTCTCACACTCGCTAGCCTGAATAAGATGAAACACAAATCCCCCAATGTTATCAATTTTTTGCTTCTGAAGAATGGTTCAAATGAGAAGCAACAAGTACCAATAAATAACAATCTACTAAAATACTGTCAAATTAAAAGAGCTTTAATTCCAGTGTTCAGGAGGAGTAAAAAGCTAAATGGATATGTAAATGTGTATGAGATGAGAACAATAAAAAAAAAAAAAAAAGAATCAATTTGAGTTTTAATTTAAAAAAAATCTTTTAAAACAGTCTTAAACACAGCTAATATACTATGTAAAAATGAAAATACCACATGAAGAAAAAGACATTAGTGATATAAAATATACTTTTACATGGTGCTTTTGTTAAGTTGGAGATTTTCAAAATTTAGTTAGGAAAAATTTTTTTGTCAAATCTTTTGAAATGCCTTTTTAAAATAAAATGTGTACAATAACCTACCTTTTCAAATTCAATAAATGCATATTGCAAGGAATTACCTGTCTTCTGATCTTTGATGACTTCACAACTAAAAAAAAGTAATCTTTGTATATTTTTCTCTTTAACTTATATAAACATCTCGAATATTTCATGTCTAGGTCTATCCAGTAAAAATAAAAAGTTTAACACTTCAAATACATCTATTTCATTCAACTACCCTTGGTACATACTACAAAAGCATGCATAACATATCCTAAATAAATATTAAATACAAATATGCAGCTTTCCAAATGGTAACTCCTATAATACAAATAAGGTTACCTTAATATGTTTCCAAATCTTGAAAAAATAATTTCCAAGTCCTCTCCAGTTGTTACAGGGTTGAGTTTACAAACAAATAACACATTATCTTCTGGCTTAACATCTACATCTGGAAGATCTCCAACCTATGATAACAAATATAATAGATGAACATTTAGGTTAACACATGACTGGTAACATACATGAGGGCTATCATCTAATGTTTATGAAATTAGAAAAGCAAAGTAAACATTCAAATAACTAGATTCAGCACACCTATCTGTCCCATTTATTCATCCACTTATTAAAATAAATCAGCAGAAGAATTATGTACGAAACACCTAGCTTACCATTTCTAGGATCTGTGCATTTGCTTTAGCTTCTCTCTCTTTCATCATTTCTTCAATCTCTGCCATTGATTTCCCTTTGGTGTCATCTATTTCTTCATCAAACCCTATGCGACCACTCTGGCAAAATAATTATATTAATGACATTAAAAATTGATGTTTAAATAATAATAATAAAAAAAAAAAAATAATAATAATAATAATAATAAATATGCTCAAACATTTCTAAAAATGAAAAAAAAAATGATACTTTGAGTAACTCACATCCAACATTTCTTTGCTTGGTTCAGGAGATCTTTCTGGAATTTCCAACCCTGGTGGGTCAGGATAAGGGTCATCTAGGATTATTGTGTGCAGTATCCTGCAGATATCAAAATAGGATATAATAGGATATAAAGTAAGCACTCAACTGTTTATATGCCATCCTATCAAGCATACAGAGTTGTCATCAATCATAACCTTCTAACATTGCATTATTTATTTTAAATATGTTACAAACAATGATTGTTACAGTGCAAGATATAACATGTATCTGAGGAAAATGCGCTATCAGCCATTAAAAATGTCAATAATTGTTAAGCAATAATCTGCAAAAAATGCTCTAGAGCTGATGTTTTATTGTACGAAATTAAACATATGGAAAATGAAGCTAACTAAAAATCAATATCTTAATAGTGCACCTTATATCTTGGAATGGACGGTTCTCTTGATCACAGTGAGCCTCATTTATCTTACTGAGGGTATCAAAACCCTCTGACACCTCACCAAACACTGTATGCACGCCATCCAAATAGTCTAAATTATCTCCAGTTGTTATGAAAAACTAAAATAAAATAAAAGACATTTTTAAATGTTAAAACAAAGCTATCATCGATCTAATCTATAAATTCTAAGAGAAGTAATTCTTCTTTGAGTTACATTAAGCTTTAATTGAAATTTATTTCTGACTCATACAAAAGCTAATCAAAATTATCACATAAATCACATATGCCTCACTGACTATTGGTGCATTTTTAATTAATAAAAAATATTGTATTACCTGAGATCCATGCATGTCATTGCCATTATTAACCATTGAAACTGTGCCCATCTTTTTGTGCTTGAGTATGGGCTTTACTTCTCTTTCAAAAAACCTGGCTTGTTCTCCATAGAGTTTCCTTAATACAAACAGATATGATAAGACTTATATTCACTACTTCAACATATTTTATCATTTAAAAAAAAATAAGTACTAGGTAAAGTTATTCTATCTTAAAATTTGTATTTATTAGAAATGAGAATTATAAATTTGAAAAGAATTTCTTTAATTTGACTTACTCAAAGATGGCAGCCCCTCCCCTCCCACTCCCAGTGGGGTCTCCAGTCTGTGCAACTAAATTTCTCTGAAAACAAAATTAAATTTCTAAATATTCTAGTATAACAAATGATAATCATTATTTAACAATAGATGGAAATAAATGCATTCAACAGTCTAAATTTTATTTGTCATTCAATCTAAATAATATGCAAAATGCATTTTCATACCATACATCCATAATATTAACTTTTACTTTTCTACTGTTTTGCTCAAGTCTGGCTAGGATACACTGTCAGGCAATTACTTGATCTCATTTGCTGTCTCTAGATAGCATCCTCAGTATATACATAAAACTCAATATACAAATGCTACAGACAACACTCAAAGGATTAAGAAATGATACATAAATGATACATAAGTGTCTCCACAATCCATTTGAAAGGATTGTGGAGACAAATGGTTAACAGGCTATTAATTGTTGCTACTAGTTTAGCAAAACCTGCAATACATGACGTATATATTGTTTCCAGCTAAAAAACAGAGTTATAATTCATAAAAAATTACAACCAAAAAATTACTGTGATGGTATTAAAACTCTCTATATTAAAAGGTTAAGAAGGTAAATGCTGACAATTAGTTAACCTTACATCTTACCTGAATTGAATGGAATAAGGAAAAGTTGTAGTATTTTATCTTGCATAACTTCAAGAAATTTAAGCAACCTGTAAATACAAAAGGGGTGAAAATGGTAAGTCAGTGGAGTAGCATAAAAATTCATGTGTTAGCACTTCTATCAACAATTTTGATATATATGGTGTCCTAATGCAAAAGACTCAAAGAACTTTAAATGACATCTGGTTTAGGCATTATGCGGGAGCTGTTAAGCTTTTATCTTACCTCTCTCCTCCTCAACACCCCTGAAAAACCAACCAGTAATCTCACCAACAGAACTGTGAGTAAGGCAAGATTCATTTACTTATCCACCAGTATTAAGTGCTACCAGTTAGGCTGCTGTGAAATTCAGCAACCAAAATCAGAATTCTGCATGGTCAAAAAATGATGCATTTATTTTCCCCACTAAGAAGCAACCTGTTGCCCAGAATCGAGTGCATTATAAGTTATGTGAGCAACATAGCAACATAATTATTCAAGAGTTTCCTTTGGGGGGGGGATGAACAACAAATTCTCATGAGGAGAAGTCTGGTCGGTGCCATCCCCCTCTCATGGCTCTGTAGATGAAAAATCTGGGTAGCTTTAAAGGAATGTAGGAATTAAGGCAAGATGAAAATTTGACTGCTCCCACAAGATGGATGTGCAAACTGGTCATCATTTTATACTTTTTGAGGCATTTACATTCATTCTAAAGCACAGCGTACACATTGAAAATCATCAGTAGGAGTGCTAACAATCCCCCTTACAATCACTGTTTTAAATTTTACACAGAACAGATCAGGTTTGCTTTTGGTATTGTGAAGACTACCTGCATATACATTGTATGATATTATGAATTGGGTATAGTTGAAGAAGAATTATCAAAATGATCTTGACAAAAACCAGCTAGAAATGCGTCATTTAACAGTGGCAGTTCATTGAAGTTTGTACTGAATAAACAGCTGATTTCATAGTATATACTTACTTCTAGGTCTTTCTTCAGTATAAAGATCAATTGTTAGGTCCCCTACTGAGGTCTCAAGAATAACAGCCATGTTAAAAAATAGGCAACTTATTTTCAACTTCCTTATTTTAACAGAGGTTGCATATATATATAGATTAATGAAACAACACAACCGACTGTTGGTAAACTAAACGTTCATGCAAGTGCTCTTCAACAAAAAGAGGAATCTACATCTATAATAAGCGTGTAAAAGTGAGACTTGAATTTATTCAAAATATTTCATGTCAAACAAATATATAAAAATTTAAAATGCGTTTTGAAACAACTTTAATAATATAAAAGATAATAAGTATCCCAAATCATTAACTGACTGATGACACACTAAAGTAATATAGGTAGCCACTTTTGTGCTTGTACGAATTTCGGTCCTGTATTACAGTTTTCAGTAAAAGCCGACACACACAGGCGCACGTTATCCAGGAGCCAAGCAGACGAAATGTCCGAGTCTGTTGTTATTGTCAGTGCAGTCCGTACACCTATAGGTAAAGAACGTTATTACACAAGCCAAAATTTTGCAAGTTTTGCTTCATATACAATTTTTTTTATATAAAAAAGATTTAACACTTCAGAAAGAAGAGAGAGTGACGTGACATTGACACGGTTTTAACGAAGTGTATTGGAATGTACCTCTAAAATATAACACAAGTCAAGGTAGCTGAATGGGGTTTTTAAAGTTGTACATTAGATGGAAACGAAAATGATGTTAGATATAGGTCTTAAAATTTAACAGAAATGTGGCTATTCCTACTGAGGATTCGTACTGTGTGGCGTGATAGAAATGCAGCAATCTGATTGGACAGAAGTTTGTGGTATCAGCCCAGAGTTGTTTGTTTACATTAGATTATTGCCAGTAAATAACAAAAGTATGAAAAACTACTTAAAGACTGGAGATGTTTAAAGATTTAGTTTAATATATATCAATCTATACCTACCATTTTTTTTTATTGAATTAGTTATTTGACCATCTGGGTATCTGCATTTTCAGGCACTTTAAATGGATCACTCTCTTCTATACCTGCCCATGATTTGGGTACAGTCGCAATAAAAGAAGCATTGAAAAGATGTAATGTGGCCTGTGAAGAAGTGTCAGAGGTTATTTTAGGTCAAGTCTTAACTGCAGGTAGTCTTTCCATTTTCATCTTGCTCATTTACAGTTCATTTGGTAATTAAACATGGTTTACATATATTTAATTGTATATTAGTGCTTGACTGTGCCATTGTTAATTCTTACAGAAGACTTTCAAAATGGTGGAATAAAATAAAAAACATATTTAATGATAATGTATATCATAATGCGGTTAAAGACAAAGTATGTTTTAAACATTTAACATATAAAAAAAAGTAATTTTTTCTCTGCCCTAGCACAAGGACAAAATCCTGCCAGGCAGGCTTCCATCAATGCAGGCATTCCAGACACTGTACCTGCTTGTGGAGTGAATATGCTTTGTGGATCAGGACTGAGAGCAGTTGTTCTTGGCACACAGGCAATTCAGCTGGGAGACTCTAATATTGTAGTTGCAGGTGGAATGGAAAGCATGAGCAGGGTGATTTGGTCCTCATTTGCAATTGAAAAGAAATATTATGAAATGAAAGCATGTTAAGGCAACCTAAGACCCCATTCCCACAGATTTTAGATCGATCTATCCCTGTGGGGAGTCTCACTAGATTACTGTCAGCTTAGCTGGCTTAAATGTCTGTCCCACCTACTAAAAGCTGTAAGGGGGTAATTAACTACAGTGTGCGCTCGTCTGACAGCAATTTAACGTGAACCCCCAGGGAGTAAGGTCGATCTAGATGGATTGATCTAAATCTATTGGAATGCACTCTAATTGTAACCAACCTTAATTCTAGTCATTAATTTAAATTAAGCCAGTGGTCTTGTAAACTGTGATTGATGGATTTTTTAAATCATAGATTATAACAAGATATACCCCAGTAATATACCCCATACTTCTATTTTGTAGCTTACTTTTTTGAACATTTTCATTTGATTAGTCTCCACATGCAGTTCACATGAGAAATGGGGTGAAGTTTGGTGATATGAGTATGACAGATACAGTGCTGAGTGATGGTTTGCAGTGTGCCATCAAAAACTGTCACATGGGAATCACAGGTATATGGAGGCATGTTAGATTATTGTTTAATATGCATATTGATTTTCAGTTGATCAATGAATCAAGCATTTTAGAGGTATACTCCATGAGATTTATTAGCCAAAATGGATTTTCCAGGGAAAAAGAGCAATTTTCTTGTACTCACAAATCATTTATCTGTCCCCTTGGATTCCACCTTTGATAAAATTTATAAATGATGATTTTAACTTAAAATGACTGGCCTGGCATTATAACAGCTACCATTTTCCTATAAGCTCCAATGGAAATATGAACATTGGGTATGTTCCAGTTATAATTATTTAAGGGGTTAAATCATTTTAATGTGTTTTTAAGGTTTTAAAAGCAGCTATGGATGTCAAAAAAAAAAAAACATTTTGGGTATTTTGAAACACATGGAGTGTACCGTTAATGTTTATCCTTAAGTAGCATTTTATGTAAAGCAATTGATCATAAGTAACTTTTAATCTTACCACTTTGATTATGATAACTGTGAATAATTGTTCTCTTATTTCATTTAGCTGAGAATATAGCTAAGCAGTGGCAGCTGTCTAAAGAAGAACAAGATCAGTTTGCATTGAACTCCCAGCTCAAGTGTGAAGAAGCTCAAAAAACCAACTACTTCAAAGATGAAATTGTGCCAGTCACTATTAACATTCCAAGAAAAGGTACATCAGACTTAAACATTTATCAAACAATTAAGTGATTGATTTAAACAGCTCTCTGAATGCCAATCTTTATACAGTAGGTATAAGTATTTTATAACATATTTTAGGACCACTAGAAGTAAATAAAGACGAGTTCCCAAGGTCAGGTTGTACAATTGAAGGACTTCAGAAGTTGAGACCTGCATTCATCAAAGATGCCTCTGGTACAGTGACAGCTGGCAATGCATCTGGTATGCTATAGTAATTATGGTCTAACATTTGCCATTCAGCTGGGAAATATTATAAAATATTGTACCATACTCTTTAACTTGCTTCTAAATGTAATTATTCTTCAATTTCATTGGAAATGATTTTAAGTCTGAATGGTTTTTACATAAATGACATAATAAGAAACTTTTGAAGCATTATTGTCATATCAATTCGTGCCTTACTGTTTCTCTACTTTTATTTCAAATCTTGAATCTTTTCTTGATTACTTAAAGGTATTAATGATGGTGCTGCAGTTGTTGTGTTGATGAAGCAGTCAGAAGCCATAAGCAGGAATGCACCAGTAATAGCCAGAATTGTCTCATGGGCACAAGCAGGAGTTGACCCTTCCATTATGGGCACTGGACCCATTCCTGCTACTAAAAAAGCAGTAAGTATGTAAACAGAGGCCGAGGTCAAATTTTGCTTACAAGATACATAGTCAATTTGTTAACAGTAAGTCGTGGTATCCAAATTTAGGATCTTGGGAAGATTTCATTTATCTGTAACTTTTACAAAGCAAATCTCCTTATTCATTTCAGCTAGCAAAGGCTGGTTGGTCAACAGATGATGTAGACCTATTTGAACTCAATGAAGCATTTGCAGCACAATCTCTTGCTGTGGTAAAGGAACTAAACTGTGATCCAAAGAAAGTAAGTGTGGTTTCTCCCTCTCCTGTGCGGTGCATCATATTAGGTGTAGATATTTTGGGAGTTGAGATTTATTATATCTGTGAACATAAATTTGTGCAAATGCAACACGTCTTGAGATGTCAACTCTTTGTGTTACCATTAAGCACTATTACCTTTATTTGCTGCACACTTTTGTGGTCGACACCCCTATAAACATTAATTTTTTTTTTACAATATTATAAGCACATATACAGTGCAACATTGTGTTTCAATCCCATAATTGCAGGTGAACATAAATGGTGGAGCCATAGCCCTTGGTCACCCAATAGGTGCCTCTGGAACCAGGATACTAGTGACATTATTGCATGCCTTGGTGCGTACTGGAGGTCGAAAGGGTGTGGCAGCATTGTGTGTGGGAGGAGGCATGGGAATTGCCATATGTGTTGAAAGACCTTAATTTAGTCAAATATTAAGAAAACAGTTGTATTAAGATTAACTGACTGCTTAACAAATAGACAAACCGTACAAATTTACCACGCTGCAATAATACATTGATTTTTAATGTCCAGAATCATGAGAGAAAGTATAAACTTGTACTTTATCAATTTTGCATGCATGTCATTTACAGTAATGAAATACAAAGAAAATTTATTCGTAGCGTTTGAAAATTTAATTTTCTGTACAATATAAAGACTTGAATATACAGATTTATATATACATTTACTAAGTGGAGTTTAAATGTTCCTTGAAATATATGCCTATGAAATACATTTAACATTTACATTAAAAACAACTGTTCAATCTTTTTTTCTAAAAAAAATTATTAAATTGGGCTAAATAAAAAAGTTTGCTGATTCTTTTCTACATGTATATAATTATCCTTCAATGCAACCGTCCACAAAAACAGGATCAGAGATCAGACATATGTCAAGCATACAAGTGTTGGGTGCTTGCTGCTCATTTCATTCCTTCCACAGAGGTGCTACTCCAGAGTAAAAGCTGATCTTTTGATGTGGTGGTAAAGTCTGTATATTTGGATAAAACCGCTTTCTTACATTGATCTTAACTTAGCTAGACGCTGTGACAGTTCATCCTGAAAAGAGGATGTGGTGGTTTAATACATATCTGCACATGTATGTGCAATAGAAGTGTAATACAAGTTGTATCTGAAGTCGGAAAACTTGAGCATTATTAACAAATTCTTATTAATGACATTTTCAGTACTTACTTGTTCTGATGATGCTGCACTGGCTGACCCAATGGTGGCTGTCTGACTTTGAGGCAATTCCATATTAAGTTCCAAACTGAAGAAAAACAATTAGGCAATTCACTTCTTTATAACATGCTTCTTGAAATAAAAAATGGGATTGCATTTCTCCAAAACAATCTATTCACTTTCACAAACACTTTTCTTCACAGCAAGGGATCTCAGCACTTTTTTTTTTGCTTTGATGATTGTTATTTAGGCATTGCAAGAAATGGTTTACTTATCAATACAGGATCCAAAATAACTGCTGATGCTAATAGCTGTTGCTAACTACAGACAAAATAGCAAATGCAATGTTCTCACCCAGCTTCATCAGCCACTTCCTGCATCAGGGAATCGACCTGTGCCTGAGGAGCATTTAGTGTGGAAGAGGCAGACATCGTATCTTCCATCACTTGTGATTGCACATCAAGATTCTCAAACTGGGTTTCAAATCTGTCCATCAGTTGTGAAACCTATTTATGAAAAAATATAATTATTAAATACCTGTATAAATATTAAATTTGCAACATAAACAATTGGACATATATAGATAAATATTACAGCTCAGTTTGTGCTTTTGTAATTTCTCTTACAAAGAATTATATCTAGGAATTTGATAGAGAAACATTTTAGTATACCTTTTCTAAATTCATAGATTTCATAGCGGATTCCATTGACTTCACAACTCCTGCCATGGACTGTGTTACCTGAAATATTGAATAGATTTTCACAGTTTAACTTTGCAATTAGTACCAAATGCATTGATTTACTGGAGTGGAGCACAGTGCCTGCTTACATCACTCACTGGCAAAACCCTTTTCAATAAATTTTTTTAAATTATTTCACTGAAAGTTTACCAAGCAGTGAATATGAATTATTGTGTTATCCTAACACTGCATCTTTTATTTCATTCCGAGTTTTATTCTTTCATTAAAAAAATTTAATTACATTGCTGTTATACATACTTGTTTTGTTGTAAGAGCAGTCTGAACTCTAGCAGCTACAGCATCTATTCTGGCACTCATTCTCCTATAGTTTATGGCTTCATTCTTCTTCCTAATAGAATTTTCTGCATGAATCCTGGCATTCTCTATCAAACCTTTTTGTATGGCCTAAAAATTTGATAAAATAGAAGTATTAAAAAAAAAACAGGAGCACTGAAAACAATACCATATGGATCTCATAGAATAAATGAAGAAGATTTATGTATAGGATTATTTATACCTGAGAAGTACTGAAAGTAAAATATGTAAATAAAACCCTTAAATTATCTCAAAAGTCTGTACATCACACATAGGAGATGACATGTCCTATAATTTTTGTAATAAGGGATTCCACATTATTGGCCACCTCTGTAACATCTCTCACCCTTTGTGATTTTTGTCATGTAAACACTTGTGCAACATGTAAAAAAGTCTTTCAAAGCAATCATTACATAGATACTTTCTGAAAATCTGCAATGCCAGCTGAATAAAATGATAACAATATAGCATACCTTCTTTAGTTTGTTTTTTTCTTCTTTTTCTTGTTTCTCACACTTCTTAGCATTTCTTTCAAGGTCTTTGGCAGCAAATTTTAAATTGAACAAATGTTCTGTAGATGGTTAAGGAAAACACAATATTTTTTCCTTTGTAACCATGCAAGCATTTAATAAACAGGAAGGTCAAATAATACAGCATGATATTTTCACCACCAGGATACAAACTACTGTGCAAAACATTGTTGAAATTGCTTGGCCCACACGACTGTTCAAGAGTTATTTTTTTCCTTAAGGGAAACAATTCTAGGCATCAAATGGAAGTCTTCAACGAACACATTTTTTCATGGTGGCATAACAGGTAGATGAGCTGATGAATTATACCTTGTTCAACTGTCAAACATCCAGGAGTATTGGTCACAGAAAATTAGCATTCTCTTTAACAAGATAGACAAGAAAGTGTAGATGGCTGCCATCTTACTTTAGATATATGATAGATTCTCTAAAGGTCAATCAAATACAAAACTATATGTAGTTCTACGTACATGAGAGATGGGTTCTCTAACTTTTAAGTAACATTGACACTGATTGTGATACTGTGATGTACGTCGATGACAACATTGACAAGTTTACCTGTACTTCCTACTTGGTTTTTAGGCGGTTTAAATTCGAATGAGGTGTATTTTAATGAAACCAAAGGATACTATCCATCTTGGAAATTGTAGCTAGATCCCGGCTTGTCTATATTAGCACCGTCTTCCGTCTTCTCGAAGATATTTCAAAACATTTACTGATGATCACTTACCTTCTGCTTGTGAGTAATATTTACGTGAGTGACGTCAGAGAAAAAGGAGACCGAATGCTGACCTCATCGATATATGAGTATTTTAATTTTTTATAATAAATAATTGTTAATAAAAGTGAATAGCCAAGAAATATCCAATGACTTCTTCTACTCGAAATTTGGCCTGGAATGAACAGTTATTTCACTTCAAAATATTTTGCTTCATATTCACTCTTCCCACAATGCTCCATTTATTTACAATATGTCTGCGCCCATGAAACTACTCGTGTTGACCGTCTACCACTGAGTTTGGACTAAGTTTTCCCAGCAGTCGGGAATTCTGCTGGTCATTATGAAGCGTAAAGGAGAGAATCCGTCACAGGAAAATGTTGAAAAATGGCGAAAAGAGCAAATCCCGACAGAAAATGAAAATTACACACATTTGAACTTTAAACTCGAGCTGCGAGATGCAACCACGATTTTCATCGGTAATATTTAATTAATAATCCAACGTTCGGCTGTCAACTTGATCGATTAATAACCCAAAAAACACCAGAAATCGATTTAAAGATACGACACTAGTGTTCCATAGTACAAAAACCCGATCACAAAATCTTTTTTTTTTTTTTTTTTTTTACCGAATTTATCGAATTGCCAGCATAGTAGATAGGTATATCAGAAGAAAATTCAAACTGATCAGAAAAATTTCACATTTATGTCTTCTGAAAGGTAATGCAAACCGAACCAAAACGGTGACCTTGGCTGGGATGGCCTCAGTACAGATCATAAAATATTGCGCATCAAATTAACTATACTAGGTATATCAGAAAAATTTTCAAACTGATCAGAAAATTAAAATACTTATATCATCTGAAAGGTAATGCAAAAACTGGATGAAATCATTTGGAATTTTTTAAATATTCCTACAAGCAACAAAGATATTGAAGTTTTTTAACTGCAAAAATCCACCAAAAGTGTCCACACTTCTCAGCTCAAAACCTGTGCCCACTGACCAGCAGTGATCACTCAGGCGCAGCAGAGCACCCTGTGTGTCTTTGTGTGCTCAGCCTATTGTCTGGCTCACATAGCCTGTGACTAATCAGGGCAGAGCTATTTCCCTGTGGTAATTTTCACATCATGTAATATTGCGGATTAAATTAACTATACTTCGCAACCTTCAAATTTCATGATTTTTCTACATAATATAGCAAATTTCATAAACTTTGCTGGATATAAATTTCAAAAAGATGATACCAGCACTTACCTGAAATTTTTTAGCATTTTGTAGAGGCAAAACTTAAAACAAGCAGAACCGAAACTTGTCAAAGACTGCAACATGGGAAAATCATGTGACCGGATTTTACTCTTTGATTTACAACTTATTTAGTTAATGGCTTGTATTAGTTTTTTTACGCAGCGCTAAAAGAGAGATTTAAAAAAGGGGTTCCATAGGCGAACTGTCAGCAGGCCGACTTCAGTTTAACACTTCACTGCCCGTGGACAGTTACGACTGTAGCGCCCCTAGCGGATTGTGATCTACCTAACTATACTTCCCATTCTTCAATTTTCATGCTTTTTCTATATTAAATTGCAAATTTGCTGAACTTTTAAATGGTATTTTATGGTATGCTCTGACTTTTTGATGTTCAGTAAGTGCTGAAAGTAAGAACAAAAGTGTTATAGACAGAAAAATCAGAAAAGTAGTTTTTTGTTAGTCTTAATTTGAATATATCTTCTTTTAGTAAGCTTTAAGTGCTCAAATTTATCTATGTTGAATTGTAGCTGACTAGTTAATCATACATGATATCAGCAGACTTACGTTATGTTTTTTCTACCCCAGGGCCCTCTTTGGGCACATTATGAGCTATTTGTCAGGAAAAATGATTAACTTATCTCTGAAAAACATGCAGTTTGACAAAAAGACCTAATTAAAAAAGAACATACTATTTTTTTTAGCTCTTGAAAAGTTCATACAGCAAGCTAAAGGATATCTGGAAGGTGTACGCAGTGAAGATATAGCTGCATATTACTGCCGATCGTCACCAGAATGTCAAGAAATATTTCAGATATTGGAGGCAGGGAAAAGAAAACCACAGGAAGTAAGTTGTATCATTTGTAGTTAGCTTACACAATATTAACTGTCTTGGGATTATTTTGCTCTTTCAGTTTTGTAAAGAATCAAAATGGATATATGATTATAGTTTGTTCTTCATATTATACTGATAAATTTGTCTACAAAGTTATAGTGACTGCATTAGTTAGATACATGACCAAACATAACTTTTGATTTTCAGTATGCCTTGATATTCGAAACCTTAGAATGTATGCTTATAAGATTTGGAGATGACCTCAGTAACTTGAAAACTGTTGGCCATAGTTTAGTGAGACGGCTACTGGCAGGTCATATGGGTGCCATCTTTAGTATGTTATGGCCCAGCAACAAGGCTAGTCACATAAAGGCCAGCTTGAAGTTACTCACTTCAATGGTTATGCTAAGTGACAGTACAGCAAGAGATGTTCAGGCACAATTTGATTTTACACACCAAGCTCTACCTGCTCTATTACTCAGAAGAAATATTCAGGTATGTAATATGTTGTTGTAAGATATTAAGCTGTCTTCATTTATTTATGCATTTTTGTATGTATGTACCTTTTTTTTGCATATTCTTGTTAAGTTTGTTTAAATTTCATAATTTTTATGCTATTAAATATATAATAACTCTGAATGATATTTGGTATGTGATAAAGAACATTGTACATTTGAATTGTAATGTTAAGTATTTTTGCAATAAGATGATTATATGCATCAATAACTTTTTCAAGGACCCTCAAGATATTCGCACCTGTCTGCTACAGTTCATTATGTCATTTTTGAATAGTGGAGACAGCAGTGTGGTTCGTCAGTTAGTTGAGCAGAAAGGTAAGCAAAAAACACCTTTAATTCGGATCATTAGCAGGCATTAAAACCCCTTTGTGTATTTGAATGTAATTTTTAAAAAGTTTATTTATTTATTTATGTAAAATGCCCAATGGCCAGGTATTACTTCTTTCTAACACCTCATTGAATTTTGGTAACATTTAAATGCTATGCATTGTAATTTAATTTTAGACTGTTTTCTTTGTTTATTTTTGCGTTTAAGGATTTCTCAATAGCATATTTTTTGGCATGGTTAATGACAGACTGTCCACAGTGCAGTTAATACTTGGAACATTACAAGAAAAGGTAACGATGTAGTTTATGAAACATACATCTCAAATCATATTTTGATTTAATCAAATATTTCATATTAGTGATTAGTATTGAAGTTTAGAAAAGATAACAACTTTACTGATATATAACTGACCAAAACTTAATATTTCAATAGTTTTTTTTTGCTTCTTTTAATTTTTTATTCATTTTGTCCTGATTGCATGATGCCTTATGGCTATTTTCTACAATTTAGGTTGTTCTTAACCCTTATATCAGCAAAACTGCAAAGATCCGTCTGTTCAATGACAATATTTTGAAGCAGCTGCTTCAGCTGTACAAATGGAAAGGACCGACAAAATGGAAAGCTTCACAAGAAGATGCCATGGAGCAAGAGGTTAGAAACATAGAATGTTCTTTTGTTTAAGTCTAATTGACTTTATGTGTCATTGCCATTATAGATTATACATTTAATGGGGCCATACAACCAAAAGTAAGGCTTTTAAGAAAATTCTTTCTCTCTTTTTTCACCATTTTATTTAACATTCCAGCTAGAAATAGAGGAGGATGAAAATGAGGACAGAAAAGTTGTCAGGGAGCAAGTGCACTCTTTTCTCTTGGAAATATGCTGTTCAATAAAAACAGGCATNAAAGAAAAGATTACCATTTTACTTTTTCCCATATATATTTCAGTAGTTTAATAACAATATATATGGAATATGTTTGATTTGTTTGTAGGATGCTGATCTTTCCACAGAATTACTGGAGAGATATTTTGATGAAATTTATGACATAATTGCAAAGGTACATGAATATGCAACCACAGAGGAACGTGACACTGGACCAGAAAAGACAGAAGTAAAAGCTTCAAATAATGCATACATTCTGAATATCGCAGCAACTGCTGAGTCAAAAGAAGATATTTTGGTTATGGTCATGAACCTTGTGCTTAGCCATCCCACTGTTAAGACATGGTTTCTTAAACCAGCAGTGCATCATTCTCACAAAGATGACCAGAAGAGGATCGCAGTCATGATGACATCTTTCACCTGCAAAACACTGGCAGTGATTGCAGAATTTGAGGAAAGATTTACAGAGCATCTCAAAGGACAGCTTGACATGTATATTCAGGAATTGGTGACCTATATATGTAGAGAAAAAGAAAACTTGGGCAGATCAAGTTCAAGTACCATGTATAATCATTTGCCAAGTTTGCTGAAGTTTTTTTCTTTCTCCCAACAAGGCATGATACTCGATGCAATACTGGGCCAGAAAAAGAAATCAGAGGAAACTAGAGGAAAGCATGTGGACCTTGTTAGCCATATTATAGCTCATTTGTCATCAACTTCTTCTGACCCATCAGCCCTTCATTTGGCCATTCAAAGTGTGTCAACACTGCTGAACATGGCCATTGCCAAAAACAGTGTCAAATTTGACCAAACACTGTTGAAGTTCTTGCAAGCATTTCCTCAGTATACTGTCTGTGCTTCAGATAGCTTTGTAGAATATTGTTTTCATGAACCAACTTGCACAAGAGTTGATATGATTTACTGTCTTGTAACTGGAAGTAAAGAGGCAAGGAGAATGTTTATTGACTGTTGCAAGAGAAACAAGAAAGTCAAAAAGATGAAACAGCTTTTTGTGAAAGTTATGGATTTTTTACTTTTTATGGAATCTGAGTTTGGTAAGGATAAAAAAAAATTTATAAGAGAAAAAATTAAACTACTTCTTCCTTGTTCTTTAGAAGGCGATTTTCCATTTGTATGTTGAAGGGCAATTAATGTGTTTAATACATTCGCCATCAAGTAAACTCTATACTGATTATCACTCAGAGTACTTCATTATGCATTGAATCTTTAGAGAACTTAAGAAAGTGCATGTTAACTTCTTTGATTTCAATAAAAGATGCCCTTGTTCTCTGGCCAAACAGTTATACTTTTTGACATAATTCTAGCTTTATTGGATAAGCTGTGACTCAACTTGATAATTATTTTTCTCAACAGAAGACTTCATTAAGGATCTTTATCTGCCAGAGTTTGAATCATGGCTATTTGATAGTGATCAGGAGCAAGATGAGACAAAGCACAAAGTGCAGATGATGATAAAGTTGGTGCATTTACTTAACCAAGGTGAGTGCAGTATTTCTTGTTTAAAATACAAGTTATCTAGTTGAGACCACTTGTTTATATGGGAATATCTAATCTAAAAGTTTTCAAAGAGTTTGTGTTGCTTTTTTCTACCGTTGAATATTGAAGCATATTGTATACATATTGATCATTTACAGGTTAAAAAGACAAAGCACAATGTGTTTTTGATATAAAGGAATTGAGTGCTGAATGTTCATATAGCAAAGATCGATATCTGTCATTTCAGAAGAGGCAGACCAATTAGTAGAAAAACTAAGGCAGATTCAGTGCTTGTCCTCTGTACAGATAATGGTGTTTCACAGCCTTGTGAAATGGAGTTCTGCATATGAAAATTTGAGTCTCAAGTTGAAGTGGCAGCTAGCTTTGGTGGAGAACCTTGTGAAAAGCACAACTCTGGTTTTAAGTCAGAAAAGTGAACATGATAACCAGCAAAAAGAGATGCTAATAAACATATTATCATCTATGATAAAGGTATGTCATAATGTAATCTGAAGTAAAAACAGAAAGTTATATTCTATATTCAATATTGNAAGCATATTGTAAACATATTGACCATTGACCAGTTAAAAAGACAAAGCACAATGTGTTTTTGATATAAAGGAATTGAGTGCGGAATGTTCATATAGCAAAGATCAATATCTGTCATTTCAGAAGAGGCAGACCAATTAGTAGAAAAACTAAGGCAGATTCAGTGCTTGTCCTCTGTGCAGATAATGGTGTTTCACAGCCTTGTGAAATGGAGTTCTGCATATGAAAATTTGAGTCTCAAGTTGAAGTGGCAGCTAGCTTTGGTGGAGAACCTTGTGAAAAGCACAACTCTGGTTTTAAGTCAGAAAAGTGAACATGATAACCAGCAAAAAGAGATGCTAATAAACATATTATCATCTATGATAAAGGTATGTCATAATGTAATCTGAAGTAAAAACATAAAGTTATATTCTATATTCAATATTGCATAGATTAATGTTGAATATTGCGTTATTGAATTGAAATTAAATAATAAAAATTCTACATTGGCAATATGACCTGCAAATCCACTTACATCTTGAAACCAACTTGATCAAGTTAATTAGTTTATATCCTAAGTTCTTTTACCAGGTTTCTTTTTGACTTGTGGCTTTGTTTTAATTTTGAGGGTTGTGTAAGTTGAATCTTCTGTAGGTTTCTCATTGTTGGGACTTTTTTGGGCAGCAGCTGGTGAATTTGTTTCTGTTTTATACAAAAGATGGGTGTAATCACCAGAGTTTGTTTCACGCTGCTTGACATTTTCGTATATCTTCTTTGAGTTTTCTGACTGATCTTTCAGTGGGATGTTTTCATAAACTTTTGTGGGTTTTTTCTGAGAAGGCTGTAAGATCTCATAAACAGAGCTCTGGGTATTGTGTTTCGGCGATTGTTCTTGGATTGGTGTTTTTTGAGGCCTTTGAAGCTCAGCTTTGTTTTCACATGGAGGCTGGTCTACCATCTTGGGATTTGTTTCATCAATTTGCTTGCTTTGCATATTTTTCTGGTTTGGGTTTTTCTGTGGTGGTTTCAATCCTGGATACTTATGTGGTTTCTTTTCAACATTTGGCTGTATCATTCCGTCCTTATGGTCTATGTTTTTCTCAGTGGACTGCAACTGCTGTATTTCATTTGGCTGAAGTGGTTCATTTTTCCATAGTGGAAGTATTTGTGGATTCTTAGGTTTCTGGGGTTTATTTTTCACTGGTGGCTTGAGTGGTGCATATTTTTTAGGCTCAGTATTCATCTTACGTTGATCATCTTGTGTGTCATTTTCATTGATAGATATTGTGACATCACAGGGAGTGGTCTCTGTTGAGGAGTGATTAGGAGTCGGTTTTTCTGTAATTTCATACACAGAAGATTGTGCATTTTCTTCTTCTTTGCCCAAGATAGCAATGATATTCATGCCAGGTCCTTTTAAGGTTTCCACCCTCTTTTTTCCATTTTCATACAAGGGTTTTTCTCTTGATATGCTTGTGTCCTCATATGCTATATCATCAAAAGTTTTGGATGTTGAGGTAAGTAGGTTTTCATTCTTGGGTGGTTTTGCAACTGGCTTCTGACCTTTTTTGTTGTGCCACCTGGAGATAAGAAATGGCAAAGTGTTAATACAGACCATGTGTACAGATATTTTAATATGAAAATAAAGAATAATACTGAGAAAAAATGTTTTTGTCTTAGCATGTAAGTTGTTACTTATTGAAAATAAAATAGTAATTTTGATCAGGGCTGGACAACAGACAAAATATAGTTGAAGGTATTTTGATGCAGTAGGGATAAGTAGTAAACCAATGAAAATGTCTGCCAATTTGCACATTTTAACTTCTCATTCTTAATAACATAATGAAACATTTTTTACTCTCACCAGTAGAGTATAAAGACAGTGACGATCAAAGCTGCTGAAACAGCAAGGCTTGTCGAAGTACTTCCAATTATTCCTGCTATAGGATCTAGAATATATATATTATATACCATTAAAAAATTAATCAGTGAATTCTCTGAGAGATTAAATGATAAAAGGGAGACTGAATTGACTAAAATGCACAACATATTTATCTCAGATGTTGTGATGCTATCAGATACTCACTGTCTGGTTTCGTTGTTGTTGTGCTGGAATGACTGGTGGTTTTAGTGGCTGAGGAACTTATGACTTGTTTTGATGTTGTAGAAGGGGTAGTGGTTGATGTAGTGGTAGAAGTGGTAGTGGTTGATGTAGTGGTAGAAGTGGTAGTGGTTGGTGTAGTAGTAGAGGAGGTAGTGGTTGGTGTAGTGATAGAGGGGGTAGTGGTTGTTGTAGAGGTAGAAGGGGTATTGGTTGATATAGTGATGGAGAGGGTAGTGTCTGGCATAGTGCTTAAAGAAGTTGTAGTTGGTGATTCGGTTGTGGTTAACGACAAAGTTGTTGAGAAAGTGGTTGTAGTCAAGGGTATCATGGTGGTTGTGGCAGGGGGTGATGGGGTGGTAGAGAGATCTGTTGTGGTTAGTTCTGTATGAGATAAACTGGCCATGGATGACGTTGTTTCAAAACTGGTGACAGTTGACATTTCACTTGTTGGCTTGGTAGGTTCTTCTGTAGTAGACCCAGACTTGTCATTGGAGAGACTGGTGAGTGGGAGCATCGATGAAGTTGCATCTCTTGTATTCATTTCAGTAGTACTCAGGGCTAGATAATTTCATAAGATTATATCAGTACTCATAATAAAATTTAAGAAATATAAGTTTTTTTTAGCAATGCTGTTTGGAATAAATAAACCTCAATTAAAAATGGGATAAAATAGTCTTGATGGTTGCATTTCTTGATGCTTAGACAACTATAAATGCAAAATGTTGCTCGTGAAAAAAAAAAAAACTTAATGATATTGTTAGCCTTTGCTAAAAACTCCTTATTTACTGTCTTACATACATTCTTTTGGATAACAGATAAATCTTCAGTGTTCAGTGACTAAATGAATTAACAGTTACATCATCTCACAGGTGATGTCACAATTGTGATTTTGGGATAAAAATTGAAAAAATGGTTTCTCAAATTTCTTCTTTACCTGAATACCCATAAACACCATTTTAACACTTATTTAATGACATCATTTAGCACCCCAAAACCCTGCCAGCGATTTTTTAAAAACCCTTAGAAAAGATTTTATCATTGATAAAACAAAAGAATGCCTTTGTTTTATGTAGATCTGTAATTAGGGGCTCATAACTCCATAAAAAACATTTAGGCCAAAATGATGGCACGGGATTGTAGCCCATCTGCTTCTGGTCAACTGTGCCAATTTTCGTGATAAAATCTTGTTTAGGGATGGAGTTATGCCCCATACTGATTGCTATCTCACCTCAAAATAGGTGTTAAATTGATGTTTAAAGCTTAGAGTTGCCTATGCATATATATTGCAAGAAAATATGAAAATACCAATATTTTATATTTTTGAGGGAATTTTTATTGTTTTGAATCAGCACTGGAAAAAGACCATTTTCAGTATCTAGCTACAGATGATAATAAAGGCTTACAATACCCTTAAAAAGATTTTAATCTTCAAGACTCCTTTTTTTAGAAAAATGATAAAGTCAATGCAAAAAGAATAACGAGTCTTACAGGTACATTTGGCATCAGTGAACTTCCAAATTAAATATATCTAATATCTATATAAAATATCTCTATAGGAAATTCAGTTGCATGTAGAAGTAATACCAGTTAACTTGGTATGTTTGTAATACACCAATGTTATAGAACTTTTGGTAATACAAGAAAAATATACCTCTACTTCCTTGTTCATAAATTTTGATCACTGTATCTTATACTTACTAAAACCCACTGCCTGAAAATGTGATGGAACAGCATTCAAACAACTGGTGATGATCAGCAGAGAATTAATTAAAACAGACATTGTTCTTTATTGCTGTGGTAAACTTTAAAAGCTTGACTTTTCTTCTCTCACGTTGGAAGCCAAGAGCAAGGATGCAACGTCTACCTTTTGTTAAACGTCTTTTTACCTGATTCTATACAAAAGAAATAAGGAGGAAGTGTGACGCCTTTTTTGAACTGTTAAGTCTATATTTTTTTATTTACGTTCCAGTGCACAAAGGAATTTACAGGTACAGGGGAGTTAATCATTGGCAAGATATGCTGTACAAATTTTGATTCAGATTTACCTTCAGTGCTGTTTTTCAAATGCCCTTAAAGCATATTTTTGTCTACCTATTCTTGAAATTTAAGCTATATGGGTAGCTGTTGAGTATGGGTGCTTTTTTGTCCATTCTCTTGTAAGTCTCTATAGGGACCTGTCCCATTTCTTTAATCTTCCTGCTCTGTAGTGAAAAATAGGTTATTTTTGTCCTTTTGTTGTAGTTCTTTGCAATATAAACTCCTTCAAATATTGCAAGCAGGTGGAGAGGGGGATTTATATTAATAAGCATCTTTTGCCTTTATAAACTTCTGTACTTAATAATTTAATGATTGTTTTACAGTTAGTGAATTTAAAACTGAAAAAAGTGTAGCATACTACAGATATAGTTATCAAAAGAACCTACTTTGTCTCCTCCATCCCAAAATACCACAAACACTCACTCCACCAACCATATTAAATATGCAGTATAAAATATTTATATTTATTTAATACTTAATATGAAATAATCAATAAATGCATTATTTCATATTTGGCCAATCAAGGCTGTTTTAATTAGACCATCCCACTAATGAATTAAATTGTCAAAAAATTATTGTATTTATTTGCAAGTAATTAATAGTATGACTTTACAAATAAGGAAATGACATTTACTATTCAATAAGGCCAGTTATCCAAAATATTATGTTAACAGTTGGCATAAACCATTACATTAAAGGGATAATAACTCTTCGTTTTGGCCAAAAAATGATTTTTCCTGGAGTAAACAACAAATTTCCCATACTTACATAAAGACAAGCTCAGATATCAGAATAATAATTGAAACTGCCGTTTTAGTGGTAAAACAGAATATATTATATTTCTATGAGTTATTCACAATGTTTTTATTGTGAAATATAGAGTTCATACAAAGAGTTATTATCCCTTTAATTATTTCTGTAACAAACAATTCTTCACTTTTTTCATTTCTGGGTTGCAAAAGCATCTTGCTCACAGTGAGTGCAGTTGACAATTTTTTGGTGGTCAAAGAAATACTGAATCTAGATTAAAGCTATTGCTTTTTAGAATGAGTAAAATTGGTAAAATATTTGACTTTATTTTATGTAATTTATTTCACAGTATCTTTGATGAAGCATAATAATAACAACAACAACTGCTTTTGGCAATATTTTCAATGCCTTACTTTAGGAAAAATATGATGACATTTTTTTTTTTTTTTTGCAAAACAAAAAAGAAATAGATTTTCTGACTTTTGATTAAATTCAAATAATTTTCAGACAACTTCTGCATAGTCACCACTGTCATTTATGTCAATCTTCTGCTGAGCAAGGAATTGTCTTTGTAAGAGACTGGTTTTAAGGGGATCTACGTACATATACTGCTGGGATTCCCCTGGAATGCTGCAATATAGAGACTCTGTAGCTGATGTATGTGATGATTCTGTATCAGATGTACTGATTATGTTAGGATTTACAATGGATGGTGGCTGTGATGCACATTCATCTTTTGAATATGTTTGATAATTATCACCTAAGGTGCATCCATAAGTTGGGTTGTCCATACCACCATATTTTGCTGTCTCTTTGGTATAAGAGTGTTTTGGCACATCCTCGAGCTCTGATTTGAAGTAAGAATGTTGAACAACTTCATAGTTCGGGTTATTCAGTCCATTCCTTCCCAGTTGTTTTACATTGCTCTTGGTTCTGTTGTAATTGTTAACGTCATTTCCTTCATTAGTTCTCTGTAGTGTTACTTTCTTTGAATGTGACCATTTTCTGAAAGATTTTTATGTTAGTCAGTCCAGAGATATAAAATAATTTATTATTAGCGAGTGACAGGAAAGGCTTTTGGGAAATAAAAATTGGAATAGTGGTTGAAATGGATAAGGTTTACTTTTAATGATGATTAATTACTATAATTGTGTATTTTTTAGCAACTTAAAAAGTGGTCAGTAATTTGCAGGCTTAATTAATACGTCAAGGCAAATTATAAAAAAATAATATTTGTACCTGTATCCAAGCAGCAGTCCTACAAGTAATGCTATTAGAGCAAGACTTCCTATTAATCCTCCCTCAATGTAGCCTGTCAAGAAAAAATAATAATATTGAGAATTATTATTGCAATTATAATGCACTATGTACTTGCAAATAATTTCCATGATATATTTTTACTAGCTCTTAGTTGCCATATTTGATCACACTGTTATATTTTGGAATCAAATAGCATTTAGCTAAAAAGATTACATACGGGCATGATCAGAATTTAGATCAGTTGCTGGTGTGGTATTTCTGGTGGTTGTTGTATGTATGATTTTTGACCTTGTTGTAGACATCCTGTTTGTCCAGTCTAGAATAAAAAAATAAAAACACAATCTGTAACTGATTATGAAAAATAAATTGTTTTATTAGACATATTGTAATTCTCAATCATAGCAGGTACACAAATTTTATGTACCACTTGTTGGAACTCCCAGTCCCAAAATTGATTTCAATCTCAAAGTTACTTGACTTGTTCCACATTGTCCATGATTTGACATTTAGTTTTTTGATAATTCAGTTGTGTTTGATGAAGCTGTGTTTGGAAGACCACAAAATAATTTCTGAAAGAAGTTCCTGTAGTTCATTTTTGCTCACTTACCTTTCTCTGTCTGATTTGCTGAGTTCTACACATCTCTTCAGTGGGCCTGATTGAATTGCATTTGATTTCCTAACCCATGGATACCACTATCTAATCATATCGATAAACTAAAATTGTAATCTAAAATTATATTCTGATCAAGAATTGGTATAAATAAATGATACCAATGATATCTGAATGTTTAAATGCTAGGTTTTATGCAGTGCAGCAGGGGAGAAATGATGAATGACAATGAAACTATCTATGATCTGCTGTTGTGGTTTTTTTTAAAGATTTTAGATAAAGTTGGGTGGGGAAAGTAGTAAATGGTCATTGTCATTGAAACTGCATTTCATTGTAATGGTAACATTGTGCTGGAATTTGAGAGAACATGATAATTGCCACTAAGATTATATGCAAAACAATTGGTAAAAATGCTTAATATTGTATTTGAATGTGATATTAACAGAAAATGGGACAAGTTTTTGGCACTTTTTTATTTTCAGGAAGAGGCTGGATTGCGGGTTTTGAAACCTTATTGGAATGATTTTTTCAAAGCTGCCTTGAGGTAAATAGCTAGACATATTGTTATAGAACTTATCTTTTTTTTTTTTTGNAATGAAAAGATTACCATTTTACTTTTTCCCATATATATTTCAGTAGTTTAATAACAATATATATGGAATATGTTTGATTTGTTTGTAGGATGCTGATCTTTCCACAGAATTACTGGAGAGATATTTTGATGAAATTTATGACATAATTGCAAAGGTACATGAATATGCAACCACAGAGGAACGTGACACTGGACCAGAAAAGACAGAAGTAAAAGCTTCAAATAATGCATACATTCTGAATATCGCAGCAACTGCTGAGTCAAAAGAAGATATTTTGGTTATGGTCATGAACCTTGTGCTTAGCCATCCCACTGTTAAGACATGGTTTCTTAAACCAGCAGTGCATCATTCTCACAAAGATGACCAGAAGAGGATCGCAGTCATGATGACATCTTTCACCTGCAAGACACTGGCAATGATTGCAGAATTTGAGGAAAGATTTACAGAGCGTCTCAAAGAACAGCTTGACATGTATATTCAGGAATTGGCGATCTGTATATGTAGTGAAAAAGAAAACTTGGGCAGATCAAGTACAAGTACCATGTATAATCATTTGCCAAGTTTGCTGAAGTTTTTTTCTTTCTCCCAACAAGGCATGATACTCGATGCAATACTGGGTCAGAAAAAGAAATCCGAGGAAACTAGAGGAAAGCATGTGGACCTTGTTAGCCATATTATAGCTCATTTGTCATCAACTTCTTCTGACCCATCAGCCCTTCATTTGACCATTCAAAGTGTGTCAACACTGCTGAACATGGCCATTGCCAAAAACAGTGTCAAATTTGACCAAACACTGTTGAAGTTCTTGCAAGCATTTCCTCAGTATACTGTCTGTGCTTCAGATAGCTTTGTAGAATATTGTTTTCATGAACCAACTTGCACAAGAGTCGATATGATTTACTGTCTTATAACTGGAAGTAATGAGGCAAGGAGAATGTTTATTGACTGTTGCAAGAGAAACAAGAAAGTCAAAAAGATGAAACAGCTTTTTGTGAAAGTTATGGATTTTTTACTTTTTATGGAATCTGAGTTTGGTAAGGATAAAAAAAAATTTATAAGAGAAAAAATTAAACTACTTCTTCCTTGTTCTTTAGAAGGCGATTTTCCATTTGTATGTTGAAGGGCAATTAATGTGTTTGATACATTTGCCATCAAGTAAACTCTATACTGATTATCACTCAGAGTACTTCATTATGCATTGAATCTTTAGAGAACTTAAGAAAGTGCATGTTAACTTCTTTGATTTCAATAAAAGATGCCCTTGTTCTCTGGCCAAACAGTTATACTTTTTGACATAATTCTAGCTTTATTGGATAAGCTGTGACTCAACTTGATAATTATTTTTCTCAACAGAAGACTTCATTAAGGATCTTTATCTGCCAGAGTTTGAATCATGGCTATTTGATAGTGATCAGGAGCAAGATGAGACAAAGTACAAAGTGCAGATGATGATAAAGTTGGTGCATTTACTTAACCAAGGTGAGTGCAGTATTTCTTGTTTAAAATACAAGTTATCTAGTTGAGACCACTTGTTTATATGGCAATAACTAATCTAAAAGTTTTCAAAGAGTTTGTGTTGCTTTTTTCTACCGTTGAATATTGAAGCATATTGTATACATATTGATCATTTACAGGTTAAAAAGACAAAGCACAATGTGTTTTTGATATAAAGGAATTGAGTGCTGAATGTTCATATAGCAAAGATCGATATCTGTCATTTCAGAAGAGGCAGACCAATTAGTAGAAAAACTAAGGCAGATTCAGTGCTTGTCCTCTGTACAGATAATGGTGTTTCACAGCCTTGTGAAATGGAGTTCTGCATATGAAAATTTGAGTCTCAAGTTGAAGTGGCAGCTAGCTTTGGTGGAGAACCTTGTGAAAAGCACAACTCTGGTTTTAAGTCAGAAAAGTGAACATGATAACCAGCAAAAAGAGATGCTAATAAACATATTATCATCTATGATAAAGGTATGTCATAATGTAATCTGAAGTAAAAACAGAAAGTTATATTCTATATTCAATATTGCATAGATTAATGTTGAATATTGCGTTATTGAATTGAAATTAAATAATAAAAATTCTACATTGGCAATATGACCTGCAAATCCACTTACATCTTGAAACCAACTTGATCAAGTTAATTAGTTTATATCCTAAGTTCTTTTACCAGGTTTCTTTTTGACTTGTGGCTTTGTTTTAATTTTGAGGGTTGTGTAAGTTGAATCGTCTGTAGGTTTCTCATTGTTGGTCAAAAGATGGGTGTAATCACCAGAGTTTATTTCACGCTGCTTGACATTTTCGTATATCTTTTTTGAGTTTTCTGACTGATCTTTCAGTGGGATGTTTTCATAAACTTTTGTGGGTTTTTTCTGAGAAGGCTGTAAGATCTCATAAACAGAGCTCTGGGTATTGTGTTTCGGCGATTGTTCTTGGATTGGTGTTTTTTGAGGCCTTTGAAGCTCAGCTTTGTTTTCACATGGAGGCTGGTCTACCATCTTGGGATTTGTTTCATCAATTTGCTTGCTTTGCATATTTTTCTGGTTTGGGTTTTTCTGTGGTGGTTTCAATCCTGGATACTTATGTGGTTTCTTTTCAATATTTGGCTGTATCATTCCGTCCTTATGGTCTATGTTTTTCTCAGTGGACTGCAACTGCTGTATTTCATTTGGCTGAAGTGGTTCATTTTTCCATAGTGGAAGTATTTGTGGATTCTTAGGTTTCTGGGGTTTATTTTTCACTGGTGGCTTGAGTGGTGCATATTTTTTAGGCTCAGTATTCATCTTACGTTGATCATCTTGTGTGTCATTTTCATTGATAGATACTGTGACATCACAGGGAGTGGTCTCTGTTGAGGAGTGATTAGGAGTCAGTTTTTCTGTAATTTCATACACAGAAGATTGTGCATTTTCTTCTTCTTTGCCCAAGATAGCAATGATATTCATGCCAGGTCCTTTTAAGGTTTCCACCCTCTTTTTTCCATTTTCATACAAGGGTTTTTCTCTTGATATGCTTGTGTCCTCATATGCTATATCATCAAAAGTTTTGGATGTTGAGTTAAGTAGGTTTTCATTCTTGGGTGGTTTTGCAACTGGCTTCTGACCTTTTTTGTTGTGCCACCTGGAGATAAGAAATGGCAAAGTATTAATACAGACCATGTGTACAGATATTTTAATATGAAAATAAAGAATAATACTGAGAAAAAATGTTTTTGTCTTAGCATGTAAGTTGTTACTTATTGAAAATAAAATAGTAATTTTGATCAGGGCTGGACAACAGACAAAATAGAGTTGAAGGTATTTTGATGCAGTAGGGATAAGTAGTAAACCAATGAAAATGTCTGCCAATTTGCACATTTTAACTTCTCATTCTTAATAACATAATGAAACATTTTTTACTCTCACCAGTAGAGTATAAAGACAGTGACGATCAAAGCTGCTGAAACAGCAAGGCTTGCCGAAGTACTTCCAATTATTCCTGCTATATGAGTGGTTGGTGTAGTGATAGAGGGGGTAGTGGTTGGTGTAGTGATAGAGGGGGTAGTGGTTGGTGTAGTGATAGAGGGGGTAGTGGTTGGTGTAGTGATAGAGGGGGTAGTGGTTGATGTAGTGGTAGAAGGGGTAGTGGTTGGTGTAGTGGTAGAAGGGGTAGTGGTTGATGTAGTGGTAGAAGGGGTAGTGGTTGATGTAGTGGTAGAAGGGGTAGTGGTTGGTGTAGTGGTAGTGGTTGGTGTAGTGGTAGAAGGGTTAGTGGTTGATGTAGTGATAGAGGGGGTAGTGGTTGGTGTAGTGGTAGTGGTTGGTGTAGTGGTAGAAGGGGAAGTGGTTTGTGTAGTTGTAGAAGGGGTAGTGGTTGGTGTAGTTGTAGAAGGGGTAGTGGTTGGCATAGTGCTTAAAGAAGTTGTAGTTGGTGATTCGGTTGTGGTTAAAGACAAAGTTGTTGAGAAAGTGGTTGTAGTCAAGGGTACCATGGTGGTTGTGGCAGGGGGTGTGGGGGTGGTAGAGAGATCTGTTGTGGTTAGTTCTGTAAATAAATTGGCCATGGATGAAGTGGTTTCAAAACTGGTAGCAGTTGACATTTCACTTGTTGGCTTGGTAGGTTCTTCTGTAGTAGACTCGGACTTGACATTGGAGAGACTGGTGAGTAGGAGCATCGATGAAGTTGTATCTCTTGTATTCATTTCAGTAGCACTCAGGGCTAGATAATTTCATAAGATTACATCAGTACTCATAATAAAATTTAAGAAATATAAGTTTTTTTTAGCAATGCTGTTTGGAATAAATAAACCTCAATTAAAAATGGGATAAAATAGTCTTGATGGTTGCATTTCTTGATGCTTAGACAACTATAAATGCAAAATGTTGCTCGTGCAAAAAAAAAAAAAAACTTAATGATATTGTTAGCCTTTGCTAAAAACTCCTTATTTACTGTCTTACATACATTCTTTTGGATAACAGATAAATCTTCAGTGTTCAGTGACTAAATGAATTAACAGTTACATCATCTCACAAGTGTGATTTTGGGATAAAAATTGAAAAAATGGTTTCTCAAATTTCTTCTTTACCTGAATACCCATAAACACCATTTTAACACTTATTTAATGACATCATTTAGCACCCCAAAACCCTGCCAGCGATTTTTTAAAAACCCTTAGAAAAGATTTTATCATTGATAAAACAAAAGAATGCCTTTGTTTTATGTAGCTCTGTAAGTAGGGGCTCATAACTCCATAAAAAAACATTTAGGCCAAAATGATGGCACGGGATTGTAGCCCATCTGCTTCTGGCCAACTGTGCCAATTTTCGTGATAAAATCTTGTTTAGGGATAGAGTTATGCCCCATACTGATTGCTATCTCACCTCAAAATAGGTGTTAAATTGATGTTTAAAGCTTACAGTTGCCTATGCATATATATTGCAAGAAAATATGAAAATACCAATATTTTATATTTTTGAGGGAATTTTTATTGTTTTGAATCAGCACTGGAAAAAGACCATTTTCAGTATCTAGCTACAGATGATAATAAAGGCTTACAATACCCTTAAAAAGATTTTAATCTTCAAGACTCCTTATTAGAAAAATGATAAAGTCAATGCAAAAAGAATAACAAGTTTTACTGGTACATTTAGCATCAGTGAACTTACAAATTAAATATATCTAATATCTATATAAAATATCTCTATAGGAAATTCAGTTGCATGTAGAAGTAATACCAGTTAACCTGATATATTTGTAATACACCAATGTTATAGAACTTTTGGTAATACAAGAAAAATATACCTCTACTTCCTTGTTCATAAATTTTGATCACTGTATCTTATACTTACTAAAACCCACTGCATGAAAATGTGATGGAACAGCATTCAAACAACTGGTGATGATCAGCAGAGAATTAATTAAAACATACATTGTTCTTCATTGATGTGGTAAACTTTAAAAGCTTTTCTTCTCTCACGTTGGAAGCCCAGAGCAGGGATGCAACGTCTACCTTTTGTTAAACTTCTTTTTACCTGATTCTATACAAAAGAAATAAGGAGGAAGTGTGACGCCTTTTTTGAACTGTTAAGTCCATATTTTTTTTTATTTACGTTCCAGTGCACAAAGGAATTTACAGGTACAGAGGAGTTAATCAGTGGCAAAATATATGCTGTACATATTTTGGTTTTACCTTCAGTGCTGTTTTTTAAATGCCCTTAAAGCATATTTTTGTCTACCTATTCTTGAAATTTAAGCTATATGGGTAGCTGTGGAGTATGGGTGCTTTTTTGTCCATTCTCTTGTAAGTCTCTATAGGGACCTGTCCCATTTCTTTAATCTTCCTGCTCTGTAGTGAAAAATAGGTTATTTTTGTCCTTTTGTTGTAGTTCTTTGCAATATAAACTCCTTCAAATATTGCAAGCAGGTGGAGAGGGGGATTGATATTTATTAGCATCTTTTGCCTTTATAAACTTCTGTACTTAATAATTTAATGATTGTTTTACAGTTAGTGAAGTTAAAACTGAAAAAAGTGTAGCATACTACAGATATAGTTATCAAAAGAACCTACTTTGTCTCCTCCATCCTAAAATACCACAAACACTCACTCCACCAACCATATTAAATATGCAGTATAAAATATTTATATTTATTTAATACTTAATATGAAATAATCAATAAATGCATTAATTCATATTTGGCCAATCAAGGCTGTTTTAATTAGACCATCCCACTAATGAATTAAATTGTCAAAAAATTATTGTATTTATTTGCAAGTAATTAATACTATGACTTTACAAATAAGGAAATGACATTTACTATTCAATAAGGCCAGTTATCCAAAATATTATGTTAACAGTTGGCATAAACCATTACATTAAAGGGATAATAACTCTTCGTTTTGGCCAAAAAATGATTTTTCCTGGAGTAAACAACAAATTTCCCATACTTACATAAAGACAAGCTCAGATATCAGAATAATAATTGAAACTGCCGTTTTAGTGGTAAAACAGAATATATTATATTTCTATGAGTTATTCACAATGTTTTTATTGTGAAATATAGAGTTCATACAAAGAGTTATTATCCCTTTAATTATTTCTGTAACAAACAATTCTGCACTTTTTTCATTTCTGGGTTGCAAAAGCATCTTGCTCACAGTGAGTGCAGTTGACAATTTTTTGGTGGTCAAAGAAATACTGAATCTAGATTAAAGCTATTGCTTTTTAGAATGAGTAAAATTGGTAAAATATTTGACTTTATTTTATGTAATTTATTTCACAGTATCTTTGATGAAGCATAATAATAACAACAACAACTGCTTTTGGCAATATTTTCAATGCCTTACTTTAGGAAAAATATGATGACATTTTTTTTTTTTTTTTGCAAAACAAAAAAGAAATAGATTTTCTGACTTTTGATTAAATTCAAATAATTTTCAGACAACTTCTGCATAGTCACCACTGTCATTTATGTCAATCTTCTGCTGAGCAAGGAATTGTCTTTGTAAGAGACTGGTTTTAAGGGGATCCACGTACATATACTGCTGGGATTCCCCTGGAATGCTGCAATATAGAGACTCTGTAGCTGATGTATGTGATGATTCTGTATCAGATGTACTGATTATGTTAGGATTTACAATGGATGGTGGCTGTGATGCACATTCATCTTTTGAATATGTTTGATAATTATCACCTAAGGTGCATCCATAAGTTGGGTTGTCCATACCACCATATTTTGCTGTCTCTTTGGTATAAGAGTGTTTTGGCACATCCTCGAGCTCTGATTTGAAGTAAGAATGTTGAACAACTTCATAGTTCGGGTTATTCAGTCCATTCCTTCCCAGTTGTTTTACATTGCTCTTGGTTCTGTTGTAATTGTTAACGTCATTTCCTTCATTAGTTCTCTGTAGTGTTACTTTCTTTGAATGTGACCATTTTCTGAAAGATTTTTATGTTAGTCAGTCCAGAGATATAAAATAATTTATTATTAGCGAGTGACAGGAAAGGCTTTTGAGAAATAAAAATTGGAATAGTGGTTGAAATGGATAAGGTTTACTTTTAATGATGATGAATTACTATAATTGTGTATTTTTTAGCAACTTAAAAAGTGGTCAGTAATTTGCAGGCTTAATTAATATGTCAAGGCAAATTATAAAAAAATAATATTTGTACCTGTATCCAAGCAGCAGTCCTACAAGCAATGCTATTAGAGCAAGACTTCCTATTAATCCTCCCTCAATGTAGCCTGTCAAGAAAAAATAATAATATTGAGAATTATTATTGCAATTATAATGCACTATGTACTTGCAAATAATTTCCATGATATATTTTTACTAGCTCTTAGTTGCCAAATTTGATCACACTGTTATATTTTGGAATCTAATAACATATAGCTAAAAGGATTGCATACGGGCATGATCAGAATTTAGATCAGTTGCTGGTGTGGTATTTCTGGTGGTTGTTGTATGTATGATTTTTGACCTTGCTGTAGACATCCTGTTTGTCCAGTCTAGAATAAAAAAATAAACACACAATCTGTAACTGATTATGAAAAATAAATTGTTTTATTAGACATATTGTAATTCTCAATCATAGCAGGTACACAAATTTTATGTACCACTTGTTGGAACTCCCAGTCCCAAAATTGATTTCAATCTCAAAGTTACTTGACTTGTTCCACATTGTCCATGATTTGACATTTAGTTTTTTGATAATTCAGTTGTGTTTGATGAAGCTGTGTTTGGAAGACCACAAAATAATTTCTGAAAGAAGTTCCTGTAGTTCATTTTTGCTCACTTACCTTTCTCTGTCTGATTTGCTGAGTTCTACACATCTCTTCTGTGGGCCTGATTGAATTGCATTTGATTTCCTAACCCATGGATACCACAATCTAATCATATCGATAAACTAAAATTGTAATCTAAAATTATATTCTGATCAAGAATTGGTATAAATAAATGATACCAATGATATCTGTGTGTTTAAATGCTGGGTTTTATGCACTGCAGCGGGGGAGAAATGATGAATGACAATGAAACTATCTATGATCTGCTATTGTGGTATTTTTAAAGATTTTAGATAAAGTTGGGTGGGGAAAGTAGTAAATGGTCATTGTCATTGAAACTGCATTTCATTGTAATGGTAACATTGTGCTGGAATTTGAGAGAACATGATAATTGCCACTAAGATTATATGCAAAACAATTGGTAAAAATGCTTAATATTGTATTTGAATATGATATTAACAGAAAATGGGACAAGTTTTTGGCACTTTTTTATTTTCAGGAAGAGGCTGGATTGCGGGTTTTGAAACCTTATTGGAATGATTTTTTCAAAGCTGCCTTGAGGTAAATAGCTAGACATATTGTTATAGAACTTCTCTTTTTTTTTTTTTTTTTGCATAAGATGTTGTTTGATTCCGAGGTCATTTTACAATTGTTTTATATTTTATTATGTAATTATGCTTTTACAAAGTTCCATTTTTGTTTTTAAGACATCAGTTCAACAACCCCAGTATTTTGAAGATTCTTGGTAAAGTTGTGGGTGCTGTAGATGCAGAAAAAGGGGAAGAGACTGNATAAGATATTGTTTGATTCCGAGGTCATTTTACAATTGTTTTATATTTTATTATGTAATTATGCTTTTACAAAGTTCCATTTTTGTTTTTAAGACATCAGTTCAACAACCCCAGTATTTTGAAGATTCTTGGTAAAGTTGTGGGTGCTGTAGATGCAGAAAAAGGGGAAGAGACTGGAATGATGCCATTATCAGCTGTATATGAAATGATTGTGAGTCACTCCCAGTTTTTGCCAACGTTGCTTCATGAAGATCCTGATAACCAGACCAAAGGTATTTTTGGTAGATATGTTGCAAAATGACTTGTTTACAAGCATATACATACCTATACTTTTGTTTCTTGCTATGTCTCATGTTTGTCTTTTCTTGTCAGAATGTAAAAAAAGTATATACAGCTGAAATAAAAAAAATTAGAATAAATAATCAAAAATAATCAAAATATTCTATTGTTTTATTTTTTGTTTTATTTCATTATGTTTTAAATTAATTTTAGACTGCTTAGTTGACTTGATGCTGTCCCTGGTGCAGAGGAATGGCACCTGTTGTAAAACTGATCACATAGTTGTCTTGCTGGGTGCCTATTCTGCAACTCTTAAAACAGTGGGTAAGCTTAGTATTGAGAATAGAATTGATTTTGAACATAGGTCTTGTGTCCATTTTTTGTTAACAACAATAAATCTTACGGTATATAAAAAGCAATATTTCTGTATGTATGTGTGTGATAGGATAAGTGGGAATTAGTTATTGTTCTATAGCTTATTTTGATGTTTCTTTGTTCATAGATCAGAAATTACTGCAGCTAATGCACATTTATGAAGAGAACCAAGCTTCACTTAAGGATTTCAAGTAAGAATTATCATTTTGATAAGAAGATATATTTCTTTTAATTTTATTGTTACAAAATACCTAATGCACATAACTTCCTCTGCATCTTTTCAACCTCAAAAGTCATTTTTGTTTTTAAATTTATTTTTTTCAGTGTATGTTACTAAACGATACACCAGTACTGTAAGTGAAAGTCTATATGTAATTAAAGTTGCCCTTGTTTGTTTAGTTTGTACATCATCATCAATTTACTGGATTTAATACACTTAGTATGTGTTTCATTCTAGACCCTACCTCTGGGGCACCAAGGCCATTGAGCATCATTCTATTAAGAAGAGCCTGGGAACATCATTGTTCAAGCAGGCTACAGTTGAGCAGGTTCTGGAGTCTCTTGATGTGGACATGATGCATCGGTCTGCTCTAAACTTTCCTCTTCGCAGGAAATTACAGGTAATCTATGAAAGGAAAATATTCCATTTGTTTATATAATATTTGGACTTCAAAGTAAAGAGAAAAAGACTTAATTAGACAACAATTCTAACAAAGTACTTTTACTTGTAAATGCCTTTAAAATGGGTAACATTTGATTATTAAAACCTTTGTGTTTATGTGTATATTACTTATATATATATATATATATTATTTATGAAATATAATTTCATTTATGACACTGATGATTATAAATCTGCAGCAACAAATGCTTTCACACTAAATGTTTTACATTTTACATTTTGGCTTTCGTAGCCTTTAGAAGTGCATGGTGAGTCGGATGGTGAGCCCCATGCAGCACAGTATGACCCAGCCTTCCTGCTACCTGTCTTCAGCAACCTTTTGGGACCTGGTAGGTTACCAGATATCACATATTTTGATCTATTCAAACATTTACACGGACACATGGTCACAATCCTTCACAAAGAGAAATTTTGGTATGAGTTAATTCCTTATTTATTGATAATAATTATCCAGGCCAGTAGTGAACTTTTAACCACAAAACCTCGTGGACTTAGCTCAAGTTTTTTACCAGAGTGGACTTTTTCTTGGCAAAAAGGGCAGTTTGTTTGAACCCCTCCCCCAGCTATGGGCCTGTTACCCATGTATTGTTATTATTAACATAATTTTGCCTGATTTTTCAAATTATTCATTTATATTTTCAGAGAATCTAGTCAACTGTCGGAAGTTTGTGGAAACCAACTGTTTAGGTTTTACCTTCTGTGCACTCAGTAGCCATGATCCAGCAATGAGAAGTGCTGCTTACCATGTGCTCATGTTGCTCTATCAGCAGCTGGAAGGGGCAAAGTTTTACGAAAGGAATCAGGTTCTCTATGTGCTTGACTGTGTACGAAACAGTGTAGAAACACCAAATGCCAAGCTTTGCTGTATGATTTGTGTGTTTCTAGCCAAAACAGTCCAGTTGCTTCTCCACCCAGGTAAATGTTCAATAAAAATTGGTCATTTCAGTTGAATTAATGGACATGGTGTTACTTGAACTATTTTGAATGTTTACATAAAAGCCTGTTCCATTTTATGATGCACACGATAGAATAAGAAACAAAAATAATTTTCTTGTAAAATGTAAAAATATTTAGTACTTTTGACAGCCGGAAAGCACATCATTTTTTTGCCATGCTTATATTAGTAGTGCCAAGTTTCTAAAATGTTCACTACTTATTTGAGTATATTGATATTTTTCATATTGCCAAATTTCTTCTCCAGATGAGCATATGTACCAAATTATCAACTCATTTATGCTTCTGAAGCCAACTTTGGATATCCTGAATGTGCCAGAGTTTTACAAACTCTTCAACAGCTCTGCCTTTGAGGTAACTGCAGTTTTATTTGGTATTTGTAAAGATAGCAATTCATCCTTGTCATGTTTAAAAGAAAGGTGAAAAAGTTGCAGAATTTGCTTGATAAATCCATTAGAGGGGATTCACTGTCCCTACCCCCATTTATTTGACATTAAATGAGTCTAAAGTCATAAATATTGGCTCTCTGTTAGATAAAACTGGAAAAGATGAGCAAGTTTTTGCGTAGGTGAATAAAACGGTGCATTAAAGGGGAAATGCTCTAGATCTGCAACAGTGGAACAGTAATGAACACATTAAATCATTCTTTTGTACAGTACAAAGTGGAGCGTGCTTGGATTCTGCAGCTTTTGGCTGATGGACTGAGAGAAACGGCTGACTACAGATTATGTGAGAAGAGATACATTTTCAAACTATTGCTCAGTTTCCATGACTCTGCTATTAGTGACCAGGCAATGCAGGTAAATCAGTTTACAAAATAGATGCAGTTAAGTATAGGATCAGTCCAGTCCATTTAAAGTAAAAAACAAATTGAAATCCGATGCAAGAAATCTCACTAAGTTCTCAGTTGTGGTTAATTTGAAGCTGGTTCCGTCTTGGTTTTGTGCTGATAGCATCTGGATCTCTATTGCGATAAACTTCATTTTTGTTTCAGGCTAACATTTTGAAGATCATTCATGCTGCATGCAAAGTAAGATCTGTAGCCCAAGACTTGGTTAAATCACACGGTCTACTTTCTTGGTTATCAGGCATAGTTAAAGACAGGTGAGGTAGTTGATAGTTGACTCAATTAAATATTAAATTTTATTGTGATACCATTTTATAATATAAAGATAATCCGTAGTTATGGTAATAACTTTTCTTCATGCTTTTTATGCTGAAGTGAATGTTCATCAAAATCTTTGGCATCACTATTCAATTAAAAAGAAAGAGGCAGCTGTGATTTCTTTGTATTGGTTTGTGTAATGCTACATTGCAAATGTAAGGATAGGCTTAACAATAATGTTCAACTATTTTGCATTATTAGTAATAAAATCTACAGTTGAACTGAATCTATAGTTATAAATTGTTATCCAAAATTTGAACATTGCTTCTTCATTAATACCGTTTTATTTCACAATCAGCAATCCCACCAGACAAATTCAGCTAGTGGACATTGTGTACACCCTGTGGATGACCATCTTGAACAGGAGAGATGAGATGCAAGTAAAGCCAGATGGAAGCTCCAAAACCTGCCTTCCTGCAGCCTTCACCAGTGAGGTGCTAATTGTGCTATTGCACCTTCTGCAGAATTTCAGGTGAATTGTTTCCTTCCATTTTATATTGCACTGCAAAAGTGGACAAAATGTAATTCCATGAGAATATTTGCTTAAATACCATGTATTAATACTGCTGAAATTGTATTTCAGGATTGATGATGACCCAGAAACACTATTGAAGTACCTACAAACTCTTATGTCAGTGCTTAACCACCAGAGAGCAACATGTGAGCAGTATGCATCCAATCAATACCACCTTACAGTAGTCAAAATAGAATCACATCATGTTCTAAAGTTACTTCAGGTTTGGGGAAAGTATAATAAAGAGGAACCTTCAGAATATCTTGAAGCTAAGCACCCATTCCATTTAGACTCTGTAGATGTAACTTGTACCAGTGGAGTTCAGGAAGGCCTGAGGGGAGATTTAATCCAGCACTGCAGGGATTGCATTGTGGGTATTATAGAACACTTTTCTCCCATTGATGACAAGACCTACAATGTTACGGCAACTGTGATTACTTGGCTGTTGAGGCAAATGAACACATCATTCAGAAGTCTTCTAACCAACATGGAAGAACAGCAGTTGGTGCTTGGTGTTGAGGAAACTGTTGAGTCTCACATCTGCACATTCTGTACACAGTTACTCTCAGTCTTGAAGTGGATTGGGTGTATTGCACAGAAAGGAGCCATTGTGCTGCCAAAAACCACTCTGCTGGTAAAGCAACTTTCTGGAGTATACGATACTATCTACAGGGTGAATGGATGTTTAAGTTTGCTTCAAAATTCCAAGGAATCTCAAATCGCTATCAAGGATTGTGTGGCATTATTGAATAGTGCACTCACCTCTCTTGTGGAGCCCTCAGTGGAAAGGTACCAGTTGGAAATAGGTAAATTTCACAATTAAGATTGAAGTATTGTGTGTAAATGTAATAATCCATTGGTATTAGGTTAATATATGTAAATTAGTATAACGCAGAGAAATAAGTATAGCTCTGATACTGGAACTTAGATTTAGTAACTGACCGATGTTGAGGTCTCAACCTGAGATCTTTCCATCTGTCAGTTGCCAAATGTAAGTTCCAGTATTATGGTTACACTTTTTTCTCGTTTTTCTTCTACTGGATGACTAATAAAATTCACTCATCAGTATAAAACAGTTATACAAATTTATTTTTTACAGATAATGAAGAGAGGTCAGTTGTCATAAGAAGAAACATACTCGGAGGGAAATATGACCCACTTGAGACTGTGAACTTAGCCCATAGCATTGAAACTGGAGCAAAGAAATTGAAAGCATCTTCAAAGAATTCTTCCAATAAATTATAGTCAGTGTATCAGCTTAAAAGCAAAACCTCAATAAGGCAAAAGGGAAATCAATTACAATTTTAAAGTTATTCTGTTAAATGCGATTAACAATTGATCATTATTTGTGTGAAAGAATCACACAAAGTTTTACATCATGGTAAAAAGTAAATGGGATGAATGTAACCTCCAATAATCTCTCAATGTTATCACAGATCCTGTGACTAAAATTTGAAAACTACTTCTTCCTTGGAGATGAACCTAATTTAGGTTTTAAGACATTTTTGCTTGGTTTTGGGTTTATTGTGGATTTTCGACCTGTCGAGAGTTTATGTCCACTTTTCTCTGGAGGCACTTCTGCAGTTGGAATGGAAACCAATAACTTGGCAGCCTGCTGTAGAGATTCAGCTTGTAATTCAAGCTTATCTGGAAGCAATAGAAGTTGATGTATGTCTGATGCACTGAATATGTATCTCTTGAAGAAGTAATAAAAGAGCATATTTAAATTATATTTGTTATTCTCATATATGAGGGATCTCAGAATCGTGTAGCAGAAAGGAACCATTTGTGGATTTTTTTCTTGAAATTTTCAGTTTTCTTATTAAAATGACCTTTACCAAAAGTCATAGTTTACCCATGATGATTTACCCCAGTTCATAAATCAAAAAGTTATGTATGTAGCCAATAACTTTGCTTTCTTTTCAGTGCATATTTTTCAATGAACTTAGAGAAATATTTGTCGTTTTTACGTGCATCAAAATTTCGCAAATGGTCCATTTCATCAGCCTTTTACTTTGAAGATGAGCAAGTGAGATTACCCATGGCAATATTATATTTTTGTTCAAATAATTAAAGAGAGAATAAGCTTAAATTCTAAAAAAATGGAATTCCTTACCTGAGATGTACTCCAATATCTCACTACATTCTTCTAGAATGGGTGTGAAGCCAGTCACCACGTTTGCTTCATCTCCTATTGTTATAAACAATGCATAGACTTGTATTGACAGGGGATGTAAGTGAATAAAGGTGCTCAACAATGTTTTTTTTTTCTTTGCTCAGTTCAATTTAATAAGATGGACAAAATTAATGTTAGACTTTCATGTTTGTGATTTTTTATTCCCATTTAAGTTGCAATGTACCAAATTAATGTACCTAATATCCTGAAAATGTAATTCTCATTTATCTCATTTATGAGCCACAGTATTGTATTTCCAAATCTTACTATGAACTTCAATTGGAATATAGGTCTCCCTGCCTTGTAGGTAATTTGAAGCATTTGTAGTCTTTCCCTGAGTGAACAGCAGCCTGGCACAGCCATTAACATCACACAGATCTACTGTGACTTAAAAGTGAAAAAGAAACTAACAATAACAATGACAGAATTAACATAATCAGACCTTCAGGCATCTTTTAAAATAAATTTTCTTGTATCTTGGCAACACTGAAGAAAAAACTAATACTTAGATTTGTATATATTTAATTTTGAAATGACGTTATAAAAATGTGCCACCCAAAAAAATCCAAGATATGAGGCATAGTGAAATTTTTACTTTTTAGCTCCAAATTATTAACAATTGCAATATATCCCTAATCCATGTGTTATGTTTCATGTTGATAGTTTATAAATCTTGAAGAAAAGTAAACCACAGTAGTACAGCTTAGAAAAGGGCAAAGCAGTCTCTCTCTCCCTCAAATTGGTCATTAAATTTAATAAATAGCTCTTGTTATATAAAGTAGAAACAATATTTATATTTATGGCAGTTCACAAGCACACAAACCATAGCTGGACTAATGTGCCAAAATTATCTCTTGGGATACTAAACCAACATCCAGTTTCAACTGCAAAATGTTCCTCAAGCATTTTTCTTACCATCTTTGGTGAGGACACATTTTTCCTTTATGTAGTCCAACAGAGTCTGTGTTCCACAGTTTATGTTCAGCAGAAATGATTCCCCACCTGCAACAGAAAAATTATAAAATTATTTGCCAAATTTATGAGGCAACTGCAGATCTATAAGTAAATGCCGTTCTTTCAACTTGAGCAATAAAATGGGTAGAGGTCTAAATCAACGCCAATGCCTCCGTAATATTTTTGCCTAGATCTAGATCTACATCTTCCAGGAATAATACAGAAGGGAAATAAAATTGAATCTTTGTAATTAACCTTCACCATAAACGATTCTTTGATGTTGATCTGTGGGAAGTAAGAAGTGTTATGAGAACTCACTTCCATACTTAATATTGGCAAACATGATCCTATTGCACTTCAGAGACACGTTTATGAAAATACCGCAAAAATTACTTCCATACTGCGGGAGCGTCTGCTAGTAAACAAAAAGCACGTGTGCTCGTGCCACTAGCGCCACCTGTAAACAGGAAGTTGCGTGTATTACCCTGCGCAATATTTAGAACCTCATGGCTGCCTGGCAGACGATCAAAGTCGGTCAAAATTTAAGTGAATAATGCTATAAAGTAGAAGCACTTGTAAAAAATGAGTAATATATACATCCAGGAACCACCCACCAATGGAAAGGTAATTATTCAACATTCCCTGACCGTCAGTGTATCTGCTATTTGGGGAGAAATTTAACGTTATGTACTCATTTCCTACATGAATCGGCTAGTGATCTGTGTGTACAATGTTTTATTATCACGTACTACTACTACTGGCCTTAGACTACACTGTTTACATCCCAGTTTATGATGCCTGGAACTCAAACACTTTGATAAACTTTATTTTTAATCACTTAAGATATTATTTAACATTTTCATCTGCCTTTGAATTTTAATCCATTTTTGTCAGTACACCATACATTACGGTCTCTCATGATATCTTATAAACATAACAGTATTGAACATTTTTCAAATATTGTTTCCTCACGGAATTCTGGTACATAACAGCAGTTTCTGCAGTTTGTCTTTTTTTCAGTGTCCCAACCAATGTTGAGGCATATGCCTTGATTCTACCTTTTTGCTGTTACAGAACTAAAGACTTTTTTGCTAATAATGAGTTAAGTTTTAAAGGAACATACTTTTCTAAAACAGAGATTTGGCTATTTTCTTTTCTACACATTGTTCATATGTTCTAGGTTCTATTGGTGACCACTGTTGGAGACATAGACATTGAGCTATGGTCTAGAGAATGTCCAAAAACATGCAGGAATTTTATACAGCTGTGCATGGAAGGCTACTATGATGGAACTATATTTCACAGAGTGGTCCCAGGCTTTATTGTCCAAGGCGGGGACCCTACTGGAACAGGAGAAGGAGGGGAGTCTGTATATGGGAAACCCTTCAAGGTAAGTGGGTGGAGTTTGGACAGAGAAACCTACTTTTAATTCTAAATTTTACTGAAAAGATTCGTTTATACCTATTAAATAGTGATCACAACCAGTAAAAGAAATTATTAATCACACTGAGACTCTGGTTTCTATATTTTCTTTGTATACCAGGATGAGTTTCATCAGAGACTCCAGTTCAAAAGACGTGGCTTGGTGGCCATGGCCAATGCAGGGAAAAATGACAATGGGAGTCAGTTCTTTTTTACTTTGGAAGCAACACCAGAGTTGCACAATAAACATACTATCTTTGGAAAGGTATGCATTATTTCATACAGTGTTATACAGTCCAGTTCATATCCTTGCTTTTGTAAATTTGTAAATATCATAAACAATGAACTTCTTTCTTCTTTTTTTTAACCACAAGACACTGTGATTCATATAGAGATGAATTTAACATATGTACATACATCTTGTAAAAATGACCATGCTTTTTCTTATGTAGGTAGCAGGCAACACTATATACAACATGCTTAAGTTGGCAGAAACAGAAACTGATCAAAATGAAAGACCTTTATATCCACATAAAATTTTAAAAACAGAGGTGAGTTGGACAGATTAATGTAAACTTATATGATATGACATGATAAAGATTATCTTGCATTTTGTTTTATATCAGTGTAGTCATAAGTGAAAAAAAAACTTTTCAAATTCTGGTTTACAGATCCTTTCCAATCCTTATGATGATATTTTGCCAAGATCACTACCAAAGAGGGCGAAAAAGGAGGAAGAAAAAGATGTCCAGAAAAAGAAAAGCAAATCAAAAGCTACTAAGTAGGTTTTGTGGAATTTATTGGATCCTACATAATAATAGTATTTTAACACCTTTTAACTTTATACTTTTCATTTTTGAATTGGAAAGAAGCTTAAAATGATTTAGGTTTTATTTTTTAATTGTGATTAACAGATAGAAATTGTGCAGTATTTGCTATTGCAGGAATTTCAAGTTACTTTCATTTGGTGAAGAGGCCGAGGAAGATGAGCAAGAAGTAGAAATGGCATCTAAGGTGAAATATTCCCTTATACACTTCTCTTTAACCTTCAATAATAAATGATTGGTGGCCTTTGCATGATTTTCCTTTGTTTTTAATTGATTTTACAACTTCTTTCCAATGAAAATATTACATTTATTACATCTTTGTATTTAAAGGGATAATAACTCTTTGTTTTGGCCAAAAAATGAATTTTCCTGGAATAAACAACAGTTTTTCCATACTTACCAATGGTTAATGAATCCATCTTTACATTTAAAGTTAGTCCCTGTTTTTTTTTTCTAAAAAGTTTGGTTTTTTGTTATAATCTCTTTAAGAGATTATAACAGAGTATAGCTATCAATGGAGGTCACGAGGTCTAAAGACAAGCTCAGATATAGGAATAATAGCTATAACTGTCGTTTTTCTTATACAACAGAATATATTATATTTCTATGAGTTGTTCACAATGTTTTTATTGTGAAATATAGATCTCATACGAAGAGTTATTATCCCTTTAACTTTTGAGGAAATAATTTCCCACAAAAAAACAAATATTTTCTGCCTTCTATAGATTTTTAAATATAGATCACATACTAAGTAGCTAAAAGAATTGAATTGTATGATTTTGTTTAGGAAATCAAGAGTAAAAGTAAAAGCATGCATGACTTTGATGACCCTACCCTCAGTGCAGTAACAGTGATAGACAAGGAGGAAGACTCGAGTTCAGGCAAGAGGAAAAGCATATCAGATGATGAAAGCAATAGTGTAAGTATAGCCTTGAAGAAATGTTGCTGAAATTTGATCAGAATTATTCCCTATGAAAAGAAATCTTTCTTCATTTTTTTCCTTTGTGTCAACTCAGACAAAGCCTTCTTTGTTCCCTTAATTATAAGCACAGACTATCATTCAACTATTAATTTGTTTTGGCAGAATACTGAAACTGATAAAGAGCATGGATCAAAGGACAAAATAATGAAGAAGTTAAAAAAAGAAACCAAAGTTGAAATAGAGCACCAAGAAGAACCAGAAGTGGAGAAGAAAACATCTAGAAGGTGCATATCAGGTTTTGTATCTAGTGTTCCCCTCTGCAACCTGCTAATTATAATGTGGTACCCTCAAACTCTATATTAAGCAGTCAAGCATTGAAACAACTTCTCTTCTCTATATAGTGGCAGTTTGATTGATAGATCAAGAAATCCCATTATTAAATCTCAGAAACTGTCAAAACCATCACAAAGTTATCTTGATGTATATGACTGATTGATGAGAGACAGTGCAGTAAAGTGAAATGGGGCTCAGTTTTGCAGTGTATTGAAGTGCCTACATACTGACTTCATCAGTTTATCTGTTTATACTATGTATGGTGTGGTGACCATTTCAGTGAAGAGCTCAGAAAGGAAGTGCGAGAATTGAAGAAACAACTTCTTGAAGCAAAGCAGAGGAAAGAAAAAGAGTCACATCCAAATAATAAAGATGAAAATACAGGTAGACCGTAGACTGAGAATTTTTTAATGAATCAAACTGATGTTTTAAATACAGGTCATTGTAAATAGCTGCATCCAGCAATCTGTTGTATTGAAGTTATTTTTATTACTGCTTATATTGATATCACTGTAGAATATTTGTGTTTTTAAGAATCGGTGAGTGTTAAGTTATGGGCAATAAATCTTATTGATGTAAAAAGTTTAATTTAGGTCTTCATGGTATTGTATCTCCACTTAATTTATTCCATTTTAATTTTATATTTGAAGATAAGAAAGCAGAAGATCCTGCTTTGGTAGAATTCAAACAAGAGAGACAGAAATATAAAGAAAGAAAGAAAACTCAACCTAAAAAGGGAGCTGGAAGAGAGGAACAGACTCTTGCCTTATTGGCTAAATTCCAAAATAAACTCCATGAAGCTATATCAATGGACAAAACAAAAAGTAAATCAAGTATTGAAGGAGAAGAAGAAGAAGATGATGATAATGATGACAGTGACATCTCCTGGTGAGTGAGCACATGCAGTAATAGACTGTATACAGTGTTCTTTCAAAAATAACTGAACAAATCTGAAAAATTTCTTCTAATACATTCATGACTATATAGATATAATTCAGTTGATTTAGATCTGATTTACATCATGCTTTACTTTGAATGTAAGTATTTTTTTAGCTGTATTACTTTTTATTTTTTTGGAAATTGATACAAAAATTAAAAACGAAATTTCCTTTTCCAGGCTAGGTCACAAGTTGGAGTTTGAGGACAAATCTGGGAAAGTACTAGATGCAAATGTAGACGATTCTGAACGCTATGAAATCTTTGATCCAAGAAATCCTATGAACAAGAGGAGAAGGGAAGCCAGTAAACAGAATATGAAAGGAAAATGAAACTTAACAAAGGTCTTTATTCTGAAACAAGATTCACAGCATTCTACATCAATTCTTTTATTCAGTGGCAGTCAATGTTTTCCTCTCACACACTTGCTTGTTACGCTTGTTGTTTTGTCCGTTCAGTTATCATTCAGCTATAAACATAGGTCACACAGTGACTGTCAGTAAAAGAAGGGTATTTTGTTTTTGAATTAAAATTATATAACAGGAGAGTTAGTAAGGACAGTTTTATAGGTGGCAAATGTGCCCTCTATATTCCGAAAGGTCCCTCTGGTAAATGAAAAAGGTAATGCATAGAAAGTCCTGCAAACATGTGAAGTTTAACTCGGAGCAAAGGAATGGTCATGTTTATGAAGATTAAGATTTAAATTTGAAGTTTCTACATTTAACATATAATTATGATAATGTGATTATTCTTCCTTACCACAACTTGACACATGTACCGATTTTACATTTAAAACTCCTCAGATAATACTGTAATATTCCCATTTCACTAGTACTACGGGCATCAAATAAAAAATCCTTAGTATCTGCTTAAAGGCATAAACAATGGGATGAAAATAAATTTTATAGAATTACAGAAATTAGTAAGTCATGTGTATACTGTGAACATGCAGTTGGCCTTAATGTGTAGTAAAAGAACCAAGAGTAGACATTAAATTGTGTTAATAAAACTTCAAAAGCTTTTTTCTGTATTTTGTGTGTGCTATATATGCATTTAATAATATATCAAATCTTAAACTTTGCCTTCCTTTGTGTTTATTTACTTTTTCAAAATTTGTACCCATTTATTTATTTAGAATCAAACATTTATGTACCAAAGTGTTTATGTGTGACCAAATAATTTGAAATATTACTTTATTCAGAATATAGAGGAGAGTTTACATTACAAAAACTGTATGTTTTAAAGCATATACAAGTAATGTATAAAATAAGACATGCAAAGAATATAAGAACTACCATTAAACTGCTCTGTTGAAAATACTATGGATATTTTTTTATGTAAAAACATCCTGTATCAATAAACTCACTTCAATTTGTTAAAATCAACCCCCCCCAATTTTCCTCCCTTGATCTGTCATGCTTATTCTGTTAAAATATTACAGATACTTCTGCTATGTTAAGCTCAAGAGCTAAAGAGATTCAGAAAAATGCACCCAAATGCGTTGTGCCTCCTCTATATAGTTTTGGAAACTATTTATGACTTCACAAAATACAAGGATGTTTTTCAAGAATTTTACAATAACTAAAGACGGACTCTTAGCATATCAAGCTACCAATTCAATTGTGTGGTAATTAACATGTGAGCTTCATGATTTGCAGGAACACCTTTTATATTAAGTCTCAAGGAATGTCTTTTTGGGAACCTTATCAAAACAAACAATACACAAACTGATGTAGCAAAGACAAAAAAACAACATGCAAAATATAATTTTTCAGGCACAATGTGCATAGCACCATTAAAATCACAAATACTGGATGAAGATACACCACAAACCTGACCTTCCTAATTCTGGTTTAGTAAAAGGTGATTTAAAAAGTTTTCAGTGTGATAGCAAAAAACGTACACCCTAAAGTAAAAAAAGTTATTTTTACAGTTTAAATAAAGCTAAAAGCACTCATCCTCATCAAGCTTTCTTTGGCACCGGAATACAAAAAAAAAAAAAAAATAAATAAATAAATAAATAAAAATAAATAATAACAAAATAATAATAATAATAATAATAAAAGATACACACACCTTAAAAGCACACTATAAAGCAATACTCAGCCTGGCCTATATTAACTAAAATTATACAAAATGGCCACCATTTTAAATTTTGATAAGCATGATTACTTTTGTAATACTAAACCTATCATTACCATTTCAATATAAAATTCTAATAAGGGTATAAAAATAATATCTAATGTCTACAAAAAATTTTCTTGTACAATTATTACAACATCATTTTTATTAGAATACACTGATGAATGTTTTTATCAATTGAAAGTTTTATGGCAGCACCTTAATATAAAAACACATGTAAAGCAATTCTATATCCGTTTTGGGCTCAATTCTTCAATAAAACTGGGGGTTTATAAATTCCAATTTGTTATAAAAGACAACTCCATGCTAGACCAATATTTATAAAACATATAAAGTTAGTTATCAACCAAATATACCTTTAAATAAATGCTGGGAATATTATTTGGCAGAATCAATCTTGACTTGAAAAAAATATAATATTTGGTACATTAATATCAAATATACACATACTGGTTGCCCAGTTATAGTTTATGGTCTAATAAATGCCTGAAATATCACACTATGTTTGTGCTATGCATGTTTGTGATATCACTACTAATTACATTTCTGTATAACATTCTTGATGATACAGGCAATATTATTGATAGTATAGGCAAGTTCAAAAGAATTTGACAATAATGAAGCAATATTTGATCAAAATTTTGTGCCATTTGTCAACAGTTCAAGTTGCTTCACCAAAGTTGCTGAATTCATAGTCAAAAACTGAATGTCTTTTACCTTAAAGCTTAGGACTAACATTTGACTGAATGTAATTGTGGAATGGTAGCCCAGATACAAATATTTTTATCCAATATCACATATATTTTTGTATTAAACTGACAAAATACAAAAGCTTTGGAACATTCCAATATGTTATGATAATCATAAACATTAAAAAATAATTGTAAATTTTAAGATAGTGATCACAAAAATTGTTTACAATAATAGCATTTCTTTCAAGAGCAATTCAAACCTTTCTCCCTAACAAGTTATACAATGCATATAAAAAGTTTGTGACTATTGTCACATTAAGATAATTCAAGAGGCAATTTATCCGTCTCTTCTTGCCTTAAATCTTACGGTTATCACTAAGTACCATTTTCTATAAAAGTAACCTCTTTTAATACCTCAGAGGCATTTTGTATGCTTTTATGCCATGGGACTACTTCTGAACAAATGCTATAAATGTGAAAGTAAAATCAATGCTTGTAATAATAAAACTTTTCAAATATGGTAATCTGAAATTGTTGAGGACCTTAATGAAATTTCTCTTCTGCAAATTTTTCTTTGTACCCAACACAAAATTGTCCATCTGGAAGATACTTCAAAGATAAGGTTGGACCCTTAGTACAAGTACCAATTATCAGCCTTTGTTTTTATGGCAAAGGTTCCATATTTGCACTTTTTTCAGCCTATCAGCAGTTCCCCTTTTGGCACATTTTAGCGAATTTGAAAATTTGAGTAGTTCTCAAATGAATCTAGATACAGTTTGGCAAAAGTGTAGCAGAAGTCATACTGCTCCTGAAAATGAAGTTTTAGGGTTAGTTATTAAGTGATACATTACTATGTAAAAATATCTTGTAATTAAGAACATAAGATACAAGCAAATATTAAGAAATACAAAATGATTTACTAATGAAATGAAGTCACAGCTACTACCAAAGTATTATAAATAAAGTAATTAAAAAAGTAAATTATAATTACCTTTTTGTTAGTAGATGTAGCATAGATAGCCAACCATATATTAACATGTAACACAAAAGATCAAATAAATTGTTTCTAAATTCATTTCTAAGAAAAAACCTTTATAATTTCAATATACTTACAATATTAGCAATGAATTGTGGTCTGTTGATGCGGACATTCTTCACTACATGGAACACATCAACACCTTGCTCCAGCTTGACCTTGTCCACCACACAGCTGACCGTTACATACACGCCACTCTTCGTGGAACCATCCCTAGAAGTGAAGAGAAATCAGGAACAGAAACATCACTGTAAATAAATACATGTGAGTTTTATAAGTGAATAACTGGATTTACTCTTTTAAAACCTTAGAGTCTTGCATTAAAGTGCAGGCATTCATATTGCTATATTTACTTTGATATGTCACACTTAAAGCCCCAACATTTAAATTCTAAACTTAATACCTGACTGCTATCTGACCCTCTGGATTGTAAAATAGAACCTAGTTAACCTGTTTCATGTCAAATGCAACCCTTTATTCATAACACATACACATAATTGAAGCCATATTCATAACTTTTTATTGTAGACATTTTTGAAAGTTGACTTACAGACAGTGCACTGTGACTGGTTTGTTCCCAGTCTTCTGTTGCCATCTTTCCACCTGATCCAGAAGCTCGATCAGTGCTAACCCATTGGTGGGCTCATAGCGTCCCTGAGGCCATGACAGAAATTGGAACAATCTGATGGTCCGCACATCTTCACTCTTGAACTAAAAAAGAGTAAATTTTAGTTAATAGGGTATTTTTACTATGGAGGACATGGAAAATGTTTACATAACTAGAGGATCAGAGGGGCGAAACTGCCCCCAGGTACTGTACCACCAGTAACTGTACCAGGTACTGTACCATGATACAATACATAAATAGAAATGAAGAAATATGAACGACTGACATTCCACATTCTGTTTGCTCGACTTGTCTATCATGAACTATCTCAATTTTCCATAACAGATAACTTATTTGACACATTTGTATATTCTCACTTGTCTGCTTTTTCATATTTTTTCCACCCTTATTCATCCTTACTAACCTTGTTATAAGTACTCAGCTGTAAAGTGATCAATCGAATGGAGTCATCAATGACTAGCTGGCTGGACTTGTGCTGAATTGTGAATGGACCATGACTGATGCTACTGCCATCTGCAGGCCAATATACGGCACAAGTCTATAATGATCCAACAATGAAAGAGAGAAAGGGAGGTGGTTGAAAAGATAAAACTTTTAAGTGTATAAATATACAATTTCAAAAATGATATCACATTAAAAGGTGCATTTATTAGATGCTTAATTAGAGTGACTAGTTTTCAAAATGAAATGCACCCAAGGCCAATTTGCAAAACAAATACCATAAAATTAATACATATCAAGAATACAATAAATGAAACTATTCACAAAAATGCAAAAAAATCATGTACCTCATCTTCATCAGGTTCATTTAGCATAACAATGGAGAACGAGTCATGATCCCAGATCATGCGCCAGAAATCTACCACTGTATGGGACAAAGGCATCTGTGTAACTATGAATGCATTACGCTGTCTGTAACCCTGAAATAAAAAATCAAAATTACACCAAATCCCCCCTAATATGGAACTACTTTATAAAATTTTTTTAATGAGTTATGACTGTACTGACATTTTTTTGGGCATAATACAATCTTACCAAAAGGAACTTGAATGAGGAATTATCTTTTTTTCTTTAATGTTACGGGGCAGTCATGACTACAACTGTCCCATAAAATTGAAGAGAATGTGACTAATACTCCTGAACCTGTTTGTCCTTGCACAACTAACTACAATGCTTATTTTACCCCTGGGCCATAATTTGTTTTTTCAAAATATATAAAATTATACTGTTGTAGATAGCAAATGCTTTTTTTTTTTATTCTGAAAAAAAAAATGCAAGTGTCCTATGTGAAAGTAGGATATTTTAAGACAATTAAGATGTGGGGACTTAAAAAGATCAACCCTATAAATAAATGGACCAACTGGGAAATTCCAGTTTTCTAAGCAGGGGTAATATAATTGGATTTCAAACTGTAAACAGAATCCTTAAAAATTAAAAAATGTAAAAAAATCTTAAAACTTACATCTACAAACACTGCATTGATATAATTTGTTCCATCTACTCTCGGGCTAAGAAAAGGGCGAGAAGTGTCAGCTGAAATAAGAGAAACTAACTTGAAACATCTGTTGCAAAAACTCTGAATAGGTTATCATGCCGAAGAAGTCTTCAACACATAAATATCTCTTCTTTACTATTTCTTTAAATGATTCTATTTTCCACTTCAAACATTTTTCAAAGCTCCAACTTTGGAGAGTCATTTCAGGAAAAAAAACTTACGGGGAATTATACTGGGAAAGCGGTTCTTTTTGCTGTTTTCAGGAAGTTGTGAGTCCTGACAATCAGCAATTTTTAAAACTGGGGAAATTTTGCACAAGGTCTGCAATAAAAAACGCAATCATAAATTATTTCGAATTGAAATATTTACAAATCTTATATTTCACTTTTTAAAAAATGCACCTTTACATAGTGACAAATGTATATCAGTGTCACTGCAACTATGACATTTCAACAGATGAACAGTACATAATTTCTTCGATCTATTGTGAACTTTCATACATGTTGCTGCATTTGGTGTTTTCAGAAAAACCACCTGCAATCAGTCACTTTTTTAAAATAGTAAATCCATCAGCAATAATGCAGAAATTTTAGTGATTTATCTCAAAATAACTGATTTCATAACTTACCCCATACTCCACTTCTAGTCCAGCAGTTCTTGTCACTGCATTGATCTTACACAGTTTGTTAAATGCTTGACTAAAACGATCAGTTGGAATGAAGGTATCTCCGCAGATAGCTGATTCAACCACTGCATCATACACAAATAGATACTGATCCTGAAAACAATTATTCTATCTCATTCACCTTTACCTTGATGAAATAAGTATTTCAATGACACTCAAACACACAAGGATGGCAAAAACTCTAAAATGTGAAATTTTAATAATTTTTGTTCTCAAGAAATATTAATAACTGTAATTGAGAACAGTTCATGCTCAATTTCTCAAGTACTAAAAGTATTAACAAAATTCTAAAATATCCATTCTTTTCTTCACAAAATTCTAAAATATCCATTCTTTTCTTACCAATGTCTGTATCATATTAACTCTCTGCTGCCTCATCTTCATCAACTGACCAAGAATGTCCACTGTTTTTTCTTCTTGAGCTTGGTCAAGAATGATGTCCAACAAGATAAAAGTCCCAGTGCGACCAACTCCAGCACTGGAAAAATTCACCAGGAAACGTAGCCACAGCTAAATTCAGTTATATATATACCATCCAAAATTCAAACTGGTATAACTACAGGGAATTCAATGAAAACATACTGACCTAAAATGTTTGAAGCAAATCAGGATATTAGTAATTAGGTTGAAATGAGAAAATTCTATGCTAAAAGGTAAAAATAAAAGAAACTTTTTAACATACACTCTTATACAGACTTCTTTTTAAGCTTTTGCAATTTTACCCCTAGACAGTTTAAAAAATGTAAAGACTGTTACTTAGTCCAGTGACTGTTGCATCATGAAAAGCATATGGTGCTAACACCAACAGAGACTGATGATGGCTTTATGTACAGATAAATCCTTCAATGTCTATACTAAAATTAATTGATTACTACCTGCAGTGAACCATGACAGGTCCTGGCATCTGGGCACAGAAAATCTTTACACGTTTGTGAAACTGCAGAACAGAGGTGGCATACGTCGGAACTCCATGGTCTGGCCATGATGTGAAATGAAACTGCGTCACTGTGCGGGTAGTCTTTGGGTTTTCAGTCTAGGTTAAAAGATATAAACAAATTATCAATGTGTGGGATTTATGTGTTTCAAATCATAACCAGGTCTTTGAGTATAAAACTATACACAGCATGAACATACAGATAGCTAACAGAAAAAAGTCATTCCCATTTTAACACAAAAAGGTACATCACAAAAAAAAGCTAACATTGCAATGTCTACAGTTACCAAATTTATGAAGAGATTATATCTGCCTTCCTTAATTCAACAGCTTCTTGTGCATCTAGCATGTTATTTTATTCAAGTTCTGAATTCAAACCATGCATACAGGTTCAGCTCTTTATTTCACATTTCAATTCACAAAAAATGCTAAAAATAATAATCAAATCAATCAATAAACAAATTTACACCTAAAACTTAAAGGTATATCTTACTGAAATTTTATATAATTTTAGGGGTTTTATTGTTAAAGAGTTCTGGACTTGGAAAAACAGATAGCCTTGAAATTGTTAAAAATGGGGAAAATTGTTACAAAACACTGCATCGCTTTGAAATAGCCCTAATATAAATATGTATCTTGAACTTCACTCCTATATGCTCCTTTTTGGAAATCGAACTAACCAAATATAAAGAAAAGGTTCTTATGGTGTACTCTGCCAGTTCTTCTGCCTTCTCTAAGTGCACTGTAAACATTCCATAGCTCTGTACTGTGTCTGGCCAGTACTTCTCACATTTTCTCTGTTGAGAAAAAAAATCATAAAACAATCTCTGGTAGCTTACATATTGCTTTCATACATCATAAACTGACAATAATATACATCTTAACAGTACTCCACTAATATAAATGCTATCAAATCACTGACCCACAAATCCGAAAAAAAAAAAAAAAAAAAAAAAAAAAACAAACTAATTTCATAGAATGTAGCAGAAGGAAATAATATTGAGAAAAAATCATACAAAATAAATGTGTATAACAAAATGGTGGATCTAATGGGAACGTACCAACAGACTCTCTCCATATGACAAGCATTTACTTGGCAGGCACACACACATGCGCATGCACACACACACTCGCACACACAAACTCAATAAGATCAATTACTGAAAATAAATATTATAATTTTATAAAATATTATAAATATTATAACACTCACCCTTCCATCTTCCACACAGTTTGTTACCATGACCACGGTATTAACATCCTTTTCCCATATCATACGCCAAAAATCTTCCAAGGTTGTTTCAATTGCACCTAAGTGAAACAAAATACTGGATTTATTTCTAGCTCACCGTGATGCTGTTAACTGTTCACAAAAATTGGATGGAAGATTGTGACCTAACAAGATACCTTAAGCTGTGACATGATTGCTACAGAGGGGCAAAACATCCAAAACTCCTACTTCTATTTTTGACACAGTTTGTGGGTCAACAGCTGTTTTAAAAGCTTATATTTCAAAGGTTTCTCTTTTTTTTTTCAACAGTCAATGTTCCACATCAATATTATATGTTACATAAATCTAAATAATTGTGATTACAGTTGTTACCTTGTGCAGCAATAAAGTAGCTGGGCTTTTTGTAACCCTGGAAATAAAAAGAAAAAGTGAACATGGCAAATACAATCTATTGTATAAAATATTCGTAAAAACATATGCACACACACACACACACACACACACACACACACACACACACACACACACACACACACACACATCCTTTTTACATAAATCACAAAAAAATAACAAAGGACCTGGGAAGTGGGAAAAAGTAAAACAGTATACTTACATCCATGTGACATGCATTTATGTAGTCTGAGTGTGGATTTCCTGGCAACTGAGACAGGACAACCCTACTGTGGTCATCTGAAACAACATCCAAATATTTTTAATTTTCAGTAATATTTTAATTTTTTTTTATTCTGAATGAATGAAAAACAAAATTTGGTCTTCGTGTCTTAATTAAAATGGACAATTGGAATAAAAGTAATTTAAAGGGGTGAAAATAAGATTATTCTTTGTCAAGAGTTATCTTCTTACATGCAACTATGTTTGCGTAGCGGTTCTTCTTTTTGTTCTCAGGTTTTTTGGCAACATCCCAAGAAGCAGTTTGTGCAGAAGGCAATGACTGAAAATGACCAAATAACATTGGGAAAAAGCTCACATTAAAGACAGTGTTACTCTTTTCCATATAAATATTGTAATATATTATTTTTTTAAATGGCATGTAACTAGACAATTTTTTTTGTTTCTGTGATGGCAATTATTATTATTATTATTATTATTATTATTATTATTATTATTATTATTTCCTTTCAAATCTTACCTCATATTCCTCTGCCAGCAACCCAGAATTCTTGGCATCTTGAACAAATGTGGCAAGATCCTGCACTCTGATGGGATTGGAAACATTCCCATTTTGAATAAGCAACGGTGCCTGGTCAGGTTTTGGTGGGATTCCTGGCTTAGTGTAAACTGGAGTTTGAGTGGAAGGAGGTTGGTGTAGTTCAGAGCTAGCAGAGACAGCTTCATTTGAAGCAGGAACTACATCTAAACAGATTGTAAAGGCATGAAAGAAGCACCAATTACCAAGAAGCAAAAAAGGCTAGGAGTATGGTAAAATTTTTGTGGGCTCTAAACTTTGAGGTGTAAAGTTGGAGGATGAAAAATTGATTTCAACCCAATTTCAACTCTAATACCCACCCCCTGTCCCTATTTGTTAGGCTGGAAATGAAAATATGATGAAAAAAGTCTCTCAGGTAGAACTTTGATGGACAAAAACTTAATATTTCAGGCATATCTGCTCTTTGGTTTTCAACTGTACTTTGACTTAAAGATATTGTCCCCCCTTGCCCAAAACTCCTTATTTAGTGCCTTACATACAATCTTTTGGGAAATAAATAAATCTTCAGTGTTCAGTGACTAAATTAATTAACATTTACACATGTCATCTTACAGGAGCGGTCAAAATTGTGATTTTCGGGTAAAGATTTCTCAAATATCTCTTTTACTTGAGCACCCACGATCACAGTTTAAACGTCGATTTAATGACACCATTTAGTACTCCAAAACCCTGCCAGCGATTATTCTTATTTTTTATTTTTTCTTATTTCAGATTTTATCATTGATAAAGCAAAATAATGCCTTTGTTTAATTAGGGGCTCCTAACTCCATAACATTAAGCCCCATAATAGAAATAGAAAGGTGTTAAATTGATGATTAAAGCTTTTCTAATACACTAAAACAAAAAAATTTAAAATTAAAATATAAAGGGTTTCTTCATTGTTTTAAATCAGCACAAAGATAGATGGATTACTGAATTATTAGATGCAGGAAAAAACTCATTTTTGGTATCTGGACGATAATAAAGGGTTACAATAACCTTAAATAACCAATCAAGTTCACAATATTTTTAACAATTATCTCTTTGTCCATGAAATTATACTAACAAGGTGAACAATTAACCAACTCATCAAAGTATCCTGAGAGACCCTTGATATCATATTAAACCATTTCATCAGAGGCTTATGTATTTGAAAAGGTTTCTTCCAACTGACCCTCTGCTTACATTATAGAGTTCAAACATTTTTAACACTGATACACAGCAGCCTTTCTATAGCGTCCCTGGTAAGAAAAATATACAGCTACAAAAATGCAGGAAACGACAGGATGATGTTTGAAAAAACTAAGCACTATCAAATTTAAAAGATAAAAAAACAGACAGGCAGAATAGCCCAATTCAATTTACACCTTACAAGTGCAAGGGGTGTTCTATTCTAATGCATTGTGTTGCACAACTTTTCACAATGAATCATGAATTTGAGTAAAAAAAAATCTGTATATTTACTTTCCTTTTTTGATCATTAAAAAAAAAAGAAAGTGAATATATAGTTTTTCCTTTACTCAAATTCATTCAAAAAATCAATCATCTTTTCAGCTTGGGAAAAATACCCCCCCCCCCCCCCACACACACACACGAAATGAAAAGCAGTGATAATCAATAAAAATCAAAATTCTAATTTGAAACTGAGTATGAAATACTAGATCAGCTGGGTGAAATTGTTCTACAAATCAACAATATAAATGAATCTCACACTTATAAGCTTTAAGTAGCGTTTAAAAATAACAAAACAGACAATTGCAAAAATCATACAATTTTGTGTAATTCTTACTGCTGAAGACATAAAGAAAAATCTGCAGGAGTTAATGGCAGGGGAAGATATCTTTGAAAATGATTATGTGCACAATAAAGAAATTTAATCAGATGCAAAAATGTAAGGAAAAGTACTCAATTACACAGTTAAACATTTTCATACTGAATAGGATTCTAATATGAAAATTAAATAAAAGTTAAATGAACAAAAATAAAGTACAGACTTCTGCTAATATCAATCTGAATTTATTTAAATAAAACTATGTACCAATTAAATTAAATGTTCTGAAATAGGTGCTACATTGCCTTCCAAGATCTAACCCATTCAATACAACCTTTGTGGAGAACAAATATGGATAGATCAAATTGAGAGAAGTTACCGTTTTTCTCTTTGTGGACCTTAGTTAGTGGTATGTTGTGGGAATCTCTTTTTGGCTTCTGACGTCTTCTCCTAGAAAAAGCAAACAGATGCAATGGACTCTTTTTAACAAGAAATTTGACACTATGAATGACATTTTGTAGCTCTATAATATTCCAGAAAATTTAGATTTAATTTAATCCATCACTGTTACAGATCTCATCTTCATAGACAATATGTTGCATACGTTTACAAGATGATCAAAAACTGACAGCAGAACATGAGTGTCATTAATGAGACAATATACAAAACTACTTTTACAATGCAGATGGCAAAATGTCTTAAGGAGTGTTTTACTCCACAGCAATAACATACATTAAACTTTATCCTCTATAGTGATTCATTTACCTCCAAACAATCACAAAAACTGCCAAACCAATAAATACCAACACCACTACTGCTACTGCAATTCCCACAGCAGTCCCTAATGACAAACTTTTATAATCTTTCACTGAAAAGATGAAAATCACAGATGCAAGTCACCAATGAAGGTACCAATAACCTGAAACCCCTATGATATAATAAATCTTTCACCTTATACACTCACTTGTAGAAAAACAACAGGGTAGTTCCTGTCAAATGCAAAAATTTAATATCAACAATGTTATTTTAACATGAAACACATTTTTAACAAAGAGATTTTAACATATGGAGACAAACCTGTGAAAGCATTACCAAGACCTTCTAAATCTATAGCCTGAACTTCCTGATAAGCAGACTTCTGATTTCCCTATAACAGAAAAAGAAAAGGAGATGTGCTATTTGTCCAACGATTTCATTATATGCATTTGGAAGTATAACATAAAAGTCTACACTCAGAAACTTTGAAATAATACTTACATTTGGAAGCTCAGCTAGAAATCCAGTGTAAATCTTGTACTGCTGGTTTTGTACCAAAGGAGGATTCCTGTATCCATCATACACTTTCCCATCTCCAACCACCACTTCCTTCCCAGAGTCTGGGTCTAATTCTTCATATGACAACTGAATGGCAATATACTTGGTATCACGCTTTTGCAATGCATTATCTATGCCAGTGAGGGTAGACTCATCAAATGTGACAATATCCCTTCTTTTTCTTAGTGGTCCACTCTGTTTTTCCACAACCACACGGTAGTACCTTTCAAATAGAATTTTCCAAAATAAAATTATAAGGATCAACATAAAAAATGATGTCTAAGTTCATTCATCTTTTGCCATATAAATCTTCAGTCCTATAACATATAAAAATTGAATTATATTTACACACACTACACACACTTACTTGATAGGCCCTTCATATTTAACAGGATAAAGGCTTAATGTAACAGTAGTTGGTGTGACTGCCTCTTTGCTTATAGAAACCATTGGCATTATTTCTGAGGTAACACCTGAAAGAAGTGGTAGAAAACAATGAAGGTTAGATGAAGGNAACATATAACAATTTAATTATATTTACACACAATACACACACTTACTTGATAGGCCCTTCATATTTAACAGGATAAAGGCTTAATGTAACAGTAGTTGGTGTGACTGCCTCTTTGCTTATAGAAACCATTGGCATTATTTCTGAGGTAACACCTGAAAGAAGTGGTAGAAAACAATGAAGGTTAGATGAAGGAATATGTTTTTCAACAAATTATTCATAAAATCAAATGAGGCTAATGTATTTTACAAAGTTTGACAATGATATCTATTCCTTTTTTGCATAGCATGCAATACACGGAGTAACTGCATACAAGTTTTCAAAGATTTAATTTTAACTCATTTAATTCACACACCCAAATATGCATCTTTGATATTTTTCACCTTTTGAGCACAGTCAAGGTTTATAAGGTGGGTACATATCTTTTACCCTAAAACATACTATTAGGTCAAGAAGACCCATTCATGATCCTTCCCAGACACCCCATTAGATACCTAGACTAGTCATTTCACCCTAAATCCCGACAAATTGACAGGAGCTAAAAATAATAGTTCTATCATTGAGATAGTACATCATAAAAAACCTACTAGGTAAATCTGTCCAAAATGTCTGATTTACAGGTTCCCCATATTCATATGTCTTTGCCCGTACTTGAACTTCATATTGGGTGGAAGGTCTCAGTCCTTCTATAACCAAATGGAACTGATCACCTAACACCTCCTGGACTCTTTCTCGGTTCTTGTCCAGGTCCACAGGGAAAAAGGAAACCTAGAAAAATAAAATAGATCAATAAAACATATATATATATATATATATATATATATATATATATATATATTTATACAGGCCAAAAAAGTTATGCAAGTTTTTTATATTATATGGTTTTATTACACTTTTTTTAATACAATATTGTTGCTTAAATGGTATTATGTTGTTTAGTAACAAGTGTGCCCTCCCCAGCTGCAATGCAGGTTAGAATCTCCTCCTCATGGACCATACAAGGCTTAGGGTATTCTTCTCCACTCTTCCACTAGTGCTTCTCTTAATTTTATGATGATGGTAGGCTGTGGCTGGCAATTATAAAGTCATCTTCCCAGTTTATCGCAGGCATATTCAATGGGAGGCAAGTCAGGACAAAGAGTTGGCCATGAGAGAGTCTGGATCTGCTCCTGCTGCAGGTATGCCAGTGCTATCCTGAGAGTATGGAGACTGGTGTTGTCTTGCTGGAACAGGCCTAGAGGGCATTCCCAGAGATTTAGATCGATGTTACTAGATCGACCTAACTCCCTGGGGGTTCACGCTAAATTGCAGTCAGCCGACGGCGCATGGAAGTTAAAAACCCCCTTACAGCTTGTAGTAGGCGGGACGGACATTTAAGCCAGATTATCTGACAGTAATCTAGTGAGACTCCCCACAGGGATAGATCGATCTAAAATCTATGGGAATGTGCCCCTAGTGTTGGGTCTTGATGCATGGACGGCAGAACAGCTGTCTTTAGGACTTCATCTGTGTACCACTGGCCAGTCAGATTTCCATCAATTAGCACGAGTTCTGTCTTGGAATGGCCACTTATGCCTGCCCAAACCATAAAACTTCGTCCACCAAAGCAGCCATGTTCAACCACTGCCACATCAGAGAACCCTTCTGTCCGAATGTGACAAACAAAACTGACCTCGTCAGTGGCCAAGATTTGATTTCACATTGATTGCTGTCATGCTAAGCGGTAAACCCTGGTGTGGTTTGCAGCATCTGAGATTGGCTGCTCATACTACCTGGTTACTGATACCAGGGTTATGATGTCCAAAAGTGTTATGTGCTGTCAGGGATGAATTTTGAAAGGGATGACACAAATGCTGCGATACGACATACTGATCCTGACATTATGCAGTTTCTTTTAGTCTGCCACTACTCAGCCTGTCAGCTGTGCTTCCTGAAACATTGTACCGGTGTCACATCCATGATATTGTACTCTAATGTACATGAAGGGCTGCAGCCACTGCCTGGACCCGTATCCCAGATTCCATCATGCCATTGGCATGACCCCTGTCCAGATCAGACAGCTGTGGCATGACATCCGTATGGCATGATATCAGTATCTGTCTCCGAGTTCAGTGTCCACTAGCATTGATTTAAAAACCATTTAAAAAAAAACTATTAAAAAACATTTTAAAAAATGTAAATTATCGGTATATATCCGAGATTGAACAGTTTTTATGTTGATCAGTAAGTACCAAAGCAATGTCCATGATGCCAGGAAAATCCATTATACTGTACACAGTAGGTATTATTTGCATCAAAATATTACAAAATCCCTCTAAAAGCTTATATGGATAGAGTAATGACTATGATAAACAATTAACTATATATTATGTCAAAAAAAAAAAAAAAAACTGGACAAAGAAATCTATTATTTTTTAAATAATTCTAGTAGAAAATATGCGATATCTTGGCGAATGGGTTTGTTCATTACCCTTGTGCAGCAAAAGCTTTACTTAAAAAAAATAAACGTAAACAGTTCTGCTGTGCCGTCTGTAGAAAACACAGTAATTTACCTGATAATTCCTTATCAGCCCATTCCTCTTCCAAGGCTCTAACCAAGAAACATTGAGAGTTGTGGGTGTGGCAGAAATCAAAGTTAGGTTTTCTGGAGGCTCAGGGACTGAAAAAAATAATTTTTCAGATATCAGGCATATTGTCCCAAACTTTCTGCTTTAAATGTTAAATAACAAACTAATTATTTGATAAAGATGCCATGAGAATGAATCATTTCCATAGCCTGAAATCAAAATATCAGATAACCATTACATGCTTAAAAGATAAGTAATAGTCTAGTCTCCATGTAAAGAAAATACGGATGACGTAAAAAGCATATATAAAACGCATATATCATACACTGAGTGAGAATGAAGCAAGAATACCTCTAGATTTCAAAATATAGCAAATGAAATTAACTTACTGCCTTCTGTGGTCCTTACAAAATATTCATCACTGTCTGCTCCACAGCCACTCTTCGTGCAGGCACTCACCTATTCCAATCATTAAAATTTCAAAAAGGTTCATCAAAAACAATTCCTTAAAAATATAAACAAGTTAAAGCATTGAGGAACGGATGTCTACGTTAGATCCATGCTCCAAATGGACACCTCACATAGGGTTTCAGTACCTACATAGACACCAACACCTTGTTTACTATAGGTTTTAGCTAGAATTAATCAGTTCAGAGGGAATTATTTTGACTTTAATCTTTCTCTTCTCTTTTTAAATGTCTTGTCTAATTCTCTAAAAGATGTCCTTCATTAGGTTTTGCATTAGGCTGTATTATAATGCCAGGCATTTTAATGGGAATTTCAAGGATTTAAATTGGGTCCTTTAATGGTAATAACCCTGGCTACTGAAAAGAAGGCAAGGCCTAGGGAGTTGAAAGTATTTGCATACATTTACTGAAACAGAAAAATGATAATGTAATTTCTCACTATAAAACATCACATAATACAATGAACTTTTTAATGTGGGGAAAATAGTAAATTCTACAGATGCTATAATTTTTAAGTCATAATTTCTTAAAATTTAAATATTCCTATTGAGCAGTTGCAACAAAAAAGCAAACAACTCTACACAGTAAAAGCATCACAAAATGCTATATAGAAATATAATTTTTCTGATTATAAAATTATGTGTGAGTAAGTTTGATAATTCAGGCCCATTGAAAAGATAAAGTCATTACTGTATTCATTTTAGAACAATCTTTTACCTTTACAACATAGTCTGTATCTGCTTGCAGTCCTTTATGTATCCAGTAAATGTCAGTGCAACTATCACAGTTTATGGGAGCTGAGAAGGTATCAGCATTCTTCTGCTTGTATTTTATCTCATAGCGGGTTATGACCCCATGTGCTGGACAAGGGACCTCCCATTGGATTTCTATGGCAGTGGCATTGCTGTTGGTTCTGATATCGGTGATCTTAGGTGGAACTTTGAAAACAGAGATACATATATATGCAAACTTTCTTGAAACATAATCAACAACATTTATAACTGCACATTCTCAAATGAAACCAAAGTGCAGTAAATATCAAATCAACATTAAAATAATGTACACTTTATATTACCAATACGCATGATAATTCTTCAAAATAAGAAATCTATATTAACATAAAACTTACCATCTTCTAATGTTTTTACTGGGATCTCGCTGCTCCAGGGTCCACCCCCTTGATTGTTTTTAGCTCGCACACGGAATACATAACTGGTAAATGGCACTAACTTATGAATGGTCACTGAGAGAGAACTTGTATAATTATCTATAGTCCCATAGACACAGTCAGAGTCATTTGCAGGTCTAATGCTATAGTCGTATCCAATGATAGGTCCATTTTGACAATCACATTGGAGTTCAGCCCACATCATGGTAACAGATCTTTTCTTGCAGTCAGCAGTTTTTGATTCTGGACTAGGAGCACATGAAGGAGCTAGAACATGAATATTTACAGTGTAAAATGGATTGCACATTTTATGAAAATTATACTTCATTTTTTTTTTAGGAATCATGATCTTAACAAAATTACTTACTTTATCAAAAGTACATCAATGACATTGCTGTTAAATCATGACTAGACATGGCAAAACTGTTAGAAGCTGTGACATTAAAATATTCTTAAAATGATGTACAAGATAAAGTTGTAATATCAAATGAAAGCAATCTTCAAAATGATTACAGATTTTTAATAACTATAATCAATACATTGTGAAAATCAAAACTTACCCACTGCAAGTGTTTGGGGCATGACTGAATTTCTATCCCCATTAACGTTTTTTGACACATTGATGACATATTCAGAAAATGGTAGCAATTTCCTTATTTCAAAAGTTGTCTTATCTGTAGATTCTTCAATTCATTCTCCATTTTGTTTCTGACAAGTCCCTAATTATGCACAATAATCTAATTGTGCAACAGTACACATCCATTCCACATTACAGGAAATCTGTATCAATATAATATTTTAGATCAAATTTATATAAACATTTCAATCATTTCTGCAATTATTACAACAACAATCTAAAATCCTACCTGCTTCTAAAGTCTTGATTTGTAGCAATTGTGGATCCCCCTCAAGTGCTCCAGAAACCGCTTTAATAGATATATCATACTGTGAATTTGGATATAATTTTGTAAATGTGTAATGTGTTGTTATTTCACTCAATAATGTAGATGTCTGGTGATCTGACAATTGACTGCACTCCTCCTGTAACCTGAATGCTGTAATATTGTACCCTGTTATATTACAGCCAGTGAATCTAGGGGGGCTCCAATGAATGGTGGCTGACATGGGAGTAATGGAGCCTTTTGTCAGTGAGGCAACTTGTGCAACAACTGAAATGGAATGAAATGGAAATTTCTTGATTTCCATTTACTTACTGTAGGACCCTACTATACAAATCTAAAGGGATGACAACTTAATTTTGACCAAAAATGGCAATTTTCCCTATATTTACAAATTGTTATTGAATCTGTTCTAATATTAAAATTAAGTCTCTGTTCTTTTTAAGCTTATTCTTTTTTGTAATAATCTCTTAATTCTCAATCACCAGAGCATTGAATCTACATTCTAAACTACCAAATAAACAAAAACGTTTTGTTAACAAACCTGTAGAAGTTGTTATGGTGTTTCCCTTTGAAAAGCCAGAATTGTCCTTTTTATTTACAAGCTTTATTCGGATATTCCAGTCTGTGCAGGCAGCAGTGTCAAAGTCTCTGTATGTTGCATTGGCTGCAACAGTTTGTGTTACCTCATTAGCATCAGTTCCATTCTTATACCTAATTCTAATCTCTCTTCTATCCTGGCACTTCCAATTTTGATCAGTTATTTTCTTAAAAAAGCAAAATATTAAACATATCACATATAATTTAAATTCTTAAACTTTAATTTAGAAGGACCATATAACATAATTACAACACTTCTTCAGTTTGCTACTAAGATAACTGTAGCTGAATTTTTTTCAAAGACTAAAATTTTCATTCTTGACACACTGCAGCATTCTTTTGATATGAATTCAGTAGTATCTAAACTCACATTCCAAGTAACCCTGATAACTCTTCTATTAGACTCTGAAACCTCTCGTATATGGAACTGGCTGGAATTAAATCTATGAGGCTCTGAAAGTAATATGGAAAGGGAAAGCTTTAAAAAATTTAGTGAAATGATACTTTATGTAAATATATATCAATAATTAAATATATAAATATATATAAATATATAATGCTCAGACATGTATGGATTAATAAATAAACTTACTGTCACACATTGTTTTAACTCGAGTGGTTTCATCCTCCAAAAAGGGGCCAAGTTGATTATCATCTTGTCTTATCCTCACCCTCACCAGGTACACCATATCAGGCAGCAAGTTAAAAACTGTGACCTCACACTTGGTATTACAATCTTCTCCACTCTTGTCTATTGATTGCCATGTATCACCAAGTAGTTCAGCATATTCTAATACATACTGGATTCCTGGCACACCAGATTGATTACATGTTGTGGTATTCCAACTAACTGTGAGACTAGTAGCTGTTGATGTGGCTGAAGGTTTCTCCCCAAGTGTACCTTATAGAAAAAGTTCTTGTCACAGCTTGCAAACAGCAAGAATTAATATCCTTGTTTAGCACTCTAATTTTGGAGGCAAAACATTCCATGATCTTATGATCTGATAAATTAGCTTTTTTTATTCTTAACTGAATCAGACAAAATGTTTGTAATTTCCTACGTCATTTTTTGCCAGTGGTTTAAAATTATCTAGTTTTTTTTTTTTTTTTTTACGAAACTGATTTGATTTAAAAAGACTCATATAGGTAGCAAGTTTAAGACTTTACTCCTCCATGAGCAAAAATACTCCAGAATGAGCTCTCTTACTTCAACCCCTTTATCAGCTTTTGTCTGTACCAATCATTTTCCTCTTCTTTATTTTAAAATTATAACTATCAAAGTCTAAATATGAAGCACATTATAAATAACCTATCACACATCTGAAAGTGATTGAAAATGGGACTGTAATCTACTTGTACTTACAGTCCTGGCAGCCTGTTCCTCCCCATCCCACTGAGCATCCACTTGTGCAGGCACCTGTTTCCTTATTACACACCTCACTGCTGTCTCTGCACCTACAGTCCTTGTTACAGTTGTTCTGCCCATCAAAGCGGTAGTCAGGACACTCTGAATGATTTAAGTGAGAAGTTCATTTTAATTTTGAAATTATAAAGTAGAGCAAAACAGGCAAAAATGTCAAAATGTGCATTAGCTTGGCATGCAGTTGGATCATATATGATAACTATAAAACAAAAGCAAAAAACATTTTCATACCATAAGCTTACGGCAAATTATAAGTGCTATATATGTGCAAAATAGTTTTATTACACGTGTTCATTTCTGCAAAATATATGCATTTTCACATCTAATACAATCATACTAGGATGAAAACACTCACAAAAGAAAAGACCATTTGGAATTTTTGGAATAATCATTTCTTTAATATAACTTAAAGGTTACACACTTGTACTCACCACATTTACTTATATCACAGTAAATAAATCCGCCAATACTATTACACCAGGGTTTTTTTCCTGGAAGGCTCTCTGAATTCCTGCAGTAGTTCCTTGCTAAAGTTATGTTCATCTCAGGAACATCAACATCCTTTAGTTTGTACTGATTACTGGCATTAGTCCACAAATAACATGTTGATATGCCACCCTCTAAAATTTTCCCAGCATATTTTTTCCCAGCATATTTAAAGCCCCCATTCTCTTCATCGTCACAGCAATCATAATAACATGATGAATCTTAAAGAAATATAACATTAGCAGACTGTTACAGACTGTAAAAATTAATCCAAAAATATTTTAAATTAATGCATTTATACCATTTATATCCATAATTTTGGATATTTTGCTATTACCAAGCAAAATATCAAATGTCTTAAGTCAGCATTCGTGACATTTACCTTTCTGTAATCATGTATTTTAAAATGACTGATTTGGCTATAGCTTTACTGTGGCCTCAAAATAAATGTCAATATGTTACAACAAACTTCAGTTCTAAACAGAGAGTATGTTATTTTACTGGACTTAAATCATGCAGAAGGCTATTACAAGAATTTATCAATATCTATTCTATTGCTTACTAAGCAGGCATCCAGGTCCCCAGTTATCTCCAGCACAACCACTAAGACAGGAGCCAGTTGTCTTGTTACACACTTCTCCATCTGCATAACACTGGCACTGAAACTTACAATGCCAGCCGAAGTACCCATCATCACATTGGTAGGGGACATAGATCTCTGCAATGTAATGGAATTTTAAGCAGATATGATAAAATATACTTGAAAATATATGTCTCTGACTATGCACCACTTAATTATAAAGAATACAGGGAAATATAATATTATATTTGTTTAGGCATTAAATTATAGAAGCATAACACCATGTATACAACAAAAACAAAAAGTAATAAGGCAGATAAATCTAGCATTTAATTCACACACATTAAGTACATTTTAGTTCTACTATTCAATTGAAATAAAAAACATAGTCTAGGTACCTGATATGCAAGCAAAAATTCTTAAAACAAAAATGGAAGTGAACCCACTTCCATCTTTCCATGTTCTTTTGAGATCTTTTAAAATGCGTGTTAAACATGAAATCATATTACAATTTTATAAGTTAACTCATTGAAGCATTACACCATGTTTACTGTACAACAACTAAAAAGAGTCATAAGGCAGATAAATCTAGCAATTAATTCACACACTTAAAATACATTTTAGTTTAACTATTCAACTGAAATAAAATAGTCTAGGTACCTGATATGCAAGCAAAAATTCTTAAAACAAAAAGTGAACCCACTTCCATCTTTCCACGTTCTTTTGAGATCTTTTAAAATGCGTGTAAAACTTGAAATCAAATTACAATTTTAAAAGTTAACTCATTGTAGAATTCTGTCCAAATTATCAAGGACAAGAGTTAATAGATAACATACACATTTTCTGAAATCAGTTAACACCGCCCGGACGCAGATCACACAGTGAGTATCATGTGAACAGAAACCTGTGTGATTCACCGTGAAGCCATGTATACAACAAAAAGTTAATTCTGTTAAAACTGATCCAGTCGTGAGGTAGATAAATCTAGCAGTAAAATCACACACTTTAAATATTTTTTTAAAAGTTCTATTATTCAAATGAGATAAAAACATATGTACCTGAAATGCACGCAAATATTCTCAAAACAATCAGGAAGTGAAACCACATCCATCTTTCCATGTTCTTTTGAGATCGCGCATCCGGCTGTAAACTAGGTCATTCGTCAGCTTGGGGTCTTACAGGTCCCAAAGGAGTGATATGAATGAAATTAGGTCAAAATAGTTACACAGGTCCTGGGTAGTTAGTAATCTTATTCGATCGATGAAAAAGTTAGGCCTATGAGTATGAGTCCTATTATATAGACATTTACTCCTTGGGTGAAAAGGTTTAGGCTAGTCATATGACCTAAAAATGATCTACACGACTTTATGATAGCTTGTCATGTTTTTTTTTTTTTTTTTTTTTTTTGCACACTGCCCTGAGTGTCAGGGCACCATAAAGCTTGCTTGCTCACATATTCTATTTTTTCCTTTTCATGTGGTAGCTTTACAGTATTGCTGTTGTGGGTTATATATATGAAATCAAGATCGAGCTGGCAATACTGAAATCTAGAAGCTAGGACAAGGCCTACTAGCCGTGTTTTAAAGAGACAAATGTTTCGTCATACTATGATGAGATGTCTGACGACTAATTTTAATTATTTAAAAATGTCAAAATTTATATTCATTTTCTGCCACTGATCATCCAGACAATGAACCCTTTCCCCCTAACACCACCATTATGAGATTAATCTCAAGCCACAAACTTTTTGACTCACCATGTACAGACCAAATAACACAGTAAGGCTTCGTTCACATGCAATGTCTATTTTCTAAATTCTATTTTCTATTCGTGCTATCTTATGATCACGGTCTGTGCACTGAATATCCCGCCGCGTAATTACTGGCAGCGCGAGCCAGTTACTTATAGTAACTTATAGTAACTGGCTCGCACTGCCAGTAATTACGCCGCGGGATATTCAGTGCACAGACCGTGATCATAAGACATACCGAAAATAGAAAATAGAATTTAGAAAATAGACATTGCATGTGAACGAAGCCTAAGAATCTAGTCCCAACTTAAACAGTATTTCCAATGCATTTTTATTTGGCTACTTTTGTGAAGTTCTGCAAATGCCTATTTCTTATAAGTGAAAATGAATATCACTGGTACAAAGTCTTAATGCTCAAATAAATTTTTGGGGGTGGAATGCACACTAACTTTAATGAATGGAGTACAAAAAATGAAAAAAAAAAAAAAAAAACTGTAGATCTACACATCTGTCCCAAGGAATGCTTTTGAAATGTTCGGATTAATAAAACTCTTGGAATAGCAAGATGCCCACCCCTCTTGAAATGCTAAGATCTGCTTTCACATCCATCGCAATCACCTCTGCTGCATTCCAACATTCTTGACATTCACTCTCAAGTTCATTCTGTACTTTTAAGTCAGAGGGTTTTGGAAAGTTATAGTTGTGGGTGCTACTTATGTGCTTTGTGTATTAAAGGACGAGTTCCCAAAGGAACCACCATACTAGGTAGTTCAAACCAACACCACATAGAGTGTTGCTGAATGCAATCAAATTTAAAGATTAACATAACTACTCCTGGTGTAAGCAGAAGACGGAAAAGTCAACAATTGCCTATGTTGGTAACAAAAGGCATGTTAATCTGATTACATTTAGTGAGAGTCCCCATGGAGTTAGTTTGAACTACCTAGTATGATAGTTTCTTTGTGAAAGCACCCATATACATAAAGCAGTTCAGTTGCTTGGAGTGTGAATGCATTGGAGCCTAAATAAGTATGGTAAGACGGTTCACACTTCCAGAAATCAATTACAAGACGACACGTTTACGGTACATAAGGTAGTTGTCAAAGAAACAAGGCAGGTTTAATTTCAATAACATTTAATTCTACAAAGTGCACATATGCTTATAACTAGAAAGTCACAAAATATCAAAACTACATTTTCTATGTATAATGCTTACAGTACAAAAGCCATAATACTGTTACAATGATATACTTTTCCTACAAAACAAACTGTACAAACACAGTTACTCAAAATCTTTTTTTTTCAATGATCGGAATAAAGAACTACTTATATGTATATATGTATGTATTCTAAATAATGGCTGGACTATCCAGCTCTTCAACTGCTCAAGGATTAGGCTGTAAAAATATATATATACAAAAAGTGTCACAATGCAATTACACAGACTAAAAAATGCACCTAATGTGTGATTAATTGCCAAAAATGAGTAATAATTATTTGTTCAAAATACAAGTGTGTAAATAAAAAATTGATTCAGAACATATTCAGTATCATGTTTTTGCTATAAATGTCATAAGAACAAGGCATTTAAATCCCGCTAGATGTTGGGATGTTTTGTAAAGCACTGTAAAAACCCTGCAAGTTTTCCAAATATTCTTTAAGTAATGATCTGAATGAGAAGCAAATTCAACTAAAAATCATGGTTCTTGAAAGATCAAGTAGTTCAGTTCATAAGTATATAGCATTAACTTAAAGTAACAATTGACAGTCTCTTAAATGCACCTCATTTAAATTACAGAGATATAATTCACATTACTAAATTGCAGGATGCACTTTTCAATTTCCATTAAGTACAAACAAAATTCAACATGTCTAAACATTTCACAGGTTTTCTAACACAGAACATCCAGTTGTGGACAAAAGATTATAGATTTCAAACATAAATAGTGTATTTCTAAATATGTGATAATCAGTATATATATATATAAATATGTGAGACCACAGTAATACAAGTATTGTATATATTTGGCTACTGATATGCTCTTGGCTACCTGGGAGACATTATAGAGCAGTGGACCACACCACACATAATAGCTATTTCAAAACACAGCAGTTTATCTGGTGGCATATTCAAGTTGCCTTTATTTGATCAAGGACACAAGAAAAAAGGGTCCCAAGTTTTGGCATCATTTGAATAAGTGCATGTTGCAGACACTGTTGGCCGCTTTACTTATAATTAATATACAAAAAGTACAGATCTAATTCAGCAAAAAATTGACATAAATAAATCATTATACAGACACACAAACTATCACCTAAGACTATTTGCACAACAGATCAAATGAGTTTGGAATGTTGCACAGCTACTCGAATGGAATATGGAAGAGTTTACAACTCACTAATGTAGACCCTTAAAAAAACAAATAAATCTATAGCACCAATAAACGCACATCTGTTTTGTATATAACTAAACACTGAGATCCATTTCAATAATACTAAGTATAACACATTACAGGCTAGAAACTGCACCTTTGGTATGCACCCAATTCCCTACATACAACAGACTATATGATATACATGGCAACTTTAACATTACTATTGGTACAAAAAAATCTAACAAAAAGTAAAAAGTAAATTAGAGCTCAACCCTTATAAAAGCTCTGATAGGTTAGATGTATGTATGCAAGATCATGGCACAAGAATACCAACAAAAATTGCCTTGGCACCTGTTATATGGCTTTGTCAAAAGAAGCATATAAATGCACACAGCAGATCTATTCATTTGATATATAGTTCATTATTGGGTGAAAAGGAGTGGGGGTCAGTATTACACTGTCTGGACCCCAGGTTTCTCAAAACACAAAAACCTTCATTAAATTCTCCAATACTTGAAGGCAAGAATTTTTCTAAACCATCAACAAATTTTGGTCCTTATCAACTCATGATTATCTTCTTTTTGAATGCTAGATGCACACCCCCTTTAAAAGATGAAATGCACAATGGGAGATATGTGCCTCTACGTTAATCAATTTACGACAAGTAGCTTTCTTAACATTTATCAAAACAACCCCTTTAAGATCACTTGTATTTAAGTACATTACATTGTTCCTGCTCATCTGGAATAAATATAAAACTTTGGTTTAAGTGTTCATATTGCTGTAAATTATCTCCTGCAGGAGCTGGTCCACTTTGTCACTGTGGGCACTGATGCCACTCCCCCCAAGGTCCAGGTCAGGTACCAAGAGGGTCAGCATACTCACAACATTCCGACGCAATTTGCAAAGTTTTTGCTTGTAAACACAGTTGTGTTCTTCTTCTTGATCCCTTGACATTTCATGTATGTCACCATTCTGTAAAATAGATGTACCCTTTGGTTCTGCTAGTAGGTGGCGCTGGGGTGGGTCAAGGCTCAGGTCATCTTCCATTGGCTGGTCATCTGGACTGGCTGGTGTCATTGCTCCGCTGTCGTTGTCTCTTGGGTCCGCCTCGTATGCAGCTGGTTTCTGGTTGTCTGGCACTGGTCTATGATTGTTGTTGTTTTGGCTGGAGGACATCAGGTTGAAAGCAGGTTGTTGTTCTTGGAAGAAGATATTGGACGATTGGTCAGCATGATTGACATTACCAGCAGTGGTCACATTTGGAATGCGGAGCTGTACACGGCCATGGTCTTTGGTCCCCTCATCCAGCCCTGGGACGCTTAAATCCATAGCACCATTCTGGTCAAATATTGGCAGATGGGGGTTCCCATTCAGCATGGGCATGCCCCCAAGAGGCTGTCCATTCAGTGGTGGCAAGGGGTGAAGGCCTCCGTTGAGAATAGGTAAACCAGGCACCTGTCCCATGGCAATAGCTTGTAGATAACTCATGTGGCTGGCTATTAGTGGCACACTGCCCATCCCCTGGTTGTGGTGGGCAAGACCATTCTGGAGAGACATGAAATGCTCTACTTTCTGCCTCTCCAGTCTTGCTTTCTCTTCTCCAGTGACCTTGCGATACATGTGCATGGTTCGTTGACGGCCTTCTTTCTTCTGTAAGCAGTAGTATTCCTCCACTTTCTCCTTGCCATGGCGAGAGATGATGTGTTGCTTCAAACTATTGCACTGTGTAAAGCTTGCACCACACCCCCGGCATTTGTATGGACGTTCACCTGGAACATAAAAAGAAAGTCTTCAACTTCAACAAATCAATACTTTCTATTCATCAGAGTGAAGTCTTTATATGAATTACTGAATCGGATATTTATCCTCTTGTGCTTAGATTTGCATATTGATGCCTGGCAACTGCATACATAACATCACTTTTTGTGATCCGAAACTAAAAACTTCCAGTTTCTGGTAATGTGAGGCAGTTTAGTCAAATGTCAAGGCCTGCCTTGTATGAGATTTCAAACGGAGGATACTTGTTATAATTTATATGGAACCTTGGTTGACTCTGCCAAAACTGAAAACAAAACCAGAACACTTCTAATAGCTTGGGTAAATTGCAATGTGGAGGGGGAGACATTTGGCCAAAATTTGAAGGATTGTATGTACTACATTAAGTACAAATAAACTTTTAACTTCCCATTTACATGAAATTAAAACAAAAAAGTTAAAGCTACTGACTAGTCTATATAAAAAACAAATAATTACTGAAAGTCAAGGACTGAACTCACCTGTGTGCACTCTCAAGTGCTGGTAAATATTACTTTGGTGCTTGGTAGAATAGGAACAATGAGTGCACTTCCATTCTTCTTTGCCCCCACAAACCTGGATATGTTTAAGGTAGCCAGCCACCTGCCTGTAGATACGGCCACAACTGGGACACTGATTATTGCCTCCTTGAATGGGTAAATTACCAAGCTTGTTAACTTCTTCATTCTTTATCTGTATGGGTTCTAGTTCTGGGGGTAGAGCAGGCAGGCCATTTTCAGCAAAATTGAAATTTTCTTTGGTATCCACTGGAATGTCTGTCTGGTCATCCACTAGATCTTCATGGTGGTCCTCACCTAGATCATCATGATGGTCATCTACGAGTTCCCCATGGTTGTCATCAACATGATCTGCCCTGCGGTCATCTACAAGGCCTCCTTGGTCTGATTTGGCACTATTGCTGGATTCATCGATGATCAGGTCGCCATCAGAAAAGCCTTCTGGAAAGCAGTCACTATCTGGGAACTCCGTAGCCATTTCTGCACAGTCTTTATATTGGTTAAAGCTTGTCTTTGGATTGAGGGCAGTGACTTGGGGCATGCATCGGATTGTCTTGTTGGGCGGGCTACCAGAAGAATGCTCTGAAGGACGTTTTGTCCTCATTTTCATCCTTTGTTCCTTTGGCTAAAAATGTAAAAAAAGTATATTTCATAAAATAACAANATGGTGGTCTTCACCTAGATCATCATGATGGTCATCTACAAGTTCCCCATGGTTGTCATCAACATGATCTGCCCTGCGGTCATCTACAAGGCCTCCTTGGTCTGATTTGGCACTATTGCTGGATTCATCGATGATCAGGTCGCCATCAGAAAAGCCTTCTGGAAAGCAGTCACTATCTGGGAACTCCGTAGCCATTTCTGCACAGTCTTTGTATTGGTTAAAGCTTGTCTTTGGATTGAGGGCAGTGACTTGGGGCATGCATCGGATTGTCTTGTTGGGCGGGCTACCAGAAGAATGCTCTGAAGGACGTTTTGTCCTCATTTTCATCCTTTGTTCCTTTGGCTAAAAATGTAAAAAAAGTATATTTCAGAAAACAACAATTCAAAATTAAAGATAACCATAAATTTTGTTTCTTAACATTCTTAATAGGCCAATTTAAATCATTCAGCTTGAAAACTATCATCAAACATTAAAAATTATACATAAAAGGGTTTCAATCAATTTAAGTACAAGTTTGGTATTCTTTGGGCATTACATTATGAACGAGATTCATAAGCCCATTTTTTGTCAAATATTTCTGACAATAATTACCTTTCAAATTGCATTTTTAAATCATTTACCCTATGCTATGAATATAACAATAATGCAACTTGAATCCTGTATAATTTCACTGCCTTGCGTTTAAGAAGTGCAGTCAACCATAACACATCAAATGTTAAACCTAAAAATTACATGGAAAATCTACACACCTACAAGTTTATAGAAATCCATTCTTGGATATCATGAAAATGTTCTTCATTATCAACATTACCCTCAAAACACAGCAGCCATTTCTATGCAATAACTGCTTTCCGATAGAATTTATGTAAATCAATCATATATGATTCAATACATTTTTACTCACTCCTTTGTCTGCACACTGACTCATGTGCTAATGTTCTAACGTGGTCAACTATTTTTTCCAACTCAAAAAACTCAATTGTATGTTGTCTTATATGTATCCTTCACACGAATGCATGCTCCTTTAATTAAGTTCAACGCGTGGTCTGGTCGTGCGAGATTTCATTTTATTGCTTCAATGAATATAAATGACATATATGTCATTTGCGCAAGAACAATGGTCGCAATTTGATACTGTTAGATTTTCCTTAAAATAAGAATAGTTTAAAGTTGATACTTTGTCAAATTGACCTTAAATTATAGTTCTACACTTATACTTATTGTCTGACAACGAAAAATAATTCTTACCTCGGGAAATTGTTAGTAATATTACAAGTTTTCGGCCGCAATGTTTATGGACGGCGCCATTCTTCCTTCCCACAGTTCTCCTTCAGAGAATAAGAGCGCATGCGTGTGTAAATATAAACCAACATGGCGGCATACTTGCTCTGCCTCTCAGCGGGCGGAGGAGTACCGCTATTTACGCGCACGAAAGGGGATTTAAAACCGGTAGGTTCATGTGTGAAAACTTGCCACACACTTAATATATATCAATCTACAATATTTGCATGATGTGCAGTATATCTGCGTAGAATTCACAATGAAACCAACAGTCACTTGTTGGAAAATAAGTTGTTTATGTTCCTATTTGTCATTCAGTGTCACAGATTCATTGATGGTACTTTTGATGGGTAAATATAAATAAGCGGAGCCGCTATATATAGTCTAGCGATATTTAATAAGTAATTTGAATTTATGTTTTATGTTGTTTATGAATCTTTTAAAGGCGAGGAAAACCTTAGTCGTATAATAATAATAAAAACAATGGAAGTTAAGGCCACCACTAGTAGTGCTACCAGTTTGCTGTTTTAACAGAGTTAAAGCATTTGCAGTAAGGGGATCTTACCTCGTGACTCAAGGATTTTCATTTAAGAGTATTTTTAGCAATGTATCTTTGATATAGTAAAAAATGGCATGTTAACCATTGCATACCTTAGACAATAATAACACTTAAAATGTACCAATTTAAGGATGTGTCCTTTCTGGGATTTTTCTGCCAATTCAAATTTTTCATGTAAAATTTTCATTCTTAAAATATATTTGTCACAGGCAACATTCAAGTTTTTACATCCACCTAGTTGAGACTGAAATAGCATTGTTTGGTTTAGAAAGGGTTCATTTTGAAAATCAGCATGGTGGGATTTTTTAAATTATTGTTATTACTTTTTTGTTTAAAACATTGTGGCATTGTTTACAGCTGTTTGGTGGCTGTATTTTTGTCAGCTGTGCAATGTATGAAAACCTTGGTCTAAAGGATGTATCAGGATATATTTTAGTTTTCAAATAGCTGCAAGGATGCAAGACTATTTCATCCAACTGCAATGATCCAACAAAGTTTAAAACTCATAAAAAATTTTACACAAAAATTATCAAATCATGTTTTCCCACAGACTTCATCAATTCAATATGATACATATCAGCCGTAGGTCCTAGGAGATCCACACTCAAAAACACCATATAGATTGTGTATAAATAATACCAAAGGCACCCTTTTCTACACTTGGCTTTGAAACTACATTTTTTTTAAACAAGTGGTTAGTCATTTTATATTTGAAAAGGATATTGTCTGCTCTTGGCCATTTGCAACAGGCTATCTAAAAGAAAATAAGATGCTTTAAGATTCTTAAAATCCTGTAATACTCTCCCACAAACATACACAAAGATAGTTTCACATATTTTGTATGAAATATGGAAAAGTAAATGAGCTTCTGGATTTACCCTCTTGGTCAGTGGAAATATGGTATGTTCAGATAATGGGGCAGTTTGGGCTAGTTAGAAATTAACAATTAAACCACACATGGTTGTGTTCTCTCCAGTGATCTGAGTCAGCTCTCCATGGGATTTTTATGAAAGTTTTTTTTTTAATTGCTATTTGCTTACATGAGAAAGTTTCAGTTTTATTCGGCCATTGTTAACACATGGATAAAATTACGTACACTGGACTCCTGCAAAATTGTTTTAATGTTTTATCTCTTTTAAAATGTAACATGGATAATGAACAGTTTGCAGACCTACTACAAGATGTGTATTCACTGTAACAGAAATGAAAAAAAAGAAGTTGACAGCATTGTTTCTTTCTTTAACAACGACTGCCATAAACTGATAAACATTGCTTCACAAGATTGCCTTTTGGTTCTTACCTGTGTGTAAACATGCTAGTTTGTAATTTCCTTTTGACAGCTATATGATGTTTTAATCTTCATCATTAGTGCTTTGTATCATCTGCTGTGGTATCTCTCAACAGACTTTGGTTAATTTTTGCAATTTTATTTTCACTATCAGTAAGGTATTAAGGACTTGGTCCTGAACTGTGATATAGGGACGTTCTTAAGGCAATGTAATTTATCTTCCTCTGAAAATAATGATTATGTCCATGAGTAATTTATTCCCCAACCCCAACCCCTCCCCTCCCACCACCCACCCTAATTAGCAGTATTTACCACTGAAATCATAGATTATGAAAAGTTACTAGTTTTATAAGTAAGTTATTATTATTGTTATTGATTAGATTTGGTATATGTAATGTGATGTTCTAGATGTTAATTGTTAAGTACAGCATTTCTCTGGTATAAAGCCAAGACAGTCCCTCTGCCCCTCCTCAAAGAACTCTATTTTTTTGTCCTACTATATACTGTGGGCCTGCTGCAGTTGGGGTCTGTTACTGAGTCCATATGAACTTTGTGCATAGGTTTACTTTAGAGAAATTACTGATGTGAGGATAAGGAATAAAATGCTACCATGTTGCTCAGTTGATTTGAAAAGAACTAAAGAATACCAGGGTCCTAAGTAAGATTGATTGAATAGTATTCTTAATCTGCACACAGGAGTATTCGCAAAGGTTCACATATACTAGTACTGTATAATGAAGGCTGTCTAGAAAATAGTATCTAATCAGTTACTCTGATGTAAACAAAATGCATTAAGGATTTGAAAGGTACTGCTCCTTTTATTCTGTGCTAGATAAAACTTAGGATGTGACCTGCTATTATATGTGGACATGCCAAGAAACTGAAACAGAAAATCAAGACAAGAATTTGAAGTATTTGCTAATAGAAAAAAAGTTGACTACATAAGGGCAGTGTTTTTGTATTGCATGAAAGACTAGTTTTCTGCTTGATATGGCCTTTTAATCTTTCCACGTTACAAAGGGGGCTGTTATGCACTGCATAGTTTACCTCGTCTTTCCTCCCTTTTCTCACAGCTCCGCTTATTTATGTAAGTGTACAGATAAACTGAATTGATCATAATAATATTCTTCTGCCCAAGCATTTCAGCTACTGTTATGATATGACTGAATTGTTGTTATTCTATTCATAATTGATACCATACCCGAGGCCTTTCTTAATTAAATATTTTCGTAACAGAATGAAGTTGTTGTAGCCAGTATGTTTTTCATAGTCGGAGACCAATGTCGTTTGATTATATGTGCATGTCCTGTGATTATCATTTCTACAGCTTCATTTTTTCCACTTGGAGGAAAAATACTCCACTCAGGTTGTTCATTGTGGGGTGAAAACTGTGCATCTTACATATTGCTATTCTTTCTGAGGCATGAATGAAGTTTTGAACTAATAAATCTAATTAATGGAAAGTATACAATTTAGTTTACTTTAATTAATCAGGTAGATGCTTGTGATTAGTACTCAATATTATTAGAATGACCTGCTTAATTGCATGCCAACCTCATAGTTCATAATAAATACATTGGGATGGACTTCTTTATCCAAGATATAGATCTTTATTTTGTGCATTAGTATACCTCTTTCCTGCAGTTGGTCAGGCAATTGATGTACAGGCATAGAGACCAACAAACATGACATTAACTATCCTGTCGAATCATCATCATCCTTCACCCTTGGGCGGAATGGCAGTAGTGGCACCTATGTTAAATTTCTCGAAATGTTGAAACTAATTTTTTTGTATGTACTAGTATTTACATCTGTATTTGGATGAGGCATGCAGTATGGAATATTATATCTGTTTGTTCCTTCTGGTCTTTTTCCTCTGTTATTGTTGAAGTCTTTCATAACAAATTATATTTAAAATCTAATTTAAGTTATTCAATAACAAAAAAGCAGCACCTGAGTTTGATAGTGCAAATGAAGACTTTGCTATATTTACTATTGTTTTCCATGTTTTCAATGGAGACAAACGGTGGTACAGAGGACAGCTCATGAATGCTGGTGTAGAGTAATGCTATATAGTAATCTTGTGTATAGGACAGCAAGGGGGTTCTGGTACATAGAGAATAGGGTGTGTTGGTGTTGGTGGAGTAGTGGACAGCAAGGATATCCTGGTGTATTGGAATTCTGTGGTGAGGTATGATATAAAAGACAGCTAGGGTAGGCTGATACAGAGAACTAGGAATTCTGGTATAAAGGAATTCTGATGTAGAGGAAAGCTAGGATAGGCTGGTAAAGAAAACAGGGTATTCTGGTATAAAGGAATTCTGGTGTAGAGGACAGCTAGGGTAGGCAGGTAAAGAGAACAGGGTATTCTGGTATAAAGGAATTATATGATATTTTGGTGTAGAGGACAGCTAGGATTGGCTGGTACAGAGGACAAGGTTTTCTGGTACAAAGGAATTATATGGTATTCTAGTGTGTAGGATAGCTAGGTTAGGCTGTAGGTATGGTATATAGGAATCCTATGGTAACCTGCTGGTATAGAAGACAGCTAGGGTAGGCTGGTACAGAGAACAGGGTATTCTGGTAAAAAAGGTATTCTGGTGTGAAGGATAGCTAGGGCAGGCTGGTGGTATGGTATATATAGGAATTCTAGGGCTAACACCTAACATATGATGGTATAGGGACAGAGAAAGTACTAGTACACTGATACAAAAAGACAGAGCTATAGACCCTGGAATAGGGGGGCCCTGAGGTATTGTGATATAATGGAGGGGAGCTAGGTGACTAGAAGGAACTGATATTAATTTGTTTTTAGCACTTGACATTTCATTTTTACTGTATTTTAAATGGCCTCAGGATCTAACTGATTGCTTGAATTTTATGAAGATACTACCTTTGAGAGGTGTTTCAAAAGGCATTTCACGCCAGTTATTGTACTTCAAGAAAATGTCCTAAGGATTATGGGCAGTAAAGATGTAGCCAGAACTAGTACACACTGAAGTGCTTGGCTTCTATTGTGCTAGTCACAAACATCAGCTGCAGCCTGGCACCATGTATTCTCTTTTATATAGTACTAGGCTACAGCTGATACTGTGTATTATCTTTCTCTTATGTGAGTGCTGCGAACTGGTTTGAACAGCAAAAGCTTTATAATTGAATTTGATATGAATATGGGTATTTATTTGCTGTTTACTAATTATATTACTTGGAATAAAGGTTTGGATGCTTTATTTGCCTTTGTCTGGGACCTGACAGTGATCAGATTCATATAGATGAAACAGCAACTTGTAAAATACTTTGAAATCTATTGTTTTTTACTAGATTATCATGGCTGATGTAATATATCAAAGTTAAAAGTTTATGGAAATTACACAAAGAGTTAAATGTATAGATATATTTCAGAAAACATAGCATCATTGATACATTACTCAAAGTGATTCAACTGTAAATTATCATTCTAAATCACAAACACTAAAAATTCTTTTTGATAAAGTAAATATCATGCTCCTTTGCATGTTCAGAATCATTATAAAGAGATGGGGTGTGAAAAGTATTATGATTATACCCAAATTTGGATTATCACTGAAGTAGATACCTAAGCTTACTATACAGAAGAAAATGTATCATATAGCTATGTTTGTATATTGAAAAAACTATTGCATTTGTGGATGGGATATCTCTTGTATCTTTCAGCTCTACTGTCCCTCTATAGTGGTAAAGACATCCACATGTTTAAGTCACACATTCTTTAATATGAGTTCTTGTGAGTGGTGGGCCATGTTGTAGTTGGCAGATCTGATCTTATATGAATGTAATGATATTGTCACCACAGCAAATTTGTTCAAATAGTGTCTCCTCCCCAATGTGACAGGTGAAGATTGTTTTACCACAGGACAAAGTGTTTTTATAATACTGTATTACCTACAAATTTCAAGAACTTTGGTGATTCCAATATTTTTTTTCTTTTAAGTCCCCCATTTCTTTTAAAACTTTTAAGTGAACTTTCTGCAATTTAGTAGTAAATTGCTGTTTCAGGAATTAAAATTTATACATCTATTATGTTTGAATTTAGCAAATTTATAACAACCAGAGTCTCCCTGCAACTCAGTCTTTTTGAACTGCAATGTTTGGAGGTTGCAGAAGTTAAAGGGTCATCACAAAATGATGTCATGTACTTGTTAATACAATGTGAGCATTTGCTTTCATTTAATTTTACTAATAATAACTCACAATAGAGTCTTTTCCACGGTCACGTGACTTCCGCTAAATTATCCGTGGGAACGCGAGATTTTGCGGGATTTGAAGTTTCAGGGGGAAAGTGTGGAGTGTACACGACGGACGCCATATCGAGGAGTGCTCATTTCAATCTGAATTTTCAAAGTTTCGTAACATGTTAACACCTGATTTTTTTCGAAAAACACATTCATGGGAGCAGTTGGAATAGAAATTTAGCAGAAGTGCCTGATGACTTTTCAATGAAAGANGGGTGGGGGGGGGGGGGGGGAATAACTAAAAAAGAACCGAAGGCCCCCTTCTACTCTTTCCCCCTGAGAAACAGTCCCGCACAAAATGGCACGAACTGCGCATGCTCACGATTTCGTGGAAAAGACTCTATTACTCAAAGATTCCAGACTATTTCAATTGATACAACATGGTGGTATGGGCATTCATATTTTGATGGCATTACTAGCAAAACTTTGTTTTGAAAAGATATTTTCTCTTTGGCCAAAGTGAAGTAAAACTTAAAGGTTACCAGATTACATAGTATTATGATATATGTACATTATGATATGTGCTATTGATGACTAAATTGACATAAATGTATATAAATTTATTTTTAATCTTCCAGCTTCCATTCCCAGTGATTGGCTCACTAAATGGGGTTCACATGTTTGCCTCTACACACGATGTTTCATTGTTATCAACTACTACTGTAGATGCCAAGGTTGTTTGGAAAGTCTTTCATGACAGGTAAGGAAAGGTGTTTTCTTCAATTCCTGATCCAAAATATTACTATAATATTATTTTTATTGTGAATATAACGAACAAAATTTTATCTGCTGTTATTTTCCCTCCACACAAGAATAATCCTGCACAATAAACTTCTATTGTTTTAAGTGTCCCTGCATGTCATTCTTTGTTGACAGATTTTTATTTTGTAAGTTGGATGCTTCATGAAAAACTTATTACCGCATCATGAAATATTGCCTGATATTTTCTAGTCTCTTACTAAGAGGAAAGCATTCTAAAATTCACATACATATGGCACTAATACAAACTGAATCACAACTGTATTCAAAAAGTGAAAAAAAAAAAAGACTAAACAAAAAGAAACAAGCAAGGGTTTTTGCACTAGAAATACACTACATTTGCTCTGGTTGGCATACTTATGTTTAGTTGGCTATGTTAAAGTTGGAGTGAAAAAAGTACTTGTCATAACAGATGACGTTTTTCCTAAGAACGTCATGCAGTGCTGCATGATATGTTGCCTGATAAAGAATATGATCTCAAATATTATGCTGCTGTTTGTACAATTAACATAGCAAATGAATCAGGCAATCGCTTTCCTTTGTGTATGCTAAAAACTGGCCTTGGTTACGCAGAGTTTAAAACTGTAGCCAGCTGGGAATCACTGACATGGAAATAAAAAAAAAAAGTTAGAGTACAACTACAAGCCAGGGCAAGGCAGATGAAGAGACAAGGCAACAGATATAAGTATACTTAAAGAAAGGCGGGAAATGAAATCAATAAAAAAAACCAGGGAATAGCAGAATGATTCATATAACAGAATAATTCATATATTCATAAAAGCATTGTTCATTTCCACTACCTAGCAATAATAATTGATCAAAGTTTTGTTTTCCAAGACAAACTGTGGTAGACGGGTTGATTGAATTAATTACTCCAGTGATTTTATGTTTCTACTTGCATTATCCAGGAGAAAGGAATATGCATGGTCATGGACTATATTCATTTAATGAGCAGTGGCGTGATAAAGCATGATTAAGTGTATCAGACACATTATATAGACTTGGCACGCCATCAAGTTTAGTGTACTTTTAGCATATAAATTACTGAGTGGTTTTTTTGCAAACCACAACCACGGATGACTTTATTAATTTGCAACAGTTGAAAAAAAAGAACTTCTGTGTAGTTTTAGTATTTTTTACTGTAAGAATCGAGAGAAAAGAGGGGGAGAGAGCAAAGAAAGAGGTATCCAGGTTTGTAATATTTGGGTTTCACAGATGCTGTGCTGGAAATAAAGAATCATCTTCTCTCCCATATGTTGCACTGATTAACCAGGGCAGCAGTCTGTACTTATGTGCATCTATTGCAAACTTACACTTGATTCCTGAAAACAATTTACTTATGGGCCTGTAATTATTGATGTCTATGTATATGTGACAAACAAACTATGTTTTTAGACATGAATTTTTATCTTAGTAATAGATAAGCATTAGATGTGACAGTTATTTCAAATTTATTGTTGTGTGCTGTTTTTTTTTTCAAAATTTTAGATCACTGTTCTCCCCCATATAATTCAAACCTTCATTCAAGTTTAATTTTGATGATAATAATCCCAAAATATCCCATCAACTTAAAAAAAATGTAGTCTTTTCTTTTTCCACCTTGATTCAAGTTGGTCTTGAACAAACTCTAAAGAATTGCTTCATGTTTTTTCCAGTATTACCTTGATTCTAGTGAGCCGTGATGACAATGCAAGTGACAGCCACTTGCAGCAGTTGATTGAGAAGGTGTTCCTTTCCATGGTGCTGGTATATGGACTGGATGATTTGACTAATATAAAAAATATCGAGCGCTTCAAAAAAGAGATTAAGGTACACATGTACATGAATATCTATTTTTAAAAATTTATGCTTTTTCACTTCTGTGACTTTTGCAGTAGATGATATGAAATTTTAAATAAACCTCCAATTTATATTAATAATATTCTTGTAGATTTAATTGCCTTTGTTCTGTATGTCAGCTTATGTCCCTTATTATTGTAAGATTAATTAAGTTATGCATTTTTATGGATCTTGCTTCTAGCAATGCAGCCCAAGGCCCGTACTTAAGTTTACAGTGATGATACTTAATATGAAAATTCTTGGCTCAAATAATATAAAACATTTGATGATAGTGTTCAAACTCATTTTTGTTTTGGTGAAGGAATTTATTAATTGTTCAGTCTGGGCAAAATGTATGCTGTCATTTTCACTACATTCACATACTTCTTTAGGTTTGCTTCAAGCTGGTTGACTCATTACTAGACCAAGCAGACTTGGACACATTCTCAGATCTTACAGACTCTGTTGATGTTGTTCTGGGACCAGAAAATAGCATATTACAGGTAAACAACAAACTTTGCAGCTCATTCATTAACACAGTTGCAGCATTCACAATAGGATCAACATGTAATGAAAAGTTACAGTGAGATTATTTTAGGTCGAAGTGAATCTGGTTACTAATGGGGCCCCCCGAGTCAAACTTGGTGCCAGGTTTTGTTTGAAGACTTGGTAACCTGCCAGTGTTTTAGTGTTACCTGCAGTATATCTAAGTTTAGGCAACTGCAAACATTCGCAACTATGATTACAGATTTTTTACAGATTACAGTTACACGAACAGAACATATACCATGTCATCCTCATTAGGCATTATGCCATAACTTCTGCAAATTTTGTCAAAGGGAAATATTTATGACTTTACTTTTTTTGCCCTTGTTAGTTCATCTGAACCCCTCCAAATAAGTTTCGAAAAAAAAAAAAAAAAAATATATATATATATATATAGTATTCTTCATACAAGTTCCATGAAGATTTTTTTTCAGTTAAGTTAAAACTCCATTTTCATTGCAGGAATACCTTGATGCGTTTGTGGAAGCAGCAGCCAGTCCATACGGGTGTTTGTTAGTTTGGGGTAAAGTGGCAGTTGCCACCAGAAAATGGTGGAGCCTCTCTTCTGTGGAGCTAGTATTATTGTCACTCCTAGTCAATTCTTTACCAAAGTGTTCTGCCAGGGATATTCCCATATTTCTCCCACATGGTAGCCCAAAGGTAAGTGTGTTTTCAGTGAAAAAATTCATGATAGAAATATTCTTGTTATTCTGATTGTCTGATGGTTGCATAAATATTGTTAGTTCTGTTCCTTGTCAGCTGTCAATCCTATTAAAGTTCAAATTTATCACATCTTTTTTTTTTTACCTTGATGACTTCAGAGAAATTCAGTTATTACTAGAGCCACTGTGGTATAATTTGTTGACATACCAAATATTTTTTATGCCTGATAGCGTCGTCTTTCCTTCAGTAGCTGTTACAAGGATGTTCAGCACATATTTTATGAAACTTTTAAAATTTAACAAAAGATAAAGAGTCACAATATTTTTCCCTGTCACTGCAGGTCCCCCATAGGTTATTAACATTCCAGTTAGTCCAGGGAGTAGAAGTCTGTGTAGTTTGTGGACCCACACCTTCCCTAGCAGAACTCCAGAGAGAGGTATGTTCAGGACTGTACTTGACTGGAGTCATCTGGATATTTGTCATGATACAAATCTGTAAAAAAAATAGCCCTGTATTCAATTTCTGATTATTTGTTTTCAAGGTTACATTAAATATCTGAAACCTGGGGCTAATGCCAAAGCTTCATCTTTAGAACCTTAATATTTTGAGAAGTTGGTTTTGTCATTTAAAACCTGGAGTTCTAGATGGTTCTGATGGCCGTTTTTGGTTTTGTCATTTAAAACCTGCAGTTCTAGATGGTTCTGATGGTTGTACAACTGTGATTTCACTCTAGGTGGACAGGTTCTGGAGAACTGCATTTGAGTATCTGAAATCCTCAACACGAATTCATCCCAGAAATTTCCCAACCAGTATTCTTACAGACCAAAGCATTTTAGGGTGAGCATGATACAAATTTAAAAGGCATGAGACTTTTGGTATGATATTAAAGGACAGTCAATTCATCCTTTCATATTATACATTTTAAGTTCCATTCACAACCAAATCATGTATGGTTCAGGTATGGAGTAAATATTATTTTCACGTAGGTTATCATCATAATGCAAAAATGCTTTTAACTTTAACACATTGTGATATTTAATCCTGCATTGTAGACATATATGAGTTTTATTGTGTAGTGTAATATCAATCCTATTTTCAGGTTTATTTTAATCAACAGAGAATCCCATAGGTGCCTGTGTACAGTAGAACCCATGGAGGAAGACAGTAGTCGGCAGGGTGAGCACTGTTGTAAACCTCATAATTAGTGATTCCATTGAATATACTTTAGGTAGAGATTATAGGTATGAGAACAAATGAAAAAAAAATACCTGAGAAATGTATGATAGAAATATATATTGCTTTTTCTCTCTTTGCATATTCCTCATAACAACAGTGTTTCTGTGTATGACATATGTAATAACATGCTGTTGGATATTTGCTTTATATAAATTAATACTACTTAAGGTAGAAAAATTGGATAAATAATTTTTCTATATTTTTCTAGGCAAAACAATGAGCATATACAGAAGGAGGGAAATTCTTAGGGCATTTTACAAATCAGTTGTAAGGACAATATTTACACCTCCACAAAGTGATATGGACTCTACGGAAACTGCAGATACATTACATACAAGGTTAAAACACAAAGCATTGGAGACATATATAGTATCTGAGACTCATAAATGTTTTGCCATGAATACCAATCCATATGAGTTGTACGTGTTGTACAGTATTCACATTCCTACATATGCATTAAGGTAAGTCCCAGAAGTACTGCAACATAATAAAATACCTTTGTAAATAAGTTTGTCACCAGAAAAGCAGTTTTCATTAATCTATGCTCTAAAGAATATGTTTCAAAGCAAGGGTTTTTTAACTGCTGTTTTATTATACCCATTTTCAGTGTTCTATAAAGAATTATCCTTGTCATTGTGTTATGTGGAGAGATATCTTTGTCACTGAAAACTTATCTCTTAGAACTGTGTGTCATTTTACGTCTGGTTCTTTCCATTTGTAATAAAAATTTGATTATCTGTTTCAGATCTACAACCACAAAACTCTTAAGCTCGTTAATCAAAGAGAAAACAATGCAGGTATAGCGGTAGCTGAAAAATGGACCTCACCATCATTCAAGGCTAAATTATAGCAGCAGAGATTACCCTAAAAGTCCAGTCCAGCGTACAATCATTGTGATCTCTGACAGTGTGACATGTTGCTGCTGTAGGTCAGCAAAACAAATCACAACAGCTGAGTGGCCAAATTCTGTGTCAAGTCCTGTGTACGTACCAAAGGATATTTTACACCCTGTACCGAGTGAGGACAGGAAGTAGGTAAATCCATCTGTTAGCATCTGTTTTGTGTACCATGTGATTTTGTTACTATGGCAGGGTTACCATGGAGCTTGTTGCCATGTGACCAGTGAGTTCTGTAATTTTTATAGAATGGCTGCTGACAGTTAGCAGGACATCATGTCACCATGTAATGTCAATTTTTTAGAGCAGTCAGATGTCCACTTTCATCATCCTGTTGCAAAGTAAGATTTCAGTACATCATTAACTCATTTTAAAATCTACTATATATATACTAAACTGCAAGCTTCCTGCTTTTACTGAGGGACACCTGATCAGGATATAAATATTACCATGGGAGGGCAGTGATGACATTCTAAAGTATATCACATTTACTTTGAAGTCAAGGTTGGTGGAGTAGTTATGTAATAGGTTGTGGCCGCGTTGTCCATCAGTGGAACATCAGTGTCTGACATGAAGCTAACAATAAAGAAAGAGTTTTTGTAGCTAGTAAGGATTTTTTTTTTTTTTTTTTTTAAAGGGGGGGGGATAATGCCCAGGTTTGTGTTATTACATGTAACATGTCGTGTATTGGCAGCTATGAAATCTTACGTAAACATTTCATGGTACATATTGACAGTAAACCAGTTTTATGTTATATTGTTTTTAATTGACAAATTATTAAATTGTTTAATTTACAATTTATGTTATCAAAAGACAAACTCACCTTTAAATCCATGACTTTCATGAAGGATTTTAAACATTTGTGCGGATATGACATTAGCATGTTTTTCATATTGCCATGAATAGAACAGGTTCAGTCTCAGCTTTTTATTGTAGTCAAGTTTGCCAATGCACACAAATGTAAACTTTCTATTGAAATGCCTGAGGAGTGAACATAGCACTGCTGTTGATCATCATGGTTACAGGCTTGTATTACACAAAATACTTGAAACTAGTATGTCATAAATCAGGTTTCATACAGACTGAACACAACCAGAAAGAGAGTTCTAAATTTTGATGGTGTTGTAATGTTGACATTGCTTTAATTGGATTCAGATCCAGCAATTTTTTTTTTAATTTTTCATTTTACTAAGTATTGAATACCATTAGTTGGGGTAGCATTTATGCCCACACACAAAATTTTAAAGGGTACATTCTTGATCTGCCAACTGTTTGTCAGTATTTCATCCTTCCAAACATTTCCNTGACATTAGCATGTTTTTCATATTGCCATGAATAGAACAGGTTCAGTCTCAGCTTTTTATTGTAGTCAAGTTTGCCAATGCACACAAATGTAAACTTTCTATTGAAATGCCTGAGGAGTGAACATAGCACTGCTGTTGATCATCATGGTTACAGGCTTGTATTACACAAAATACTTGAAACTAGTATGTCATAAATCAGGTTTCATACAGACTGAACACAACCAGAAAGAGAGTTCTAAATTTTGATGGTGTTGTAATGTTGACATTGCTTTAATTGGATTCAGATCCAGCAATTTTTTTTTTAATTTTTCATTTTACTAAGTATTGAATACCATTAGTTGGGGTAGCATTTATGCCCACACACAAAATTTTAAAGGGTACATTCTTGATCTGCCAACTGTTTGTCAGTATTTCATCCTTCCAAACATTTCCACTTCCAACAAAAAACACATGTATGATATTTCCTATATAACACAATTTTTGACAAGATGGGGGGACTTGGTGCTAAATGTTGCGTCAACAGACATAAAATGTGCATTGATTTAGTCGGCAGCATCCTCCCTGCAGTGAGCTAGTTCATATATAATAGAAGACATTACAAGAAACCTCCCCTTGTAACATTCCATCACCAGATGTGAACTTCATTAAACGGTGTAGTACAAACATTTCCTTGTGTGTTTATGTTCTTGTTAAACAAGAGAAGCAGGTGCAACTGCTGTGGAAATACACTGTACTGGGTGGTTGAGCTTAATCAGATGAAGAAATTATTATTTTAACACCCCAGATAGCATAAGAGTGGATCATAAATTGCACATTTTGTTTTTTGGTTGGTTAAAATGTTAACAATGTTCATTGGTGGTTTGTTACACAAAAACAAGTTTCATAGACATTAATAGTAGCTATCACCACAAATAAGTTGAAGAAAAATGTATTTCAAAACCAGTGCATTTTAACTCTTGGAAGCATCACAAGTATTACATCTTTTGACACTTGAAATAAGTAGCTTTTTCTGAAATTTTTAGACTTCAATGTGGATATAAAAGTACCATATAATACAGCTGTTGCTTCCACTTGGTTGTTAGGTACATCACACCCCTATAAGATTTCCTGTCTGGTGGCAAAACATTGCCATATAATGATACAGTACAATAGGTCTTAAAATAGAATGACATAGATCTTATAGCAATTAAACAGTCTGGTACAGATGTCTGCTTTTACATTTACAGCAGGCTTTGTTATTCGGGCAATTCAATTATTCACATTTACCTCTAAGAAAAGACAACAGATGTAATGCGGCAGAATTATCAAGTTGACCAACCTTTTTCTGCTCACTGGTTTGGTTAATCTATGTTCATATTCATTAGTGATTACCAAATGTAATAGTTCCTGGCAGTTGAAATTGAGAATCTCTTTTCTAGTCTGGAACATGTAATTATAGTAATTTATTATGTATAGTGCAACATTTCATATATTTTATCACTAGACATTAGTCATTTCCACTTGTATTTATTCATTCATCATTATTTTTATATAGAAATAAAAATAAAATACTCAGTCCAAGACAACGTTTCTTAGTTTATTTTCTCAAATATATATTCAAGGGATTACCTGTAGAAAATTACTTTCCTTCAATAAACATTAAAAAAATTACAATTTATCACAGTTTGTTCTTTGCATTCAGCCAATTCTTGCAAAAAAAGGATGATTCATAAGTGTAACATCTGCTACATTTTTATGCTATAAGCAAGCACCTGGCAATTGTTTTGTTTAATCACTTCTACATGCAGCAGCTTGACACATGGAGTATAAATTCACAACTCTTTACCTTCAATTATGCATTTTACACGATTTAAATATGAAAATAATGTACCACTTAAATCAATCAATATGATTAAATCTTAAACTACACAATCCAAAACTGTTTTCTAGGTGACAAAATATAGTGTTAGGTATTAGGTAATTTCTGATTACCTTCTCAGAA